AAAATTCACTACGTCTTTAATCCTTGAATGAAAGTGACTCATGTAGTGCATTTGGCTATAAATACGGGCAATAGTAACTACAGGGTTTGTTCCAATTTCTTTTTCTGTCCTCAAATATCGTCTTCATTTACATTTCTTCCTTTTTGCACGACCAAAAAAAATAAAAAATAAAAAATAAAAGGTTTTATGAAGACAAAGAAAGGGTAAAGCTGGCTTTCTTCATTACGACTGACTTGCCAAGGTACGACAACTTAAAGAATGGACAATGACTTAGAAAATCGCTCTGATCAAAAACTCCACTTCAATGTTGCTGCAGTCAAAATTTCAAAACGACAGCAATGGACAAAGACATCAAAAAAATAAAAAAAAATAAAAAAATTAACTAATAGTATAATAATGATTCAAATATTCGCTTTAAATAGTTGAAAGTTAGAAAATGTTATTTTTGATAAACGTGACATTATTGCAGATCTAGCTCAGAGTGAACCGCTCGTAAAACTATCGTACTATACCATCTCCAAGTTTCAACGTTGTGCATGGCGCATATTAAAAATTAGAGAATCCTTAATGCCAAAACAAAAATTATGGGTGGACAACAATACCCTCTGTGAAATGAGTTTATAGGTTTTTCCATTAAGAGTATTATGGTCTAAATATGTCAAAAGTTGTTTTGGACCCTAATTTTTGTTTTGGCATTGGCATTAAGGATTCCCTAAAAAATTATCATCGAGTTTTCAATCGATCTTATTTCTTAGTAGTACTAAGTATTGGCTGGTCGTGCCTCGCGCGGTATTTCCTCAGTCGATACTTATGTTTTCATAGCTTGATTTGAGGACAAATTCTGAATTACTACCTCTATTTTTTTTTTCCTGTGCCTTTAGGGTTTGCAAAGGTATCAAAAAAGAAATGAAATCATAATTTAATTTTTAAGTATAATATCTTTCTTACTCCTAATTAAAAGTATTGGAACTCGATAAAAATTTGAAATTGAAGTGAAAGAATATGTATTATATATGATATTAAAAGTAGAGAGATAAGAGTGTAATTAAAAAAACTATATTTAATGCTGCATTGAAAATGAAGTAACACATATAAAAAAAAATTGGATTCACACTAATGCGACAGACAAAAAAAAAATAGAGATAGTAATTGCGTAAGATGTTTACTTGGTTAGACATTAGGGAATTTTAATAATTTCGGGACTTGTATATTGGAAAAGAAATAAAGTCCATAAAAAAAATCTCAATTTAGTCGTGATGATTATTCGGTGAATTTCTTTGTTGATAGAAATTATTTTGGTAAATTTTGTTCCGAGGGGGGAAGAAAAAGATCGGAGTTTGTGAACGGTGGGAAAAAAAAAGGCAATCTAATTTTCTTTGAAAGATGGAATTTTTAAGATAGATTAAAAGAAATAATTAAAATAAGTTAGTTCTTATATATTAAAAATTATATAGAATAATTTTCAAAAGTTTATTTTTAGAATTTAAAAATTATACTCCATCCATTTTTTTTATATGTCTTTCTAAAAAAATTATCAAAACCAAGAAAATATTAATTAATGTAGTTAAAATATAAAAATATCCTTATTTATTGTCTATACAATTTATTGCAAACCAATAGAAATTCATTATAAATACTGTTTCATTTCCAATGCAAGGGTAATATGGGTAAAAAGTGCTCAAATATGGATCGATTTGTGAAAACGACACATATTTAAAAAAATTCACCAAATCTTAAAACGACGTATATTTCGAAATGGAGGGAGTAATGAATAACTTAGTTGATATGTCAAGAGATATGTACATTTTTAAAACACGTGGATTCTTAAGTGTTAAGTGTCACATGGCATAATATGAAGGTATATCCTAACTTGGGTTTTCCTTTCTAATATAGTATTCCCTCCGCCCCACAAAAATAGTCTATATTGAGTTTTAAGTTTTGTACTGTTTTTAGTACAAATTTGAAAACTCAATATAGACTAGTTTTTTGGGACGGAGGGAGTAATATAAGATGTAGTACTCCCTCTATTTCAAATTGTAAGTCACTTTAAACTCTGCACGTAAATTAAGGACACAATCATTTAACAATCAATTTGTGTGCTAAATATCTATTTTACCTATCATTAATTGTTTTGGAACTATAACCAAGACCAGATGAAAAGTGGTTAGCAACTTAGCATCATTTATTTGGGGGTAAAGTTAGAAAATTAACCTTTAATTTGTCTTGAAATCTTAAAACTACTTACATTTTGAAATATTTCTCCAAACCTAAAACAGACCTATATTTTGAAATGTGGGAAGTATTACTTAGTCGATCCATAACATAATTTCATATAGCTCCACAGATTAGACTGGGAGTGAGCCGCCATTTTTGTGCAACTTCTCCCAAACTGCATGAATTATGTCTCTTGTTAATAACATCATTAAAAACAATTTCCGCTTTTTCAAATGAAACACTCTAAATAAAAGAGTAAAGGCATTTTTAACTGAATCTAATAACACTGTTTCTAGGTCATCCAAGTCGATCGATTGGTCTTCCACTAAGCATATGATAGGTTCCTTGTTGGCCATGCATGTGAACTCTGGAATCGATGATTGTAGTTAATTCTTTTATACACGTCAAATGCGAAATTTACTTATTATAACAGCACTTTCACTTTGGTACTAAATTAAAGTAGGCATCAAACTTGCCTACTAAATCGATTATTTTCCATGGAAAAGTGAATCCAAAATTTTTTTTGGTGTAAAGTTGTATTTTGCATGGCTCTATTTGTCTCTTGACTGTGATCGGCTTCATATTTAAATATGTTGGCCTTTCGATAGTATGGATCTATTGTGGATTGGATTTTAAAAACAAAAAAATTAAATAAGAAATAGGTTTCGGATTTTCAGAAACAGGAGAGTTAAAGGCAGAATTGAAGGAGAGAATGTGAATTAGGGACGTAAGATAAATCAGAGGATGAGGAAATCTGGAAAAGAAGAAGTTTCCGCATAAAATTGTCAATGATAATTCTTACAAACGTAGCTAGTTACAAATCATTTATACTACCAAAATAATATCTTAATTACAAGTTTTAACCCTTTTTAATTTTTCTAATCCCTTTCTAATACCTAAGGCATGACAAATCTTTCCTTCTAAAATAAAGCTTGACCTCAAGCCTTGATTGTCAAAATTTGCAACTCCAAAGTGTTCTTCATTGATTGAAGAAAGAGTTTTGTGTTTGGATTTTAAAATTCGGGAGCATCTGTTTTGATATAAGAAAAAGAAGGAGATGGGAAGCGGCGGATGTGTGGAGGAAGAAGATAATCGGCGGCTAGTGTGTGGAGGGAAAATGAGAAGTGAGACTTTTGGAGAGAAAGGCAAGTGAGGGCAAAAAAATAAAAATGGGAGTTTTGTTGATTAACCTGGCCAATTTGGTGTGAAATGATAGTTGGGCAGAAAAATAGAATTTGTGGGCCTATAAAATTGAACCAAGCACCATTTATTGGAATGGGTAAATTTCAAACTCATAGAATTGGTTTAAAACCCCTCAAACAGTCACGCCCTAGGTAAGACTCCAATCCATATTATTACCTCCGTTCTACAAAAATAGTTCACATTGAGCTTTTAAGTTTGTACTAAAAATAGTACAAAACTCAAAACTCAATGTGGACTATTTTTGTGGGACGGAGAAGGTACTTTTTTCTTTTTTTTTTGAAACAATATCCATATCCATCTACTTAATTAAAACAACAAACAAAAAGGACACATGTCAGTTACACAATGAAAATTTTCCCGTCAAAAGAGTTTTTTTAATACAAAATAAAAATTGACACATGGTACTCTAAAATTTCAGAAAATATGATGACTTAAGGAAACCGAAATACAATTACCATTACTTTTAATTTAATTTTAAAAAAAGGATAACCCCAAACAGTTTAAATCTAATGGAGATGATAAGGAAAACCGTATTTGCACCACAAAATCAGGGATCTAACGAGTTTTCCCTACCTTGGCTGAATCAGAACAATAAATGAGCAAATATAAATATATTAATAGATATATACAAATGTGTTACGTGATTATCAGTCATATAATAGTAAATAATATTTTAGTAGCCGTGTATACTCCATTCCCTAAAATTTTGGAGTAAATCCGGTTTTTCTCACTTATTCCTCCACAAATTTACAAATTAATAATGACTTCAATGGATGAGTATCTCACAAATTACTCATCACATCAATTATCGTTAGTTCAAATTCAAAATTAAATCAAATTGGTGCTAGAAAAATCTCTCATTGATTAACTTTCTCCTTATTTTATCTCAATCCCTTATTTCTAAACCGGTAATGACGTTGAAAATCCTGACATTGTGGCACAGGAAGAGCATGAAGATGCTGATCGGGTGGAAGTGTTGGATCTTGGTCCAGTTGAAAACATGCAGAATGATCAGGTGCATGAAGAAAATGAAAAGGGAGAAAGGGATCTTGAGGATCTGGATCTGGTTGCTGATACTGACACGCCCGCAAATGCACCTTCGATATTCTTAACCCCAACTAGCGGAATGCCCGCAAGCCAGATTTTCATAAATCATGTATTGCTGGAGAACACGTCGCTGCAGGCAATTTTGAAGTAGCATTGTGCCTTCTTAACCGACAATTGGGAATAAGAAACTTTTCTACTTTGAAGCAACTGTTTATTGATCTTCAGTCTGGAAATCATAGTTATTTGTATGCCTTTTCCTCTGCGCCAGTGATGACTGTTGAAGTAGAAAGGAGCTCCAGGAGCTTCAACTCAACAGGTCCCAGTCGAGGCCTGCCTACTCTCGTGTTCAATATTTCACGGTTGGAGGAGAAGCTCAAGGCTGGTTATAAGGATTCTTGTGCAGGGAAATTTACTGAAGCACTCAAACTTTTATTGTCTATCCTGCATACAATACCCCTTATTGTAGTTGACGTAGACAAGTGGATCAAGTTAAGGAATTGGTCATCATTACAAGGGAGTATGTTCTTGGTTTGCAAATGGAACTGAAAAGGAGGGAGTTCAAGGACGATCCAATCCGTCAACTGGAGCTAGCTGCCTACTTCACTCATTGTAATCTGCGGACCTGTCACACTAGACTCGCCCTATTGAATGCCATGATTATTTTCGTCAAGGCTGGTAATTTGAGCACTGCAGCCACCTTTGCAAGTCGATTCTTGGGAACTAATCCTACTACGAGTGAGGATCAGGCCAAAAAGGCCAGTCAAGTTGTTCTAGCTGCCAAAACCGCAAGGAACAGAGGAGATGTTTCTCCGTTTGTTGTGTGTGGGGCTACTTATGTGCCGATATATCGTGGTCAGAAGCACATTACTTGCCCTTATTGTGGCACTCACTTTGTTGCATCGCGGCGTGGGAAACTGTGAACTGTTTGTGATCTTGCTGTTGTTGGAGCTGACGCATCTGGGATTGTTTGTTCACCTTCTCAAATTGTTGGGTCGAGCAACACTTGAATTGCTCATTAATCATTACCTTTCGTGAGAAAGGTACATGTATAGGAAATATTGTAAGGTTATTTTAGACTTATACACTAAACATATAATTGTATATTATATGCTATCATAAAATATAACCTAATTAAATTGATCTAAATTATATTAACTAAAGTTTTGGGCTAATTATTAATTAAGTTAAGGTTGTGGACATCATTGTGTAGAAACCTAAAAGACCAGGTTTCTTTTTCTGTGATGGGTGGAAAAGAAACCCTACTACTATATAACTGGTTGTGGTCCCTGGGTGAGTCTTTACGCCGTTAAAAACTGCCTCCCCATTTGTCAGTTTGAGAACTCACGTTCTTTACCCGGTTAAAGAAATCATCTGGAAGATCAAACCAAACCTGAAGAAATTATTCATCCGCAATGAATTCAGGTACGCTTCCGCATTAGTTTGGTTCTCGTTATTTGATCTGGAGTGTTAGGCTAAAGGATTTAATCCTACAAATATCGCTACCCAATGCCTGTATTTTTGTGGATTCTGCATTCTATTAACCTTAGATTTCTGTAGCTTGCTCACGTTTATATCATGTGAAACTTTTTTTGAATTGAGTTATGGCATTCTACTAGTTTTTTGAATTGAATGTTGGATGAGACTCCTTTATAAAGCTTCCAAATTAAAGAGAAAGAAGGTAAATTAATGTAATATACTCTCGTAGCCTGAGAACTGAAGGTGTATGACCATAATTATTTTGGAGAGAGATGCTAAACGTATGGGCCTTTTTTAGGAATGGACAGATGGGTTCAAGAATCACAATGTACTTGACTACTGCACAGTTTATATTCTGTGCATTATCATCGAAGTTGCTTCTATGCCTACAGAATAATAATGGATTCTCCGGTTCTGAAATACACGTATTAAGGGGAATCAGGATTAAAAGATTTTTGTGATTAACAACAATATTAAACATGTATCAATAAGGCATTCCTTTATTGCACCACATTAGCTACACAACTGTTTTTTTTTTTTTTAATCGGGTTTTGTAAATTTCATTCTATTTTGGAAAGGAAAACAACGCATTTGCTTTCATTAAACGCGAGAGTTAGAACCAGCGTAATACTAGTTAATAGTCTTTCAATGCCTTCTGGTTTCCATCATCAATCCTCTCTTGAACTAAAACCTCATTTACCACCTTAAAATAAACAGGCATTAATATGCATTAAAACCCTCAAACTTTGAATCCCACAACTCTCAAGCAAAAGAAAAAAAATCTTAATCTCCCCAAATACTACCCCTGTATATAATAAGCTCCATGTTCAAACACAACACTAGGACAAGTATGTGACGCATTAAACAAGGTAGTTTAATGCCTCATCAAAGCTAAAATAATAAATCAACAAATGAATGGACATTGAATCAACCAAAACTCACTAATTTATTGTCACTACTATATAAATCACCCTCTCACCACCCCCAATTTCAACACCAACTTGCTTCAACACTTATTAGTTTTAATACATACATATTATTCTAATAGCAATAACAAAAAAAATGGCTCAATCTTATTCTGTCCTATCAATATTCACCACACTTGTCATCGTGTTATGCCTAGCCATTTGGGCCCCAGCAACATGTTCCGCAGACCAGAACGTGGCCGGCGGGATCAACTTTTTGGGCTTGCCATGGGGACTCCCATGCCTTCAATCCGTAATTGGAACCGACGGCTGCGTTCAGGAGGTGGTGTCCTCATTTCTGAGTCTTCAGCCCAGATTTCTTGGGCCTCAATGTTGCAGAGCTTCCATCACCGTTGACGACAACTGCTGGCCCAAGATCTTCCCCCTCAACCCATTTTTCCCACCTCTTCTCAAGAGTTTTTGCGCTTCCCAGCTTCCACCGACCACACCACCATCCACCATAGATTAAAATTCTCAATTTTTTTTTTATTTATTTTTTTGCGTTACTGCGAATAATATTTATCAAATGGTTTCTTAGCTTCTTTTTTTTTTTGCTTTGTAAGCTAATTTTGTTTTCATTTTAATTCGGAATTAAGAGGAGTGTGTCAAAAGTCATCCAAGAGGGAGAAACAATATCCACCATCATCATTTACATAAAGTCCTAATAAACTAGTAATTGTTATAATTTTTTTTTAAAAAAAAGAATTGTCGATTTTACTACTCAGGAATTAGAGTTCAATTCAGTTATGGAATATAAGATGAGTACGTAATCTCCAAAAGGGATACTGAATTTGTCATGAACCCTAAAAGAATCCTACGTGTCAACAATCACAGGATGGGCTGACAAATTACTGCATGTGTACAACTATATATGTCATATAATATATATAGAAGTACTTACAAACTCTAAGATAGAATTCTTCGTAAATAAAAGTCTTAATAGATTTTTATTTTTCCTTCTAGTTTCGCCATTGATTCAATTATAATATCTAGTATAAGGTTAATTGACCGAATTTGGATCTCTCCAACTTAATAATGGCTAAATCATCATCATCTTCTTCAACAACAACAAGGAGGAGGAGATGGTATTTGCTCGTAACGGTGACCAGCTTCCTCATTGTAGCTTTGGCTGTAACAAACTCGTTAATTATTCTCATTAATTTTCTTCCAAAATATACAGTAAGATGTATATTTATGGTAGGAATATTTTAATTCTTCATCATTGTTTCATAGACTACGTACAATATATTTTGGTAAAAAAATATTTTGTATTTGACTCAATATATTTTAGAAATGTTTGCAGAATTTAGAAATGTTTTATAAGTGTGATCATAGAAATGTTTGTATTTGGCTAAAAGGAAATTGTATTTGGCCCAATACGTTTTAGAAATGTTTGAAAATTTTAAAAATGTTTTATAAGCGTTACTTCTTAAATATAAATAAATTGATCAAATATATGTCTTGAAATAAATGCTAGACAAAATATAAAAGCATCCTAATAAGTTTAAATACTAGTAAGATAATTTATTAATGTTCTCTATTGGTTGTGCCAAATCAATACTTAGTTTGAGAGATTTATAATAGCTTTGTAGTAAGCTTCCTCCTACCTCCAAAAGGAATACGCTTAATTGTTGGATCTATTTCTTCCAAAAGTTTATAGATAGTAAAATATCAAAAATATGATTTTAAAACTGGTTAATTGTTGTAACTGGTTGATCACAAATATGAGAACGAAAATAATGTAAATTTGCATAGGTTTCAAGTTATAGCAAAAAAGAGCTCACCTCACCATGGCAAATAAAAAAAAAAAGAAAGTAAAAGATAACCCATTAAAAATTAAGAAATTTATTCTTTTTTTGTAGGTAAATGATATATAAAAACACAAATAAACGTAGAAACATCATTCCTTTCCTCTCTACCTCAAATTCATAAAAAGGCTTCCCCATAAATTAGTTAGAAGAAGCGACCTGAACTATTTATATGATGAGGAACTAAAAAAAAATCCAAAAACCAAATCCAAAAAAGTATATTCTTGAAAGCCCGAACATAAAAAAAAAACCCGCTTCATTTGTAAATAAAATAATAATAATAATAATAATAATAATAATAATAATAATAATAATAATTAGTCAACTGGGAGTATGAAACAAAATTAAAAGCAATTAGACAAAGAAAAAACACACTTCATAACTGACCATATACGGGAAAAAACAGAGACTTCATAATTAAAAAAAAGAAAATTACTCTAATTGAATGAAACATAAAAAAAAAAATTAAAAAACCACACTATGTAACAAAACCCAATTAATCAATTCAATCCAAACAGAATTAAAATCATAAAAATTATAGGCTAACTAACCATATAAGAAATCACATCATATTACCTGACAACAGTTACGGTAGCTGTAACGGATGAACGCATAAAAATAATAGTAATAACACTATTATTGAACGGGAAAAACAAAAAATAATAAAAGCCAAACAAATGATTTGTGAAAATAAAATCATTTAAATTTTAATACCTATAATGGCACCACCACAACGGCCGAAGCAAGATCAATGAAAATTTCTTTTTCTCCTTTGTGTTTATATAGAGAGGTAAAGAGAATATTTGTTGAACTCAAAATTTTATCCGATTAGGATGTAGTTAATCATCACTAATGAAAAAATTGAACATACTAATAGGAAAGGAGTATATTTCACCATATATTCTCAATTGATGATTGATGAGAAAATTTTTTTTTTTTATTGTGGAGAAATGATTGATTAGAAAGTCGTTTGTCGTGGAGATGGGGATGAGAATTTGGGTTTTTTATGAACCGTAGTTTTTTTTTTGGCGAAAATAGGAGGTGGAGTTGGATTTGAACTGCATTTTCCTTTTAAGTCTAGGAGATATGTAAATAAAAATTTATTTTAAAAATATGACATGGAAATGACACATGGCAAATGGTGATACTTTCTCTTAAGTGTGATTTTTGTTTCTAATATAGTAAGATATAGTATTTTAATTTCTTGCAACATGCATCCGCTAGAATTTTTATTGGGAACCGGATATTAACAAATTAATGAACACCTACACAAAAATAATAGCAAACTACCTACACAATCAAAAGAGATAAAGCCATATATACATTTTCCCAATTAACTGTCCAGTTTATTTATTAATTTATAGAAGTTAAATAAACTAAATGAACCATTATTACTATGGAACGAAGCGGAAACGGAATACTCCATCCGTCCCATAATTATTGTCTACTTTGGGTTTTCATTTCTAGTTCAAATTGTAATAAAAGTGAAATCTCAAATTGAATAATAATTTTGGGACAGAAAAAGTATATCATAGTATTGGTATATATTGCTCCTAGAAGAGCTTTTTAATCCAATGATGTGAATGTTCACCGAAGTTTCCGATTTAAGATATAATAAAGCTAAAAACACACTGTTATCAGGAAGATGGATTATCGCATCAATTGAAACTGTAGAACCTGAATTAAATAACTCTGAATTTAATTTGATGATTTATAAGAAAAAGAAGAAGCAATACTATAAGCCGTTCTGGAAGCGGCAAAAATTTGTCTAGCCTAATGTTGTTTTGTTGGGGGCATGGACGACGACATCACTGAAAAAGACTCTTATTTCCATTTTTTTTTACTAACCCCTCCTGCCTGCTTCATTAACTTTTTGCTTACTCAGCTAATATGATCTAAGTAGTAATTTCCCTTTTAAAAATTAATTTGAAGTAGAAGATTAAGTCAGGCACTAGCTAGATAACAATCGATAAGAATCCTAGGCTAGTTGATTCACGACATGATGTAGAAAGTCACCTATTTTGGTTAGCACCCATTTAAGAGCAGTTCAATTATCACTTTCTGGGTTCAAAAATAATTATTCCCTCTGTTCCAAAATTATTATGCACTTTGAGATTTTATTTTTCGTACAATATGAACTAAAATGAAAACTCAAATTGGACAATAATTATGGGACGGAGAGAGTACTTTTTTGAAATTGTATGGTTTTGATCTTATTCTTAGTATTTCATTTATGAAAAAATGATTTGGAATAGAAGAAAGTAAGTTCTAGTGGATTGTGCTTCCACGCTTTATTGTACAAAAGTTAAGGTAAACAACATAAAAAATAAAGTTTTTTTTCAATGGGGCTAAAATTCAAACTTGGCCAATTTTTGTTCTTTGTATTTTTGACTACAAACCTCGTACCATTGAACTGGATCACTACCACGCCTAGGAACCGTATTTATATATCAAGCATGCATGTATGCCGATCGGAATTAATGAAATCTTGATAGTAATAATAGAAAGTATTTTGTATGGAAAGTGTTTATTTCGTTCTGCTTCGTTTTTTTAGTTCACACATACAATAGTCTAAGTGTTTGTAAGAATTGTATATAAAAAAAAATGATATACAGATCTGTATTTCTCTTTTTTTTTGGATAAAATATTTTTCTGTATTCCAACTTAAACGCGTATGATCAATCTAAACAGAAGAAAAAATAGTAAAAAATCAACCCCGATCCACGAAAAGAACTGATTTTGGGGTTAGACGACAAGAGAGATTTCGTTGAGACCACCACATTTTATTGCGGAAAGTAGAAAGAAACGATAAGCTTAACAACTATAGTACAACATAATATCGTGAGCTGTGGATGCATGGGTACAAATTTGTTGGACTAATTATACAATACACTACGTAAATAAACCCGGAGAACCCGGTCTGGATATGGAGCCTCCATGCATCATTTTGATCAACTCGAGGTATATATATATATATATATATAATTGATGAAATATATACATTGCATCCCCCACTGTAACAACCTATGGTAGAATAATATAACGTTGTTGGAACTGATTACACCATGCATACGTAAGAATAAATTAACGCTAAAGAAAACAATAATACTGGGTTACCCCTCAAAAAAAAAAAAAAAAAAACTCCAGTTGCTTAATCTGTTAGGGAAAAAAGTAATGGCCAAAGGAACTGAGGCTTTATTTGTTTCTTTTTTTTTAGTTTTTTCAGAATTTAATATTAATAATTGTTCCATTCCAGTATATTTTCTTACATTTCTAATATATTTTTTTTACATTTTTAATACAAAAAACACTTAAAAATACACATTAAAAAAAGAAAACAAACAGACCTGAGGTTTTGGGAATGTAGCTGGGGGAGGATAGATACGTTTTAACGTTTGTCCCATATTGGTTTTACCAGAATCATCCCGGTGATCAATATCTATCTGTATCCCACATGAGGTTAAAACAAATGATTGCAGAGGGCTGCGGGTACAGGAACTAGATAAACCGCTATGTCTAGAGAGTTGTTTTCATACTTTAGTTTTTTTTTAGAAAAAAAAAATTATCGTATTTGCTCAAACATGACATTAATTTTAAACAAATGTATAAGCCATAGCTGCTTTGAATTTGTTTCTTCTCTCAAAGTAAAACTGATCAGTTCGATTGCTCTATTACTAAAACTAGCTCTATTAATTTATTTTATTTTTTCTAATTTAGCTTCCAAAAAGACTTTGTTGCCAGATATATATAGAGGATATGGGGGTAATGAAAGGGGCTGGTCATTTTATTACTCTTTAAGAACAAGAGTGTTACTCTTTAAGAACAAGATAGAAAAAGAGTAGCGATATATATAAAAAAAAAATTATAGGAATTTTAACACTAAGTAATGTGACTAAATCTTAACTATTTTCTAACTTTGAAACGGATAATTTTTTGAAAGTAAGATTTAGTTATGACCGGTTATAATTCATTTTATATATATTTTCTTTGCAAATTTTTCTTACAACAATCATTACTCTTCAAAAATACCATAGAATAAACAAATGGTTGTGACTAATGGTATGGCTACTAAAAAAAAAAGAGGGAAAGAATTAAAGTACCAAAATCCCAATTCCATTCCCATTAATGTTTGTCCAAAAAGAATGTGATGGATGATTGAAGAAGCAAAGTAATAAATGGGTGTTGGGTGCAGTGGGTGGATATAGTATCAAAGGATAAGCGTGATTTGTGTGAAGGTAGGTATTATAAGTATAATGGCGTTTAATTACAAGAAAACTCAACATTCCCACCACTTGAAGAATAGGATCAATTTATTATATCTTCAAAAAAGATTGTGAAGAATTCCTGTATGGATTAGGTTTTGGTTGGTTTAACTTTCCATTGCAATTTTCAATAACAAGAAAGGATATGACTAACTAATCAACTTGAATTCTCTAGCAAATTTGTTAGAGACGAATTCAGGTGATCAATTCTTTGGTTGAGTGCCTGCAAATCTTTTTTTTTTACAAAAAAAAAAATAAAAATTGGGTGAATAAAATACACTTTGTAGCAGGTAAAATAAAATGGTTTTGTGTCGTGTCTTGTGTTGCACTTAATGATTGTGACCAATTAATGTAATAAACTTTACTAAATACGATTACAAAGTTCTCTTTGAGCTAGCTTGTCCTATTAATCGGACACAATTAGAGACAAAGAATCTTAAGTTCTCATCGTATATTCAATTCCCCCGTACCAAAAGAGTCATATTTGTTTCTTTTCATTTTCTTTTTGTCTAGTTTAACAAACAAGGTTTTTTCTTATTATTTTTTTATACATGGAGGGGGTATAAAAAGTGCAATGCCCTTTAGAATTAGGTACTATTATTTGCATGGTATAGATGCTAAGCTTTTTTTTTTTAAGGTACCTGATACATGTATTACAATTTGAGACACTTAAACTATCACATAGGATCTACAACTACTCTAAATTGAATCTAACAAGATATACATTGCAATTATTTTTTTCTTCTTCATCAGATTTTGTTTATTTTTATTTTTGGAACGTATTGATTAGTTCAACCAAATGAGACGGAGGCAGGGAGAATTTCTTTTCTTTCCTAGATTAAAAAATAACTGACTAACAAAAATAAAACTCATATTCACTACCAACCTATATGCAAGACTCAATAGATTGAATTTTTATTGTTGCTTGTACTTTGTGGTCTTGTTGAGCTAATTTTCTCCGGAATTTCTTTTTTTCTTTTCGGTACAAAAAAATGAGGCAGAATGCCTGAAAATCTAAACCAGAATATTTTGATCGTAAGAAATGTCGATAACATCGAGTTCTAATCATGTCATTATTCCACTGGGTGATCCATCCAAATAATGCAAGAATATTGTGCCGCTGCAATCCCATTTTCTCAGGAATTTCTTGAGGATTAATTTTATCCAAAAAAAACACATTTCAATCTGTTTAGTGTTATATATGTATGTTGTTAAGAAAGTACGAAGGCAAAATAATCTTTGCGGCAATTTGAAGTTTCGATTTTTTGTGACGATGAAATGGCTTTTGCTTGATTCTGGTGATATGTTGTTGAGTCATCCACGATCCTTGTCTCTGACCGGCTGACCTTATATTAGACCCAAACCTGTGGACCCGACCGAAACTCTTGACCCCACCCGATCCATATATGAATCGGTTTATCGTTTTCCCTTACCATTCAGCAATCCCTTTTCACTTTCCTCAAGCAAAGAACACAAGTAATAATAGTTTTATTCCAAACGGGCCCTACACCTCAACTGATTTTCCTTCCCTATTTTATAGTGTATACATTTTTACTATTTTTTTTCTTTCCTTAAGAAAAATAATTTATCCATTCATCTTCTACTGAAGACAACAGTCCAAAAGCTGCAAATCTTTGAATTCAAAAATCTCTAAAAAAAAATTATTGGATTATATATCTGGAAAAAAAATAACTCATTAAAAACAACACCCCATCTAGCTCGCTTTTATAACCATCTTTCATATTATCACCATTATAAATTCCCAAGAAACCTTTCAAATGTCTAAAAATCTCTGGTTAGCATTTTCCCAAGGAAATTTGCTGAACCCAGAACAGACAGGAAGATTATTAGTATTGTAGATCTTGAACGTAAGTTCAAGTTCTTTCATTAGGAACCAGAAAAAATGGGTTCTGCTTTAGTACAATTGCTGTGTATGTGGTGGCTGTCTCTGTTTAGTAGTAGTATTAGCTCCATTTTTGTGTACTCAAAGGTTGTAAATGACGACAGTAATGGAACAACAGCAAGAACAGGAGGAGGAGGAACAGCACAACCAGGGTTTGTTTATGTAGATGGTAGTAGTCCCATTGGACAAATAGATAGTGATTTCATCTGTGCTACCATGGATTGGTGGCCACCTGAGAAATGTGACTATGGAACTTGTAGCTGGGACCATGCTTCCCTTCTCAATCTGGTAAAAAAATGTTCTTCCTTTCTTCCTCTTCCTCCTCTCCTCTGTTGTTGTTTTCCTATCTTGGGTGTTTTTATTATGATTGAGTGAACCTTGAAGGGGATGATTGGGTTGCTGGAACTGTTTTCTGTTTTTGGAAAGAAATATGATTGCCTAAAGTTTAAGACTTTCCTGTTAACAATAATTTGCTCTGTTTGGTGGGTTAGGATGGCCATAAATTTTGTTTTCCTGTTTAATATAATCATTGTGTCCATTTAATGTTTGAGGAGTTCATTTAGTTTTAGTTAAGGTAGAAAGAGGAGGAATCCAATCCAACATCAAAGGTTTTTTTTTTTTTTTTTTTTTTTTTGAGACCAATCAATCTTCCCACTCTTCTGAGCCAAATATTCGTTTTGTTGAAGAACAGAGTCCAAATTATGAATGTAAATAAAGAATTAATTTTTTCCCATAGCGCCAAAAAGATACAGATTCCATATAGTTTGGACAGAGAGATAGATACACGTTGTCCATGGGAATTTCGGACAGTTGTATTATTTGTCCAACATAAGTTGCTGTTTTGTTTGATAATTTTGCCTTGTTTTATTCCAATTTGCAGGATCTTAACAATGTGATTCTCTTGAATGCGATAAAAGGTAAAAAGAGTTCACTGATATGGCTTCTTTAATCAGTTGAAATACATCATATCTTGATACCTTCTGTTATGGCAGCTCTAAAAGTTACAAATTTCCCATGAATTTTGCAGCTTTTTCTCCCTTGAAGATTAGACTAGGAGGTACCTTGCAAGATAAGGTCATTTACCAAACTGAAGATCATACCCAACCTTGCAATCCCTTTTCTTTAAGCCCATCTGAGTTGTTTGGTTTCTCCCAAGGCTGCTTACCATTGTCCAGATGGGACCAATTGAACGCCTTCTTCCAGAAATCAGGGTGAGATATTTCATTGTTTTCCTACCTACCTAAACTTGATGCTTTCCCTCTTCCAGCCTTCCCCAGAATTAATTTAACCTTTGTTTTCTATTTAGAGCTGAAGTAATTTTTGGTCTGAATGCTCTGAATGGGAGATCAATATCAACCTCATCTGGAACAGCTACTGGAGCTTGGAATTCCTCAAATGCCGAATCTCTTATTCGCTACACCGTCAAAAAGGGTTACACCATTTATGGTTGGGAACTTGGTAAGGAAGTCTGGCATGTCATAACAGTTTCCTGTTTCCCTTGTTGTGTGTAAATTTTTGGACAAATGAAGAATTTTAGCCAAAAGGGTTGGTTGATTCATAAATTGTTCAATTCTATCTGTGTCTTGCAGGAAATGAATTATGTGGAAATGGGGTTGGGGCAAGGGTTGCAGCAGATCAATATGCTTCAGACACAGTTGCATTACGAAACCTTGTTGAAGAAATATACCAGGGTGCTGCAAACAAGCCAAAAATCATATCCCCGGGAGGATTCTTTGATGAGGGCTGGTTTACCACTTTTCTGCAGAAATCAAACATGGCAGTGGATGCAGTTACTCATCACATATACAATCTAGGAGCAGGTATCTAGGATGTTAAAATATCAATATTTATACAATCCAAATCTCGTTGCCAACCAAAATCGCCCACTTGATTGAACCTTGTTCTTTTTTACATCACAGGAGTTGATCCACACGTTCTTGAGAGGATTCTTGATCCATCTTACCTAGATGGTGAGGCTGATACATTCAGTAGACTCAGAGGGGTAATCAGAAATTCAGCAACTTCTGCATCAGCATGGGTTGGTGAGGCTGGGGGGGCATACAATAGCGGCAGAAATGGCGTCTCCAACGCCTTCGTGTATAGCTTTTGGTAATGTAGCCATAACCCTTTTGACTAGGCAAGGGGTTCAATTCGCTTATCTGGCACTTCTGACTTCGAAATGATATTCAGGTATCTGGATCAGCTTGGCATGTCAGCAAGCTATGACACGAAAACCTACTGTCGTCAGACTTTGATTGGTGGAAACTATGGCTTACTAAATACCACCACCTTTGTGCCACATCCTGATTACTACAGGTGATGAATGATACTACCTTTGTGTTACTGCTAGTGATGATATCAATCTGATATAGCATTACGCTAAATGAGAAAGTTCTTGCTCCTCCAGTGCTCTTCTGTGGCACCAAGTAATGGGAAGAAACGTTCTGTCTACAAAATTTACTGGCACGAAGAAGATACGTGCTTATGCTCATTGCGCAAAGCAATCTGTAAGTCAATTCTGGCAACCAAGTTGCGCAAGAATTTATCTTTAATCACTCCCTGATATAACTAACCAACAAAATCTCCTGTTTTTGCAGAAAGGTATTACTTTGTTGTTTATTAACCTTGATGGGAGCAATTCAATAGAGGTCAAAGTGGCACATAGCGACACCATAAAGCATCAGAGACATCATCATCATCATCATCACCTGAAGTCAAAGGTTTTTCTGATGCATAAACACAGGAGAGTGTCTTCAGTAATAAGAGAAGAATATCATCTGACTGCAAAGGATGGAGACTTGCATAGCCAGATTATGCTGCTAAATGGGTATGAACTTGCTGTGGATAAAAATGGGAACATACCTCAACTCAAACCTCAATCTGCAAATGCATCAGAGCCCATAATTGTAGCACCTTACTCTATTGTGTTTGCTCACATGCCATATCTTCTTCTCCCAGCGTGCAACTAGAAATTTTAGGCGGGAGAATATAAATAATTCTTAACAGAAAACGGCTTCAATTCAATCGGAGCTGAATTTGGCTCCACGAATGAATAAATGTAATTCAATTCTTTTGTTCATTTTTGTTGGAATAGGCAAAAACACAGAAAGCCTTCACAAGAGGCTCCAGCTAGGTGATTATTATTTACAGGACAAAACAAGAGTGTACAAATTACGAGTGTGTTATGTCAATATCAGAGGAAAATATGCTACGAACCTATAATCGTTTGTAATACAGCGCAAGTGAGCGCTTCCCAAGATGGTTAATAGGACTTTACAACAGACTTAATACTCTTCGAGAAAGATTGTGGTTTACTGCTAACCAATGCTAACCACAAAATTGGACCAAGTGAGGTAGAAGAAGATGGATGGTGCAAACTATGAAATCTGCTGTCCACGTAAAATCTTCAGTTTCAAGACAATGGAATCAGACTTTTTCTGAACTTGGTATAATAACCCACATACCACACTGAACCTTGGAATCAAGTTGAGATTCATAATAGTTTAAAAATACCTAAAATAATAAGAAGCCAGACAGCTTTACTTATAACTTTTAAGAACTTCCATCCAGGAGACATCCTGCAAAAAATAGATGAATCATTCAAAAGGGTCACCAATACAATAAAAAATGATCACAACATCAACTATTCCAAAAAAAAACTTCCCAAACAATTGGGCCCAAATCACAAATTTTTAGAGCCTGATTAGGATGTGCATTTATTTACTGGAAACTGATTGAAAGCAGAATTTGGATTACAAAAGAAAGTCCAAGGAAGTCTGAGCCAATTCTTTCAAGACATTAAACTTAACATTAGATATTACAGTACGATTTTCCTATTTGAACATTGTGTTTCTCGCTTAGCCAATATCTAGTTAGAGGAGCAGTGTATGTTATGAGAAGACAATTCCACAACCTCAAAACAAGAATGAATAAACATAGAAAATGACTGTACGGTATTACCACAACAACAATAACATACCCAGTATATGCCCAACTTGGTTGGGGTTTGGGGGTCAAGATGTACGCAGCCTTACCCCTGTTTAAAAGACAGAAAATAACTAAATTTTCTACACAATGAGTTATATCAGTAGTAACACATTCTAGGTTTCCTTGCATTAATTATTCACTCTGATGTACATAAAGATATCTAAACCACTAAAAGCTTGCACATCACAAGATCCTAGTGATTGCAAATCAGTCATGGATAAACTTGTTTTGATGTATGATTGATTAGATAGAGCAGTGCACCATGTATGAACATCTAATAATAACAAATTTGCAAGATAAATAGCAGCAACCTTGATTATTGATGTTAAGTTAAACAGGACTACAACTTTCTTATTTGATTGATCATCCTGAATGAACCCCGCAACCAAAAGAAGCAACTCTAAAGTTAGTGACCAAATTAACTTTCGAGTACCGCCTTCATACCACAAAAACAAAAGAAACAGAAATAGACATTAAATGGTTAGACAAAAGAAACGAAAACAGACATATCAAATGGCTATCTAGACATCAAAACAAAAGAAGTTTCTGTTTTACAACTTTGCGCCACTAAATCAAGAAAAATAAAGTTTTACGTATTTATCCAGTAACAAAATATCAACTGCCAGCATTCTTTGACATTCAAGCAAATTTAACATGGGAAAAATTGAAGCCAGAAGAACCAACAAATTAAGGAAAAGAGTCCCCCGTTTAGCTACATTACAAGCTAATACCAAGAACGCCAAATATGAGGATTGCTGACAACAACCCATAATTTTGAGCAGTGGCTGAGCCAGGAATCAACAAGAGTAAGGGCGAAAAATCTTTAAAAAAATTCTTTGAGAGGAATAAAAATTTGTAAAATTTTTTTTTTTTGCAGGGACGAAATGAAAATTTTTCATAAAAATTTATGCCAAAAACTCTAATAAGATGTGATGAAAAAAAATAGGGAGGGGCCTACTGCTCCCCCTTCGCCCCTGATTATGGGTTGGTTTATTGGAGGAGCTGAAAACAACAAAAAAAAATAAAAATAAAAATTAGTCAAAAAACTAATTCGGGTCCTCCCATGACTCCATCTAATATCAAACTTTATAGATACTTGGAATCTCTTTATCATATCCAGCAACGATAAATTCAAGACATTGATTCTTGTTACCGAATTTGCTTAACTTATCTACCATAATTACGTTAATCATATTCGTAGCGAGGAAGGTGGACATTCTTAAAGAGTTGGTAAAATCACACTTGTATTGATGTACACATAGATATATTTATATACACATTGAACAAGTTACTAAACCCTAATTGTAAAAGTAAATATAACTATTTACGAGTTACTCCTTTACTCCCCCTCAAGTTAGAGCATGTAGATTCTTAATGCCCAACTTGCTAAGCAAAGTATGAAACCTATCCCGACCCAAAGCCTTGGTAAATATATCTGCTAGCTGCAAAGCAGAAGAATCGGTTGAGGCATAAGAAGTTTCGACTGAAAATGCTGTCGAATGAAATGACAATCAATCTCAATATGCTTGGTACGCTCATGAAAAACCGGATTAGCAACAATATGAAGTGCTGCCTGATTATCACAGAACAAATGAACTGGATTATCTGAGGGAACTCCCAACTCAATTAGAAGTCGTACTTACCACACAAGTTCACTGGTAGCTACCGCCATAGCTCTATATTCTGCTTCTGCTGAAGAACGCGAAACAACTGTCTGCTTCTTGGATCGCCATGAAAGCGGAGACATGCCCAAGAAGACAATATACCCTGTAGTGGATCGTCGGGTAGTGGGACATCCGCCCCAATCAACATCACAATATGCGCGTAGACGCAAAGAACTATCAGATGGTAAGAATATTCCTTGCCCTGGCGCTGTCTTCAAGTAGCGCATGACGCGCATTGCAGCATCAAAATGTGGCTGACATGGCTTATGCATGAACTGACTAAGGACATGGACCGCATAAGAAATATCCGGACGAGTAATGGTCAAATACAGAAGACGACCAACAATGCGCCGGTATCGACCAGGATCATCATACAACGTTCCGGAATCAAGATCCAACCCATGCTGTTGTTCCATTGGAGTGGAACTCGGACGACAACCAGTAAGTCCACATTCAGTCAGTATGTCAAGTGTGTACTTCCTTTGACTAAGTGCAATCCCAGCAGAAGATCGGGCTACCTCAATGCCTAAGAAGTACTTAAGGGGGCCAAGATCCTTAATATGGAAACGGCCATGAAGATACCTCTTAAGTCGACCAATCTTAAGGGAATCATTACCAGCCACTATTATATCGTCAACATATATCAAAGCTGCAATAAAAGAAGATCCACTACTGTAGATAAATAGAGATGAATCAGAAGAAGACTCCTTGAATCCATCAGAAACCAGTGACTGAGTAAATTTCTGGTACCAATTCCGAGAGGCTTGACGCAAACCATATAGAGACTTCTGAAGACGACATACACGTTGCTCCCCTTTTGTGGAAAAGCCTGCGGAATTTTCATGTATACTTCCTCATGAAGATCACCATGGAGGAAGGCATTAGTAACATCGAGCTGATGAAGTTCCCAATGACGAACCGAAGCAACAGCAAGGAGACAACGAACTGTAACCAATTTAGCGACAGGAGCAAAAGTCTCATGAAAATCAACACCTTCAATCTGCATATAGCCTTTGGCAACCAGACGCTCCTTGTAGCACTCAACACGGCCATCAGGAAGAAACTTAACCTTGTACACCCATTTAGAATCAATGGCTCGCTTGCCAGGAGACAAAGGAACGAGCTGCCAAGTATTATTGGCCTCAAGAGCCGAGATTTCTTTGGCCATAGCATCTCTCCAGTGTGAATATTTGACTGCCTGGGAAAAACTTGTGGGCTCATCCACGGAGGAAATGGCCGCTAACAAGGCAATGTGAGCTTTAGAAAAGCGAGAATAGCACAAATTATGAGAGAGGGGGTGTACCGTCGAGTTGACTGATGGAGAGGCAGAGGGCGACGATGGAAGAGACTTGTTGGCCAAGCATTTGGAATAATTGCTGGAGTTGGGCGGCGGATAATGAAGCCAATGGAGCAGATGAAGGCTGAGGCAACATCGGAGCAGCAGGAACAACTAGATTGGAAACCGAAGAGCCACGCGATTGAGACTGCACCTCCCGTTTCTGTCGAGGTTTTCTCCAACCAGGAGGGTACCCGACAAGCGCATAACATGAGTCCCTGGAGTGATTCAATCGACCACAGTGACTGCAGGGAGACATGGCACCGGCAGAATCGCGAGCTTCTCGACGAACCGGGGAACTCTTCACAGCCAGAGTTGCAGTGTCAACAATAGGAAGCCGAGAATCAGCCAAACGTCATTGTTTTTCGTCGCTAGCAACAATAGCATACGCCCGGCCGAGTGTAGGAAGGGGATCGAGGGCAAGAATCTGAGATCGGACCGTCTTGTATGTGTCATCAAGTCCCATCAGAAAATCGAAAACTTTCTCCTCTTCAGTCAAGGTTTGAAGCTGCTTGTTCAGATCACACGTACAACCGCCGCATTCATAAGCGGGAAAGGGGCGCAAATTTTGGAGTTCGTTCCAGGTCGCTTTGAGTTTGCCGTAGTACGTGGAAGTGAGAGATCGTTCCTGCTGAAGCAAGGCAATGGAACGTTTCAATTCATACAACCGGGGAGCCAGGCCTTGTGAAAAGCGTTCATCAAAATCTTCCCAAATTGCTTGAGCTGTGGGAATGTGAGTGGCTTCGGTTTGAAGCTCCTTGCAAACTGTGTTGAGAAGCCATGACTTGATCAATGCGTTGCATTGAATCCAGGACTGCAGGTCGGCAGAATCAGCAGCCGGCATGGGAATTGATCCATCAACAAAGTCTGCTTTGTTCTTGGATTGAAGAGCGGTGAGGAAGCTACTCCGCCAAGTGAAGAAGTTGTCTCCGTTCTCGGCCAAGGGTTAGGTGACGAAGTTCAAACCCGGATGATTAGACGGGTGAACGTAAAAGGGAGAACGAGGATCAACCAAAGTAGTTGCAGGTCTGGTTTTGTCAGCCAAAACCGTATCCGAAGGTCCGGTGGTTTTGTCAGCCATCTTCGAACAAAAAGATGGAGCAGGCGGTGGAAAAAAACTTGTGAAATCGGCCGCCGAAATTGGAGAGTTTAGGTTGGTATATGATTGGAATCCAAGTAGACATTTCAACATTAGGTTGGTATTAGGTTGCACTTTTGGAGACTGAATTTCAACATTATTTATGCCTCATCGAAACCAAAATTAATTTGAAAGTGATTAAGCCGATTAGACATTATCATGGTACTAGGGTTTATCGACAATTCTTGTCTAAGCCAAAAGAACTTTTTGAGAGAGGTGGTTTCAGTTGAACCCCATCTTTAAGGAGTTTCTAGTCTTTACAATTGCACGAACATATAAAGAATTTCAATCATGAAATGAAAATAAACAAAGTCCTGGAATGGGGAATTAAAGATAGTACTTTTTTTTTTTTTTCTGGTCGCACTCATCCATATGCGCATCTCCATTTCTCCAAGTTTTTTCATGGTTTTCATTGTACCAATTCGACAGTGAATGAGGTAGGAAAATAGAAATTGTAATCTAATGACATAGATAATAGATTTAATTATATTATTCAGTAAACCTTGTTCAAGGATTGAGTTGGGGGTAAGAGTTGCAGCAGATCCATTATTCATCTGACACCATTGCATTACTGAAACCTTGTTCATGCCGCAAACAAGCCAAAATTCATAACCCCAGCAGGATTTTTTTATGAGGGCTGGTTCACCACTTTTCTGATTAACAAGATGTAGTTACTCATCACATATACAATCTAGGACCAGGTATCTGGGCTGTTAAAATATCAACATTTGTACAATCCCAATTCCATTACCAACCAAAATCGCCCGCTCGATCGAATATGGCTCTTTTTTAATGAACAGGAGTTGATCAACGCCTTGTCGAGAAGATTCTTGATCCATCCTACCTAGATGGTGAGGCAGATACATCTAGCAGGCTCAAAAGGGTAATCAGAAATTCAGCACCTTCTGCATCAGCAGGGGTTGGTGAGGCTGGCGGGGGGGCATACAATAGCAGCAGAAATGGTGTCTCCAATCCCTTCGTGTATAGCTTTTGGTAATGCAGCCGATACCCTTCTGACTTGGAAAGGTGTTCAATTCGCTTCTCTGGCACATCTAGTTTCGAAATGATATTTAGGTATCCGGATCGGCTTGGCATGTCAGCAAGCTATGATACATAAACGTACTGTCGGCAGACTTTGATTGGTGGAAATTATGGCTTAGGAAATACAACCACTTTTGTCCCTCATCCTGCCTCATCCTGATTACTACAGGTGAGGAATGATTCTACCTAAATGGGTAGATGCGAAACCTCTTGCTTCTCCAGTGCTCTTCTGTGGCACTAAGTAATGGGAAGGAACGTTCTATGTACAAAATTTACAGGCACGAAAAAGATACGTGCTTATGCTCATTGGCAAAGCAATCTGTAAGTCAATTCTGGCAATCAAGTTGCGCAAGAATGTATTTTTAATCACTCCTTGATATAACTAACCAACTAAATCTCCTGTTTTTTTGCAGAAAGGTATTACTTTGTTGCTTATTAACCATGATGGGAGCAATTCAGTAGAAGAATATCATCGTCGTCATCATCTGAAATCAAAGGTTCTTCTCGTGCATAAACAAAAGAGTGTCTTCAATAGTAAGAGAAGAATATCATCTGACTGCAAAGGATGGAGACTTGCACAGCCAGATTATGCTGCTTAATGGGAATGAACTGGCTGTGGATAAATATGGGAACGTACCTCAACTCAAACCTCAATCCGCAAATGCATCAGAGCCCATAGTTGTAGCACCTTACTCTATTGTGTTTGCTCACATGCCATATCTTCTTCTCCCAGTGTGCAGCTAGAACTTTTAGGCAGGAGAATAAATAATTCTTAACACAACACAGCTTCAAAGTTTAAATTCAATTGGAGCTGAATTTGGCTCCACGGATGAATAAATGCAATTCAATTCTTTTCTTCTTTTGTGTTGGAATAAACAAAAACACATAAACCCTTCACAAGAGGCTCCAGCAATATATGACTGTTATTTACAGGACACAACATGAGTTTACAAATTACAAGTGTGCGGTTTCAGAGTATGTATATATCAGAGGAAAATATGCTACAAACCTACAATCCTCTGTATACAGCGCAAGTGAGCGCTTTCCAAAATTGTTAAGCTGATCACGAGTAAAAGCTATTGATCAACTAAAGGACTTTACAATAGAGTTAATCACTCTTCGAGAAAGATTGTGGTTTACTGCTAGCAAACGCTAACCAGACAATTGTACCAGTGAGGTAGAAGAAGATGGATGGTGCAAACAATGAAATCTGCAGGCCACGTAAAATCATTGAATTCTGTTCAAAGTTTTGAAATGCTGAAAAAAAAAATATAGCTAGGATTTCGAAGGGAGGCAGCTTACACTCCAGGAATGAGTGGAGTCAAGTAAATACCCCGTCAGCGCAACACCAACAATTCCAGGAACTGCTCCGACAGTGTTTGTGATTCCCTGCGAATCCAATATTCACTCTTTACATCAGGTATCTTCCAAAAGTATCGAACCACCACATATTGAAGGCTAATTTGCTAAGTTCATATTTCAATCTACAAACATTAAATTCAGGCTGAATCTGCAAGAATTGATTCTTACACCCATAACAAAACTTCACTGAGTTCAAGGCTTACACCCAAATGACCTCTCTTTTGTGACTGCCAACTCATACTATTTTAATAGACTTATTTATTTATTATTATCATTTTTGGGTAAACATTAGCTTTGTTTTCACTGTGAGGAAAGTTTATCAGGGACTCACTGCCTTCCAAACCATAAATTTTCCAAGAAATTGACATTACTTACCAAAAGTATGCTCGCGTATTCAGGGGAGATATCTTGATGAGTGCAGTATAAACCTACAAAACCGAGGAAATCATCCATTTCACAATTGATATACATATAATCAATGGATTACCGCCAAAAGTTGAATTGACAAATCAAGCCAATATGCCTTGTACCTGATAAGGCAAAACTCGACAGTGCCAAACCTCCAGTGAGGATTGTCACAACCTCCCATGGAGGCAGTCCCAAATCCACGGAAGAGAGCATCATACAGGTTGCTGGAGACAGAAAAGCAATTGCTTGGCAAATCTTTCGAACCTGTCAGTACAAATAAACAATCTGTTGGATATAAATTCCGCCATTTTAGGAAGAAATGTGTTTGTGTAAACAAATCTAGTGTTTACGTTCTTTTCTACAAAGGAAAAACAAGTGAATAAGCAAGTGAATTATTTTCCTCTGTATTACAAACCTTAGTAGTATCAACCCCTTTGGCAATTAAATTGTCAGCTAACTGAGCAGCTATGCTAGTGATGAAAATTGAAGCTAATGGGGGAAAGACTGAGACCTGAAATAAAGAGATAAGCTTTCAGAGACGGAAATATGCCAAGAATTATGTAAATACACATTATATGAGTAGAATTTGCACTTTAATAAGCTTTCAGAGATGGAAATATGATATAAACTGACCCATGCAGCTTCGGTCAGATTCAGATTCAGCTCCTCACTGCAGATTATGGAGGCAGAAACTTCAGTTTCAAGACAGTGGAATCAGACTTTTCTGAACTTGAAAAAATAACCCACTTATGCCCATTGAAACTGAAACCTTGAAATCATGCTGAGATTCATAAGAGTTTAGAAATACCTAAAATAAGTAGGAAGCCATGATAAACATGTATAATGGCCCCAACTTCCACAAAAATGTGCATATATCATAGCCCAGACAGCTTTACTTTTAAAAAATTCCATCCAGGGAACATCCTGCAAAAAAGATGAACCATTGAAAAGGGTCACTAATCAACAAAGATCACCACATCAACTATTCCAAAAAAACACTTCCCTGATAATTGTCAATTGAGCCTAAAGCACAATATTTTTAGAGTCTGATTAGAATTTGCATTTATTTGTGGGAAACTGATGGAATGCAGAACTTGGATTATAAAAACAAAATGTCCAAGGTATTCTCTGCTAATACTATTAAAATCTCAGGGAAATCAAGCAGCAAGCCTTACTGCTGACTGATTTAAAACATGTAATGTATTTAAAATAATCACTTGGATTCAATTCGTAAAATATGCTCCAATTGCATCAGAATTATTCTCACATTTCTGATTTCTGAAAGTACGATATGCCGGCAAAAAACTAAACAGCTATACCTTCACTGCTCCTCCCAGTTCTTCCAAGGACCAACCTAATGACTGATTCTGAGGTGCGTACTGAAGCCCTGGAAATGTAAAACTCTTATCAGCACAGAGGAAAGTGATCGCAAGAGGAACTTGAAGACATTAAACTTTACAATAGATATAATGATTTCCCATTTAAACATTGTACTTCTCCCTCCGCCAATATGTTGTAGAGGAGCAGTATATATCACTAAAAAGACAGTTCACACCCTTAAAACAAGAATGAATGAAGAGAAAATGACTATATGGTATTAAAAGGCAGAAAATAACTATAAAGTTTCATCATGATGTATATCAGCTATATGGCATTCTAGGTTCCTTGCATTAGTCACTCATCTGATGTGCATAGAGTTATTTAAACCACTAAAAAACTTGCACTTCACAAGATCCTAAAGCAAATTAGTCACAGGTAAAATTGATATTTTGATGTGTGATGGATTAGACAGCACACTGTACCATGAATCAACATCTAGTAATAGCAAAGATGGAGTATAACCAACAGTGCCATTGATCACTGATGTTAAGTTACATTATATGGTAGGACAATGAAAGACTTCAACTTTCTTACTTGATGTGGTTGAAGCACCTACTGAAGATTGATTATCCTCAATAAACTGAAAAACCAAAAACCTGCAACCGAAGGAAGCAACTTTAAAGTTAGTGACAAAATCAACTTACAAGTACACTTCATAACCCAAAAACAAAAGACGAAAAACAGACATATCATATGGTTATCTAGACATCAGTCTGTCCTATTATACATATCAAAACAAAAAAAGGTTTCGGTTTCACAACTTTGCACCCCTTTTAGCTACTTACCAAGCTATACCAAGAACGCCAAATATGAGAAACACGGACTCCCACCCATAACTTTGGATTATTGGAGGGGCCAAAAGCAGCCTGTTGAAGAACAAATTAATAGTTAGTCAAAACTAACAACCCTTTAAGAAGGAAAGACAAAGGACTTCCACTTCAGAATAAGTTTCCCTTTTCTATTTTATCATACAGCCTCTTTTTTAGCTATACGGACCTATATATTTCAGTGTCATGATGACAAAGGCAAGATCAAATTAAAAAAAGAATAGATATATCGGCCTTCAGAGGTTTCCAGCAGTTCATAAACTGAAGTGGAAAACTAAATTTGAGGTGCCTCAAGAAAGAAATCTAGAACACCACTTAATGAGGATACTAGAGCATTTCCCTGAACAACCTCACATGTAACCATGTAACACATTTCAGGTGAGAACGACTATGATGGCAAACATAAATCCATATGTTATCATGCCATTCACAATCTAAAATTTAGGAAAAAATTACCCTATAACACTTCCAAAACTCAAACCACCAAAAACAAATGAGACAGCTCGGGAGCGCTCTTCTAGCGGTATTGACCTGCAAAAGTTTGAATTTAATTTAAATCAACCAACTTCAGCCATAGCAGAACTAAATTTGCAATCATACTGAAATGAACCAGAAGAAGTTCAGGAGTCATAATTCAAATTCAAAATGTAAAATCAGAAAATTCTACAACATCATTCGACATTCAAAATAGAAAAATTCAAAATAAAACCAGCTGCATTCTATGGAAGAAACAACAAAAGATCTACTTTGTACATACCGAGAGCAAATTTATGCACTTTTCATGAGAAACCTTTCACCAAATTTTCCTTTCTATCAATACGTAAAAAAGGTTTATGATAGAGTCTGGAGATGCAGCTAAAAAGCCAAAGGTACTTTATAGAGATGGCCTCAAACGTATTATGAAAATTGGCAAGAAGTTAGAACTTCTAGAACAGTACAATTTATAAGTTCATGTTACCACCAAGATGCAAATCAATAAATTAAGAAACTCGAAAAACAAAAGCATGCATCCAAGAACTTTCAGAGTATAACATGCCTGGCAATCAAGTCAGTTGCAGCTGATGGCGAAACACCTTCCCCAATACCAACCTACATTACGATTGAAAAGCAACATTCATTAAATGGAAAGATGAAAAATAGACCATAAAAGAAAATCATGATATTAAGCTCTCCAGCAACAATGTAAACCATTGCAGATACAAAACAATATGGAATGATAGACATGTACAGCAAAATTACCAAAATCCTGGAAAGAACAAGTCCAGGCATGAACCCAGCGACAAAAGGAACTAGTGCGGTAGCAACTGACCAGCTGAGAACTCCAACCTGAAGAACCTTCCTGCAAAGGAAAATGCCAACCCTGAGTACAACTTAACAAGAAACTAGCAGCAAGTGAAAAGTTTTCCCCATTTTTTTAATCAGCTAAGACAGCTTCAAATTTTAAAATACTGAAATACAACTCAAGGCACTGCTAGCTCAGATTTAACTTTCCTTGATTTTCTTATCTGCCATCATGAACTCATGACTTCAATTGTTTTTGTGAAAGCTACTGTCACACTCCTCATATGAGCTCTAACTAAAATGAAGCATATAGCTTCACAACCATATGCTGTACTCTTTTGCGCTTCCCTATTCTTTTGGCAACTTCCCTTTGCTTGTATAAGACCTATATGGCTTATGTCCATCAAAGTTTTCTTATCCAGATGTTTCTAAGTCCAATCAATTCGAAGAAAAAAAAAAAAAAGTACACTGCGTTCATTATTTTATCATCAAATGTGCCAAGGATAAGCTGACATACTAAAGCATTAGCTTCTGAAGCTCCGGTTTAGTCCTCGAAAACTAACCTTCCACCAAATATCCTCGCCAGCCATCCGCCTGGCAACTGACTTAGAGCATAACCCCAGAAGAAGGATGACTGCACTAGTCCAGCTGTGGATGAGTTCCAACCAAATTGATGAGACATTGGAATTATAGCAACACTCAAATTCACCTATCCAATAAGCAAAACCAAAATTAGTTATTATGGCTACACTGAGCTAGCATTACAGTTACAAATGAATGTATATACCATGTATAATTGAAACAAAATTTATCCACAAAGAGAAATTCAAGAATCATCACTGACCTTGTCCATATTGCAAATAACAAATGCCAGAGCAGTAGTTCCAATGAGCTTATATCTCTGAGGAATACTCTTCCATGGAGGCCAATTCCACTCCAAGCCCCCTTCCTTCCCCTTAATTCCATCACCTAATTCATCCTCAATACTTTTTACAAGTTTCTTCTGATCTTCAACAAAATTTTCCACCCCTTTCTCTTTCACTCTGCAAGAAACTTTTAATCTCAAAGTATGCTTGTGCTTGAATGGTAAAACATTCAAGAAATACTGTCTGGAAGATGAATTAAAGATTGTAGCTTTGTGGGTTCTGTGGCACAAGCTTCTCTCAGCCCCTAAAGCCACTCTAGCCATTACTGAAAACCAAAAAAAAAAAAAAAAAAAATTCTCTTTTGGCAATGCAACAAACAACAAAGGAGCAACCTTTGAGGCTAAGAAATGCAGAGTTCAACAATGCATACGGGCAAACAGTTCCATACGCCAGAGGAAAGCAAAGGGGAAGAAGAAAACGCAACTCCACAGTCCAGAATCAAAAAAAGGGTTTTGAGGTTGCCACGGAAGCTTTGGTTTGTGGCGCCCATTTAACTGAAAAAATACTTGGTGACCATAATATTATTTTTCCTTTTCTTTTTGAAATATAGTAGTTTTTCTTGCTTCAAAGTCTTTCACTCAACTTTAGTAGGGCCAAGCTCTGTGACTTGACTTTGGGTCTTTTGAATAGTCAATCAATCAATCCTCTGATCCCTGAGAAATTCACCTTCAGGGGTTTCCAAATCACCATCTCTCCCAATTTAGAAACTTGCAAAATATTTTGTTCTGGACAGTGTGAAAAAAAAATGCATCCTTCACCGCTGCAAGTGACACCAACAATTGATATCGGTGTTCTTCAGAGTAATTCATCATCGCCGGAGGTCTATCAACAACTTGATAAGCTCAAGGTGATCCTCGGAATCTGCGGTTATCTTCAGGTTTGACTTAACGAACTTCAACTTATTCACTTATTCTATTCTGCTGCTTTTGTACTATTGTAAATTTGTATTGCTGTTTTGTGGTAATACCCATCATGTACTATGTAGGTGGTTAATCATGGAATAGAAGCATCGATTCTTGACGAATTGTGTGATGTCAGTAAACGATTTTTTGCTCTTCCGCCGGAGCAAAAGCACAAGTTCACACGGCCCGGAGCTGCTGGTGCTCGTTTTGATGCTTTTCTGAATGATCAAATTCTCATTGATAATCAGATTGTCAATCAGGATGATAGGCTTTTTCTCGATTTGGACCCTGTTGGTGATCAGAGGACACTGAAAGCTTGGCCGGATAACCCTAAAGACTTCAGGTAATTCGAAAAGACTGCAACTTTATCATACAAATAATTGTTGTTCAAGTGATCATGCTTCAAAAGTTTTTCTTGGCCCTTTTTTATGTATATACTGTGGGTAGGAAAATTCTGCTTGAATACTCAAAGAAGATACAAAAGTTGAATGGGATCATACTCAAGGCCATGGCAAAATCACTGAAATTGGAGGAGAATTGCTTTCTGAAACAATATGGAGAAAGTCCAAGCCTGCTGGCAAGATTTAACTCTCACCATCCTTTTCCAAGCTCTCAACAGTTTTTTCTTGAAAATGGGGCAGATGCTTCGGCATTGACGTTTCTTATACAAGATCAAGTGGAAGCCCTTGAAGTCCAGATTGATAATCACCGGTTCAGAATTCCCTTAACTCGTCATACCATACTAGTGAAAGTTGGTGACCAAGTCGAGGTTAAAGAATGCTAAAATTTCCCTTATCTGATTTTTCCGTTTGTACATGAAGACTTTCAAACTGTTGTTGCATTTCTTCTGCACTTTGAGAACATTAGATCATTAAACTTCTGTTCTTTTAGCTTGATGAATCGGGTTTTTTGGGGGTTGTTTTTGTGCGTGCAGATCATGTCTAATGGCAATTTTAAGAGCCGAATGCATAGGCTTGTGACAAGCGCAGACAAAGAGTGGATTGCGGTATCTGTGTTCTGTAGTCCGGATAATAGGAACCACATTGAACCAGCAGAAGAGCTTATTGATGAGAATATGCCAAGGTTATACAAGAATGTGGTTGATTATACTGGTACATTTTTCCAAGAGCATCGCAATAGAGGTCAGAGATTGATCGACGCAATCAAATTTTGATCTTGATGCAGATAGTTGTATCCACATGGTTCAAATGTCGCGTAACTATTAGTAGTGTTTGTATCCCATCAATGTTTGTTCGTTTGAAGTAGTAAAACAACCGGCAACTTTGGATGTATACTCTTCAGTTATACCACTTTTACTCTTTATGACAAACAAGACAATTGTTTTGGAACAAAGCTGAATACTAATTTCCATCAAGTTAAAGTAGTGTTGTTGTATCAAGTTCTTTGCTGACATTATATTCATCTTGTCATCTAAGCAAAGGACAGGATTACGAACTTAAAATTTTTGTTTCTCTCCGTTGGCTAAACCAGAAGTGTTCATCAGTTGTTGGTGGAGTGAAGCCAAATCCATCTCCACATGATCTTCCCTGGAAACAAGAAGAATCACGTTCGCTTCGCGCCGGTCAAGAAATCAACTGTCCCCCTTCTTCGTTCTCTTTTCCCTTCAATATTGAAACAAGTAGTTGCCCTTAAAATAACATCAATCTATCACTGTTTGCACCCTATAAAAAGGGGCCAGTAGTGACGGTATGCCTTACTCAACTAACTGGAAATGGCACTTGGACTTAAAAATGTTCACAAAATGTTCCTTCAAGGCAGCAAACCACCGCCTCGATACATTGTCAAAGAAAGCAAATTTGGGCTCGTTGACAGATCCCCTCCATTAGCTCCCATTCCAACTATCAATCTAAGCCTTCTGTTGTCTTCATCTCCAGCTCCTGATGAAGAGCTAGAGAAACTAAGATCCGCCCTTGATTCATGGGGTTGTTTTCTGGTATGAATTATACTATTGTAGTTCATTTTGCAGTAAAATCTATTTTCTAATTTGTTGTGGAAGGAAACTGATTTGTGTTCCAACTTCATCATATTAGATGACGGGGCATGGAATTCCACCTTCATACCTCAAGAAGGTACTCAATGCTACAAAAGAGTTCTTTGAACTACCAATTGAACAGAAGGAAAAGTACTCGAGGAGATCTTCAAATGATGGTGAAGGCTATGGAGGTGATATTATATTTTCTGAAAAACAAGTTCTTGATTGGTCAAACCGTCTGGCTCTTAAATTACTCCCTGAAGATCAAAGAAGGCTGGAGCTTTGGCCAGAAATACCGGATGGTTTTAGGTACTCAACATACTTTTTCTTTTTCAAGAACACATTTTTAATCTCAATGATTAATACAAAGGAAACTGCATTTCGGTTTCAGGGAAATCTTGCATGATTACCCTGTAAAGATAAAGGGAATCCTTGATCTTCTGTTCAAAATTATGGCGAAGCTGTTGAAGTTGGAAGAGGATAGCTTCTTAAACCAGTTTGGAGAAAGAGCATTATTGCTTGCAAGATTCAATTTTTATCCACCTTGTCGGAATCCTAATGAAGTTCTTGGTCTGAAACCTCATTCGGATAAATCCGGGGTGACTATACTCTTACAAGATGATGAAGTTGAAGGCCTCCAAATTTCCAAGGACCATGAATGGTTCAAAGTTCCTGTGGTACCTCATGCATTGGTTGTTAACATTGGTGACCAAATGCAGGTAAGTTTGTCTATTCCTCGAGGAGAAATGAAAGATTAACTCGGAAATTTAACTTTTCTTCCTGTTTTTATCATCCAATTCTGTGCAGATAATGAGCAATGGAATAATCAAGAGTCCAGTGCACAGAGTAGTAGTGAACCCCGAAAAGTTGAGGGTCTCAGTGTCCATCTCCAATGAAGCAGAACAAGATAAAGAGATTGGCCCTGTTCCTGAACTGGTAGATGAGAAAAGACCAAGATTGTACAGGAATGTGAAGAACTATGGTGCTATAAATTTGGAATGCTTTCAGAAAGGAGAAGTTGCAATCGAAACTGTTAGAATTTAACTTGCTATAGGATTGACTACAAGCATTGTTCATTTCCACATTTGGGAGATCAAATTGGTAAAATCTGCGTCAAAGCTTTTGTTTACGTATTTATTCTTCGTTTTAATTTAAGAATATCAAAAGTTATATTGGAAATGTAGAAAATCTATAGAAAACATTTCAAGGTAATATACAAGAGATTTTTACCAGTTATTTGAACATAAGTTTTCTTTGTGAGAGGCAGAGCCACAACGCCTTGCAAACCATGCTAGAAGACAAGTACATCAGATAGAGCAGGACAAGGGTTTAAGTACATATACATGGAGAATGAGAAGAATGGACAGATTAATGGGGGATGAACTATAAATGTATATCGATTTACAGATATCAAAATGACTCAAAGAGCACCGGGTAATGTGTCCGTATCAGAGTCATCCACTGTGAGCCAGTCGCTTGAATCCTCGCCTTCTGAATCTTTACCACGCCTAGTTGGCAATCCAGACTTATTCAGACTACCATGTGATCCCGAAGTTTCATTTAACCGAACCCATTCGTTTGACTCGCTGGCTGATGAAGCTCTTCCACTTTGAGAAGGCTTGAATGAAGATGCTCTATCTGATGATTCATTGTCATCATCCTCCAGATCACTGAATGAAACATCGTCCAAGTCCTCAGTGTCTTTCAAGTCATTCAAGGGCTTATTCTTACCAGCATCTTCATGCTTCAATGACTCCTCTGGATACAGTGTTTGAACTTCTCTCTTCCCAGAGCTACTGGCTTCCTCAGGTGTGATATCAGCTGTCTTAGATGTATAGTCTTGTGCTGCATTTATCTGTTCATTTCCGGTAGAGGTGTTGCCAGTTTCAGAACCTGAACTCTCCATTTGTGCATCCTTATCCTTTTTATTTTGCAATTTTTTCAAAAGTGTCTCTCTCACTTCAACAATCTGCAAAGACAGTGAAACTAAATGTTTCAAAACAAAGAGACAAAAATTTTACTGTAGATCATCAAGAATACAATTTTATTTTTTTTTTGAAAATAATCAAGAATACACTAATCTCAGTGGAAAGTACAAGACTACATCGCAAAGGATATGCAAATTGAAAAAAAAAAAAAAAAAAAAAAAAAAAAAGAAAGAAAGTTAAGTTAAATCAGAGCATGGAAATGCATCTTGCCTGAGAAGTTGATAAAAGCTCAGAATCAGTCTCATTTAATCTTGGTAGCAAGAGTATAAAATAGATCATCCAAAACTGTCCATCACTCAGATTATTGCACGTCTGCCTCAAAGTCAGAATGCTAGGGACCAATTCCTCAATTGTGGCAGCATGTTCTCTTTGAACATCAGACAAATTGAAATCTGTAAGAGAACTAAAGCTTGCTGAGTATCTTGGCAGGAAATAAGTCCCAAACAGGTAAAGTGATTCTTAATGAGCACAATTCTTAATGAGCACAGTTGTTAATAAATTCTAAACTGCTTTCATAGCTGCCCCCAGTCCGCACACAAAAGAGGAAGGGAAAGAAAATTCAAGCATTTAGTCATCAGCTACCATGGCTCAACTTCAACCCTGAAAACCTTCAATCTGAATAAAACATACTTATAGTTGAGAACCAAGCACCAGATGTATCATAATAGCACCACGTGCAGCTAATGGTCCAAAAATTTGAAAAAAAAACTTTTTTAAAAAAAATAATAAATAAATAAATAAAAGAAACAAAAAAAACAAAAATAGGCAGATGATCACTAAAGAGAAGAATCCATAACTACTTCCCCTTCTTTTCTCTAAGGGTGGAAAAGGGGTGGGCTGGAGTGATAGCTTGAAAACAACCGACGCCATGGAGATTTACACATGAATCTGAGCAAAGAGCTTCCAATCTACTTGGCTTCAAATTAGATGATTGGAGATGCATAACCTAACATATGACACTTATAACATAGTAGCAAGGAACTAACTACTCTAGAAAAATAATGGTTGGTGGATCTTATCAGCTGATAAAATGGCAGGTGAAGATAAAATAGCTGTCCAATGACAATCAATGACACTTTCAAAAGCATAAGTGCAGAACATGAAAGGATATTGATCACATCGTGGCAACCATTAGTCTAGGACTGCCGCAAACCCAGTCAATATTTCACAGATGATAAAGATAAAATGGCTTTTCTTTACCATTCCTATTAAGCTATTCTGTGAAATAGTACCACTGAAATCAAGTGGCATTGCCATGATAGAACAGAAACCATATGCCCGTCCCGTCTAACAACAGCAAGGATGTAAGCTCCATACAGGTTGTTCTTGTAAGGGAACCGTGGCACAATTCAATGATAAAGTCAAATTCCAATGAGTTTCACCTCCAATCAACACAGTGAGTGATAAATTTCACGCATTTCAAAATTCCAATAACAAACACAAAGAGAGGATGCTTGCTTCCCTGTAAAGCCAAAAACAACACATTTCTGAACCTAAACAAGCCACTTAGGAATACAGTACAACAACTTAAACTGCACTTCCACAAATACATGTGAAAGAAGTTCAACTTTCAACCACACCAACAACAGCAACCAAAAATCCATTACTTAAACAGAAGCACGATCCATTAAACACCAATCGAAGTAAGAAAAAAGAAAGTTTACCGATGGGTAAAGAGAGCGGAAAATCAGTCCATAGCTCAGGCCTTAAGGAAGCTTTTCGCACAAAGTCCACAACATCTTCGTTAATTCCAGGAATGTCCTCTTCGGGGTCTTCTTCCTCTTCTTGATCATCCTCTTCCTCGTACTCCTCACGGATGGCGTCGTCATCACCTTGGAACTGTAAAAGGTTAGAAGCAAACTTCGAAATCCCAGAGGAAGAAGACGAAAAGAGGGACTTAAAACCGCCACCAATTTCAGCTAAATCCTTTTTAATCCCAGTAATTGTTTCATTAGAATCACGAGTTGGAGGCGGCGACGCCGTTATCCTAGTAGTACTAGAAGCATCTTTATCGGCGAGATAACTATTATTAGCAGTTGACGGCGGCGGAGCCAGAAACGCCGCAACTCCCCGGAGTTGCTGCGAGAAAGACTGAGAGAGGGCAGAGAGGTCTTGTTTGACGCCGGCAGTCGGAGAAGATGTAGAATTCGGCGAGTTCGGTGGCCGGGGATGACGGTGAGTAAAGGGTTCACCGTAATTAGCATTACTACTGTCTTGATCTTCGCCGCCGCCACCGCCGAAGCCGTCATCGTCGTCGGAGAAGGGATTGGGAAGAGAGAATGATGAGAACCAAGTTGACATTTTTTTTTCTCCCTTTTTCTATTTTCTCCTTCGGGGCTTTGAAACAGTAAAAAACAAGCAAAATGGAAGCTTTTTCTTTTTGGGTTTTGAAAGAAGCAGACTGAAAGCCAGGGCACGATTTCCGATTTATTAAAATGGGAAGATTTATTCACCAAAATATATATATATATATATATTAAATTGGAAGATTTTGCTTTCAAAAAAGAAAAAGAAAATAGAATATTTTTCTTTTTGTAGTGCAAAGTACAACTTCAAGTAGCTTGGCTTTCCGGTTACGGTGCAGTCAAACGTCAATGACGACAATTCATTGGTCCAAATGGTTAGACCAATTTTCGAGTTTGAGTTTCGTGAATGGACAAACCCAATCTCGAAACACTAAATTAAATTCTTCTACGAATAAAGATTAATATGAATAAGGGTTTAATATGAATGTTTATAAGCTTATTAGGAATACGAACACCTAATATGAACAACGTTTGGTTTATGGATTAAGAGGCAAATGCGAGATAATGATGATATAATTAAAACGATAAAGAAAGTATAAATAAGTTGTTGCCTTCAAATTTCAAAGGTTGAATCTATTTCCGATCAAAATGACAAATATTCATTGATAGTACAAGAATGTCTAGAATCACATATGTTACAGACCAAATATATAAGCAATGGTGGTCAGGAAAATCTGGTGGTCTGAGCACGTGACAAAAAAATCTCCAATTCGGACAATTATTATTTATCATCATCCCCAAACAGAAACAATCAATGATTTATGTGCCTACCTATTTTCTTAAACAAATCTTCATCCTAAATCCTGCACTGCACAGCTTTATATGGTACACATCTATCCTTTCAGGTATGTCCCAAATCTCTATATCCAAAACTAGATACAGCTCCATCCTCTCCAAGTGTGTTTTGAGCGCGACGGGGTGATACAATCTTACAGCACTCTGCTCAGATGAGACCTGAATATGGATTGTATGCTTGCTGAACTGGCATGCCTGGGCCGTAGGGGTGGACGCCAGCTCCATATGGATTGCCAAAGGGATTACCGGGTTGCGGTGGCGGGCTCGTCATCATCATCTGCGGTTGCTGCTGAAACATGAATGCCTGTTGTTGGTTGGCCATGGCTGCCATTTGAACATTAGTTGGGGCAGCTACTCTGTTGGAGGCATAGAATGGATCATGCACTGTTGGTACCATCATCTGACTGGCCATTGGTGCTTGTTCCCAAGGATTATAGCTTACAGGCTGGCTGGTTCTTCTGATTGCGTCGTCATATAAGCTGTCTAATGTGAGTTTGTCCAGTCCTCCAGCCTTTTCAACAGAAGTAGCAATTTTCAGAATCAGAAACCTCATTAAAAGAAGAAATTTTCAGAATCAGAATCCTCCTACTGAGCTATACAAAATGGCATCAAAAGAAAAGGAAAGAAAAGTAGAACTCTATTGTGACTAACTACTGACACAGGCAAGAACTCAATTACTGTATATACTGAAGGAAATGTCAACAAACAAATACCAGTTTGCTGGTAGTTGTTGCACTCCCATTGGAACTGGGAGCAGTAACAAGCGCCAATTCCCAGCCAGTAGCTCCATTAGTCAAACCAGTTGAAGCCGGTTGGTCAGCAGCATCTACAACAGGAATTAATAAGTGTTTCAGAAATAAAAAAATAAAAAAACACAAAAAGGCAGTCAAGAATTCCTCCAGTGATTAGGGGAAAACGAAGCTGCATACTGCAAGTGACTTACCAACAGGTACAATGGCTAAAGCCAACGCATTCTTCTCGTCCAACTCTGATGCAGCTGGATTTGGTTCTTTCAGACCCTAGTAGCAAATAAACATGGCCACTAATTAGGCCCTGACAAACCTGAAAAAAATAAAACCCAATAAGGCAATGAAGTTACCAGTAAGTCTGGTTCTTCCACAACAGGAGCTTCTGCCTTGATTGGTTCTGGCTCAGGTTCAGGTTCCGGAGGTGGTGGGGGTGGAGGAGACACTTCCTCCTTCACATCTGGAGACTTTTTGTATTCTATGGCAAGGGTGACCTTGGATTTCTCATCGACAGTCTGCTTAAGAAAAATCAGATTAATGAGCCTTTCTGTTCAAATTACAAACCATAATCTTTCACGAGGTATAAATCTATTGTGTTCTTGTACATCAAAAAAAAGATAAATAAAAATGGTGTTCTTCATTCATAATTGAATATCCTAAGGATACATAAATCAACTGTTGGAAGTGAATTCAAAAGACTTCCATACCGAATCCCTACGAACTGTTGAAAGGCGAGGTGCTTCTCTGACATACTCCTCCATGGCTTGTACAAATGATGCAGGGGGCTACAGATAGAGCAATAAATAGCATATAAAGTTGATTTTCAACAAGTTTCAAATATTTTCATATGAAGTTGGTGTTCAAATTGTCAAACCTGTTCAATTTTGATAAAACGTTCCCCCCGTCCAGCATCAAGATTTTTACATACTTCATAAAACTCTGAGAGACTCTCTGCCTGAAGAAGATAGATGACTTTCAGAAAAAGATATGGGAGAGAAATGTTTCCATAAAGTCCAAATAGATTCAAAAAATAATCAGCAAACTGTTACCTGCTGGCCAGCCCTCCGATATATATCCAAAGCCTTAAGAGCATCATTGCGTTGCATCTCAAAAAACTGCTCAGATTAACATAGCATTAATCGTTTGTCATCATTTACGGGTTTTATATGGCACAATTACCAATGGACTGATCAAAAAAATATGTATCCCTAAGATCACCCTACCTTGTCAACCAAATTGACAGTGCCATCGCTAATAGCATTGTAGATTTTGATACTTTCTGAAGCAACCTGCCATCATGACCTTAAATAGATGAGTGAAACTTTGACCAAGAGATAAAAAGCACTAGCTAACTTGCATGCTTTAAAGACACTTTTACTCACCATTGAAAGTGCCAACTGTATCACGTGATTGTGGACTGCAGCACCATGTGGCTGCACAAAACATTGTGCCTCATATTAGACAGATGAATGACGTTTATAAATAAGGAAATAGAACCATATACTTGTAATGTTAGCGTATGGCATCCATGATACAACAACTCAGATAATACTTAAAACTTCTTAAACATTACCTGGCAACCAAGAACACGAAAAAGAAGTTGCTGCAGAGCTGGTAACTGTTCTAGCAATTCTGGAGTGTCCAAATCTTTGGTTCTCTGAATAATCAAATACATTTACATCATTTGTGAACAAATATTAGAAAATCAAAGTACAGAATAAAGGAAACAAAATAAAGGAAAGCACATTAACCAAAAGTTAGATCCTTATAAGCACATGATTTTTTGACATAGTTCGCTCGATAGGGACAAGAAAATTTCACAACACTTCCTCAAACGCAATAATTCTGATGATATCATCACATATATGTCGTTCTGCACATTTCCAGCAATGGGAAAAGAAAATGATTAGACACTACTGCATAAAATAGTTGCTTACCGGACGATCTGTCTCAATATCATATTTTAAAACACGGAAACATTCCAGCCTTTCCTCCAAGAATAAAGCATAGGTCCGGACCCAAGCAGAATAATCCCATGCTGAGCAATGTGGTTAAAAGCATCTCAGATAAAATACTTTCCTCTTGGAAATCTAATAGATTAGTAGAGAAAATAAATTATAAAAATTCATATCCTACCATTTGGACTAGAATCATCCTTAAAATGAGACATGTTCAACATGTGGCTTCTGCTTCTACCATAATTGATAAGCTCTTCCTGGAATGTTGGGTCAACCTCTCTTAAAGCACGATGGATGACTATCAAAGTTTTCAAGGCAACCTGCACAGCAACAGAAAAACTTAACGAGATAATAGAGGCAAGTGCTATCAAGGACATTAAATGCAGACCTACTTCTTTAGTAAAGATCACAACAAAGAATGGTTTCCATCCTAAAACTTTCTTCCACTGGTATCACGAGTTCTTGACAGACTGTTTTGAGAAATGTGTGGTTCATTTAATTCAGTGGGCCAAGAGGACTTCTTACAAGGTTGATAAGTTTGAAAAATTTGTCAGCGAACAATTAGTGGTCACATTGTTTCATCTCTAAATCATTTCAACTCCTGTTTGTGCAACCAAATTTTGATTTTTATTCAATATTTGCGCATGTAATAAAGTAATCATTAAAATTTCAAAATTTACCAGGTTAAGCTCATGCAGAGAGAAGCAACATAAAGAAGTTGTCTTTTGTGGCTAAATATGCAAATCACATCTGACTCTAAAGACTAACAACATATACCACAAAGCTGGTTAAATAATTCGAGTTACTGATCACGTACAGCCCAGTTATGAGTCTTCGCTAACCGCCTTGCAAGGGCATGAATGCAATAGGCAACATCAGCTCTTGGTCTTGTAGCAGAAATAGCAGAGAAGACAGCTGAAATCATAAAGTATGAAAAGCACATCAGGTTCCACTCTAGGTATCACAGGTCAAAGCAGTATATATTACCAACATATACGTCCATGATTCATCTCAATAGTCCAAAAAGTCACAACACATTCGGGAAATTACCCACCTCTTATGTGTCTTTCTTTCGCCGGACGTTCCACATGATTTGTGGCCTTAACAATGGCAATGTCCAATTCCTAAAAGAAAATGAAAAGTTTACACCTTTAAACACTTGTCAAATAACTACTAATTGGTCGAAGATCAAATCCGCATTGCCACCTTATAGTCACTATTTATTTTTGCCAAACTGACAGTGGTAGTATCCTTTAGTGCACCAAGTGTCTTCCGCAAGCTGTTCCCAGTCCCTCCTCCCGACATTCTCTCTCAACTGAAAACACTGGAAAAATGTTAGACAAAGCAACCACTTGTTAGGATAAACCAGACCAAGGAATCCACGATCAAAATATCAAAGAAATCACCAGTAAAAACAAGTCCAGAACTCTTTAAAAATCTTAATACTGGAGCAAAAAGCAGTAGGACCTCAGGGGGAAAGAACCAGGAAAAGGAAGAACATTCCACGAACAATGATAGTGAATAGTCAAAATTCTGGGCATTGTTGCTAAATTCAGGCAGCGATAGTTCAACAAAACTTGATCCGAATGACCATAAACTAAAATCCCAACAGGAATTTAATCTACGACCCAAATAAAAAAGAAGCAGGTGAAAGCAAAATCAGAAGTTGACCTGTGTTTCTGATCTTAGTGTCAATCTCCAAGTATATGGTTTTCATGCATATATCAACAACAAAAGGTGGAACAATTTATTTATACATGAAAAGTGACAGTGATGTGCTCAATTTCAAATGACATATTGGGGGAAAAATAAGAACAGAATTGCAGAGAACAGGAAACCAATGAACAGAGATCAAACCCAGAAATAATACCAATCTACAATCTCTTTTCAAAACAAAATTCATAAACACACAACAGACAAACTTCACAGAGTAAGCAAGTAATCACGAAAGATCTACAAAAGACACCAAATTTGAGATTCTATCATAATCCTTCTTCACTTTTCAGCTCAGCCACTTATTACACAACAACAAAACAGAAAAAGCAGCCCAGAAAAACCCGGGAAAATAACTGAACAAAACAGGAATACGAATTAATATAAAATCAAAAAAAAAAAAAAAACAAAATTGAGGCTTACCCAGAAACCAAAGACTAAAGTATGAAAGAAAGAAGAAGAGAGAAGTGAAGGGTGGGAGGTTTATTGGAATTGAAGGGCAGCCGGGCAGTGGGGAAAGACTCCTCTTTTTTGCTTGTAACACTTTTTTTTGTGTTTTTATTTGAAGAAGAAAGAAGAAAAGAAGAAAAGTCTTCCCAAAAAATGAATTGATTTTCGGTTGGCCGTCGGCGTCATCCTTGTTCAACTTATTTTACCTTCTCCCTTTAATTTTCGCATTTTTCTATTGCCGTAATTGATACATTTTGTTTTATTAACCCTACCATATTTTTATCAAATAACATTCCAGTTTTTTTTTTATCCATGTAAGACATATTACAGTGCGTCTACCGTCATAACAGTGACTAATTTTCTCAACTCGTGACAGGTACCTCGATGGGTTGGGAAATTATTTTTTGAATGATTTTAGTTCAGATAGATGGGAAATTCATAAATTTTCTTACTTTATTGTGTAAAAAAATACTTGATGGTTTAGGATTTTATTGGTCTTTGTCACTTTGCTTAAATTTTTCTTTTTATGAAACTTTACTTTATTTTCCCCCTTTTGACTTTTCTTAATGTCTCCTTTTACTGTATTCTTCGTCATACGGTCGTCCAAGATCAAAGGTGTGCTATTCTAACTCATTACCATTTCAAAATGGCGATATTACATACGATGATGAAGAGACAAAATTATTAATCATCTTCTTTTCACAAGATGTAATTGTGTGTTTTAGTTAATTTCAACGTCACAAAAATCAATTTTCCGGTGCGAATTACTTGAATGTACTATCATTTATAATTTGGGGACCTCATTTTTTTGTTGTACTAGTTCTTAAGTGGAAGGTGACAACAAAGGAGGACATTGTATTTTTGCAACTTTTATTAAATCTTGTTTGATACCTTTGGTTGAAAAAAAAGAAACGGTAGGTATACTTTCTTATGGTAATAATAAAAACTTAAAAAAAGGAACAGAATAATTCTTCCAACAATAGTCAATTGGATTGGCTATCGGCTATATAGTTGCAGAAACTAGAAAAGATAAAGATTTTTAATCATCTGTTCGTAGATAATTTATAAAATCTCGTCCTTAATTAACCATTATGTGAATCTTTTTTTTTCATTGAAAAGTAAAACAAATTACAGACCCTCGACCAACAAAATATTCACTTTATTTCGATACATCAAAATATTATACAATTCCAAGAATTTATTCTGAAAGTAATTTAATTTTAACAGAATATATATATATATATAGATGTGTGCATGTCCAAATTAATATGTAATACACGTCAATTTAACATATTCAATGTTAAATGTGGGGAAAAAAAAGTACTGCGTTAAAATAAAATAAAATAGAAAGTAAAGAAAGAAGCTTCCTTTTGTTCTATTTCTAGTAGTAATTTCATAGTAGTGTATGATTACCTGGCCACCTGGGACCAAAACGGTGGCAGGATACGGAAAAAAGAGTACAAACAAATCACTGAGTTGACTATACATTTATGGTTTTATTGTTCGTAGATTTTTACAATTTCTTTCTGGGGGGGATTCTGACTTCTGAGTTGCATCATAAAACTCAGAACTTGCGTACCAAAATAATAAATGGATACTTCTTTTGTTTTGGCATATGTATGTATATACTATAACATAAAGCGTTACTTTTTAACGTACAATGTTGTCGTGTAGTTTTAATACAGATTACTCCCCACCGACTGCCAGTTTCAAAGGTGTTCTTGAAATTACTACTGGAAAAAAATAATTTTGTAAATCCGTCACCTGAATGCGTCATAAGTTGGCCATTTTGAGTAATTCCATGCAATTAAGTCGTATTTTGTGCCAATAAGGGGTTACCGAAGTGGTAATAGCCATGATATCAAAACTTTGAGTTCCCAAGAGGTCTCGGGTTCAAACTTCGCTAGAAACACTTTAAGTGCTGCTTATGCAGACTTTCAAACAGAAGGTCAGAAACAATTTAAGTTAGCTTGCAGCACATGAGAGCAGACTTGCAAATAGAAGATCAGAGATAATTTAAGTTAGCTTACAGCACAGGAGAACGCGTAACAAAAAAAAAAGTCGTTACAAACATTGAGGGTTGTATTTAAGTTATTTTTTTGGTCTGTGTCCAAGGAAATATTTTTTGTCTCGGTAAATATTTAATGTTGAAAATTAGTGACAAAACCTTTTTTTTTTTCACGTTACAAATGATGTCATGTAATTCTTAGGAAAAATAGCGTCTCTTACATATGCTTGCTTGAACTCTTTGGCAATCCTGATCCCATTATCAGAATTCACTTGACGCCATTTTTTGTTGGAATTGAGGAACAGATTTTTTTTTTTTTTGATTACCCGATGCATTATATGTGTAATATATTTTTCAGGCTGAAATGGTGGTTGACTGTCCTCCTCGTTGGGCAACCCGTCTTTCCCAGTTTTTGTACAGTGTACTGCTTTTTTTCTGGAAGGTAAGACCGTTGAACAGGAGAGAGACGTCCAGTTTAGAAGAAAAGACTTTATTCTCAAAAAAAAAAAAAAAAAGACTTTTTGGGGAATTTTTTTTTAAGCAATTCACTAATTTACGACTCCATCCGTCCTATCATATATTGAAATTCTAGCTTTTTGACTCGTGTATCGTATCGTGTCTCTTATCATAAGATATATTATAATTTTAATTTATAATAAAATAAATATATTGTATATAATAATTAAATTAATTAGTATGTTTTTTATTTGTAGATTGCATAAAATATAAATGTTTCTTATTAAATTGCCAATTCTTTTTAGGGGGAGTTAAAAATTTAATTAATTTAAGCCATCATCATTTTTTTTTTTGAATTCTTATTACAAGTGTATTATTCTGATCCAGGTTGTCATATCCTCAGTTTAGAAAATTCCTTTGCATCAATGTGCATCGATTAATACTATCGGAAAATAGGAAAAGAGGCCAAATTTTTCACCAATTATTACTAATATAAATTCTATTGGAATTAAAAAAAATTCAAAATTATGTTGATAATAGGACAAATACGAACTAACATCATTATAAATATACAAAGACATGTCTACTACAGAGAGAAAAGTAATAGTAAAAGCATCAGAATTCCACTTTTCTTTTTTTTAATATAATGATGCTATTTTAATTTGTTTTAAATCAGTTGCAAAGTCATGACCTTTTGTTCTTTTTATATTTCATTTACAAATTTTTTAAAGGAAGGATCACGATATTTATTCTGATATGATGATTAAGAATTTTATTTTTTTTTAATTTTGTTCATCAAAGAGAGTGAGTTATTGCATTAGTAGTTTTCAATTTGGCAAATAAAACCATCCAAATAAGAAATAAAATGTCAATTGAAAAAAATAGAATTAAATAGAAAGAATTTTATTATGGAGTAATGTATCGTGCGTATCGTTAGATACGTATCGAATCGATTGATACAAAAGAGAATCGTACGATACTTGGTCAATTATGATACACCTACGCGATACTTATCGAATTTCTTTATTTTTGTATCGTACCGTGCGATATGTATCGCGTATCGTACGATACTAACAACTATGGTCCTATCTACACAATAATTTTAAGACGGATGAGATACTATATCGTATCAATGTCAATTCCAATCCATTGGAAAATAGAAAGACTTTAAATTTATTACACAAATTATAATTCTAAGATTAGGTTTTTCAGACGAAGAGATCAGTACACTTCCACAATCATGATACTCGTTAATTGTCATATGGGTACATATAATTTTTATTTTTATTTTTGGTATAATGTCATACAGGTCGAACTGAGAGAAAAGCCAGGTGGACCAGCAATGTCTTAATCTCTCTGGCCTGAGCCAGAAAGGATTGAAGTAGTTTACAACTGTCTTAAGTATTATAGAAGTTAGTTAATCGGGCGGATTTGTAATTATTTTGGGAATGTAGTAAGAAATCAGCAACTTAAAATTTGTTGTCCAACGTGAGACGTCGGTGGCTATTTTAAGCATTGCCATTATAAGATGAGGAGGTTGTTGGCTGTTTGGAATATTCAATTACTCCGTCTGCCCTTTTCCAACTCTCTATTTTATTAAAATTGAAATAATACAAAACCAAAAAAAAAAAACAAAAAAAACTACTGTATTACAAACGGGACGAAATAGCATTATTATATATACAAGATTAACTACAAATCTAGAGCAGAGATATAATCCTGTTGGTTTTGCACCCGATTGAACAACAGTCTCGAAGATCTTTTCTTTTTTTTTTTTTTAAGAATTAATTTAGAAGGGAAAAAAACTAACATTAGAGTTTTGTTCAAGCCTTCAAGGTCATAAACATGATTAAAAAATGCCACCCCAAAAAATGAAGCAAAGGTCAATTTGACGTGGACCCTGCTTCAAAGTTGTACCACGTGGCATCATGTGTGTCAGGTGTCAACCGTGTTTTAAAACAAATAAATAAATAAGCAGCTTTCATTTGCAGCTGGAATAGAAGAATAACCCGAGAAAGCATGGCTTTTTCTCTTTTTGAAAACCAAACCATGTTATTACAACGATGTTATTATAGGGCTGTCACCGAATCGAGTCAAGCCCAAACAGTCAGGTGCTCGAGCTTGAGTTCGACAAAAAATTTGGAACTCGTATTCGAGTTCGAACTCGATCAAACATCGAAATTGAAGATTGAACTTGGCTCAAAATAAAAATCAATAGCTCGCTCTTGGTTCGATTTGCTCGAGTCTTAATGTTCGATAAAGATCGAGCTCGAATGCTCGATCATATTGAGTTCGAATAAATTTTAATATTTTACCATTTTCAATTTAACACGTTCAATCTAAGTGTTTTATGAGCAAAATTCTTTAATAAATCAAAAAAAAAAAATGTGTATCATATTATCATATCTTCAAAATACAAAAGACAATAATTTTTAGAGAATACAAATAGAAATTTTTATGAATTAAATACTATTCATAATAAAAATAAAATAATTTATAATAAGTTTGAATAAGCTCGACGAGCTCTCGAATCAAGTATTTTGATACTCGTGTTCGACTCGTCTATCTAATCGAACTGTTTGAATTCGGCTCGAGTTCGGTCAAAGTCAAATTCAAGCCAAACTTTGACCAAACTATTCGTAAGCTGCTCGCAAAGTGCTCGATTCGTTGACAGCCCTATGTTAATACATTACAAGAAATCCCTACTAACTTGATAGACAGGGATTGGGTGATTTTATTAAACCATGCACATAGGGAGAGTGCAATTTTGTTGCCGATTATATGACATCGGCGGTGACAGATCCAACCGGACTTTAAAGATTAGATTCGCCACCATTAGAGGCCTTTGGTGGTTAATCCACGATATTGTAGGGATAGCCTATCCCAGCGTATTGTGAATTTGTAGCACCTTTGCTTAAGTATTGTATATAAATCCCTTTCAGCAAAAAAAAAAAAAAAAGAAATCCCTACTAACTTTCCTTATTTACCTCGGTTTCAAAGACAGTTCAGTTTTTTACCTTCGTTTGGAAAAAAAATCTAGTTCTGTCCCTTCGGGGACATCCGATAAAAAAAAAAAAGAAAAACTCTAGTTCTCCTAACTTTTTCACTAGCTCTTACCGTGATTTTTTAGCCTGTAGCGTCGTTATAACAAATACTATGATTTTGTTCCCAAGTATTTAAAGTCAAAACGTATGTTAATCAACCACAATACTTGTTACAACAAAACTTTCTTTCAAGGCCAAAGATATGAAAGAATACCAAATTTATCGTGTGTCAAATAAGATGAAATGCTTCCTAACTAATGTCTCTTCAGACTATGATACAAGGCCCGCAACTTTAAAATCACAGAACAGCGATTCGCTTTCCAACGCCAACTTACTTTACAGTTACACCTAATTATGTTGCACAAAGAAAAATTGAGGGGGTAAAAAAAAAAAGAACTAAAACCTACACAACAGCCTGTATATAATGGCATCAAAATTGGTGAAATGGCATGGATGGGGGAGGGTTCATTTTTCAAGATCTCTTCACCACAGCAGTAGCAAAGTAAGGATGATGACTGAATTCAAAGTACACTTTAAGTGATGGGTCAAGAGTTCCCAACCGACTAATGAGATTTAGAGCGACAACATTATGTTCCGCCACTTGTTCAATCCCGCGAAGTTCAGTCAATTTGTCGAGATCATTTGAATACATGGTCCTCAGTTCCTTTGCAATCCTCTGCGCATTCTTGAAACATTGGTGTATGGACAAGGTCTGTGACAAGATGTCAACTTCTTATTATTCACATAAAATGCATTTCAGTGAGAACCAAACCAGATACATCCACAAGGATACTTACGGAAAATCTAGCATGGCTCACAGCTTCTTTGAATGCAATGTAGGCATCCGCGTAAACAGGTATGCCAGCTTTCTGTAGGAGCTCAAAATGCTGAAGAAATCTCTGCGAAAAATACAATTCAAGTATCAACGGAAAAAACTTTGGATTATGATTCAACCAGTGGAAGGTGGAAAAGATAAGTTTTTTCTTCCCCCAGGGGTTTTGTATAAAATTTAGAATCTCATGCTATATCTACTTATCAAAATTGGGAGTTCTAAATAGAGATAGTTGTAAACAGCCAAAACGAGTACATACAGGAGGCTATTTGAAAAAGAGAGAACCAACTTGAGATATTAGCAAGGAAAGATCTTTCAAAGTTCTGTCTTTTACAGCCAAATATAACCAAATGCATACCTCATGCTCACTGTTGAAAGGGCCTGGACTTTGAAAGAGATTATATTCATTCCTCAAAGCTGCAAGCATCTGGTGATAAGTTGATTGTTTCAAAAGTTAACAGCGGAAGTGAAACAATACATCCTCCCAAAAGAGACAAAAAATATTTTCCTACTGATGATGAAACCACCAGAACTACTTAACTGAAAAGCTCATACCATTGCAATACCCTCGGTGAGATCTATGCGACTTTGAAGGAATATGACCCCTGGTGGAATCTGATTGTCCTTTGCCCCATCCTTTATAGCCTCTTTTTTCTTCTTTCCCTTCCGTCTACCTGAAGAACAAATATTGTCAAAAACATAGTCAAAGATCTATCATTTTCCCAAATTGCTCTTCGGACTTAGGGACACAAACAGGCAGGAATATGCAGCACACATTGATAAATTGACTAAAGGTCATTTAATTAAATAGAAATGATCAGCATATGAACAAATTGGACAGAGAAAAATTTTCAAAAAATACTTGCTCCATTTCCTAGGCAAATTTAATGACATGCATGATCCCTACGTAAAAGCTGAAGCCAAGTAAAACAGTATGCTGGATATTGATAGCATAGTATTAACAAATTGCAGGTGTACTATATAGTGTAGGTATCAATGAATTCATGGCATTAATTCATGGAGAACTACAATAAAAACAGATATCATTACTAACAGGTACTCCCTCTGTCCCATAATTATTGTCCAGTTTGGGTTTTCATTTTTAGTTCAAATTGTACTAAAAATGAAATCTGAAACTGGACAATAATTTTGGGACAGAGGGAGTATTAGCTAATTAGATCGTGGATATAACGACTCTATTGTACTAATTTATTATTTCTAATCCATATATGCCTTCTAGAGGAGACAAAATCATTAATCATATTCTCCTGGTTGAAAAGTTGTACAGTTCAAATACTGAGTGGATGTTGTACAAAATCACTTCAGCTAAGAGAACTGGACCATTTTAAGGAATGTATTTTTAAATGAAAAGAGATGCTATTATCTTTTGTGCCCCAGGAAAGCTGTCTATCTTAGGTGAAGCACTGCAAATTGAAGAGCAAATCGTATGAAGTCACAATAAGCACTTTACAAGTAAACACGATTGATGTCATGATGCAAGCTCACCATTGTCATTTCTCCTCATCGTTTTTGAGTGTGTTTTCTCGGCAAGCTGAATCAATACAACATACATATACCAGTACACCATGCAGTAGTCACAAGGTGAATACAGCTCCAATTCAAAGCCCAATGTGAGAAATCGAAGAGCTATCCAATAGGTTTGCTCCTCCACCCAAATGAGGATATGATTGCATATCTTCATGCCCACACTCTGCAATGAATATAAGTAAACCACCAGATCAACAAACACTATCTTTCAACACAAGATTTTCGCAAAGACCAGCACGCTCAATTTGCAAATCTAGTAACAAATAATGCTTAGCTGCCTGGATCTAAGGAAATGGACTGTAGACAAGCAATTGCAGAATTGAGAGAATGCCAATTTGTCATATAGGAGCATTTCGATCTCATATTAATTGAAAAATCGAACCAAATGAAAGTTTTCTTACACTTGTCTGCACACATTGGAGGTCCAAATGATTTTATGTTTGTTTGAGTGTATAAATAGGCTAAATTTTTTTGTATTACCATAGTTGGTAATGAGCTATTTTTTCGATATCCAAACAGTGAAATTAATGCTACTTGCAGCAAATGACTATCAAGTATCAACTTATTAAGCGAAAATAGCTTTGATTGCAAGGGTACATGCTAACCTCATCACTGGAAGTGCTTGATACATCTCCAAACTCTGTCTGGAAAGCCATCTCTAACTGATAAAAAGGTTAAAACACAATAAAGGGCCTTCATCAGTCCTCAAAATGTTAATGAACACCAAAACTGTCTAGATAACATAAGAAGATCTTCAATCAAAATGAAGAAATTAGGAAAGACCAGTTCCATTTATTACGATAATAGTTTGTAGCCAACAAAATAGACAAAAAAACAGATGATATGTTTACTGTTACCTGCATGCGAACAACCTGCCAGTCTTGTAAAATTTTGCCAAGTTTACGCCTTTGCCATGCAGCATTTGTGCAAATAACTTTGAGCAAGTTAATTAGCAGCTGTAATAGGTAAAAAGTTTACCAGAATTAGGTGTAAAAATTTCTGATTCAAGTCACCGATTCCCTAAATGAAACAACAAAGAGCACATATCTAGTGCCAAAGAGAACTTTGAAAATAAGGTTGTAAAAAGAAATATAGAAAAACTAAGTTTATAAAAGAGTACACAGCAACTATAGAAATAAACATCATATCTGTACCTGGCCAAGCTGTGCAATGATCTCATTATTTTGTAAGTCGTTGGTTTTCACCACATCAGGTAAAAGAGCAGCTTTACCAATTACTGCAATAATTGGATCCCGTCCATAGAGTTTTCCATCTTGAACCAGCAAAAGCTGTTTTAAGAGATTAGAATCAAATTATGCAGGAACAAATAACAATCCTTCAATTTTGAAGGGGAAAAGGGGGAAAAAAAAAGGAAAAAAAAAAGAAAAAACAAACAAACAAACAAACAAACAAAAAGGAGACGGCAAACTTTCGAAATCTACTTGATCTGCAAGTCATTACATCCCTCCAGTCTCGCCCACACTCAAACAGAATCAGAAGAGGAAAAAACAAAAAAGATAATTCATAGTTTGAAAACTTGTCTTCACATAAAATAACTAGAGCATCAATAAAAAATCTCAGCACGATCTTAATCCCATACAAGACTTCATTTTGTTGAGCAGACGTCCTAAACTAAGGCAGAACAACTCATCAATTACAAGACTTTAATTTAATCCATTATATACAAGCACCAAAAAGGAAAGTTAACAAGTTGACAAGGAGGAATTTACCTACATCTACAGGGTTATTTCCTAGAAAGCAAATCTACAAAAGAGAAAGACCAGACTAATTACGATTTCACATCCAAAGTTTCTCTTCAAAATTTGTTAATACAGGTAAAATAATTTTGCACAGAGAAGAACTTATAAATAATTACACTTGCAAATCCTACTGTATATGTGCACAAGAAAAATAACAAAAACTAGTAATCCCTCTTACAGTTTGCTAGATTTGAAGCCCCCAACAAAAATACATAAAGCACAGCATCAATCATACATATCTCAAACAAATTCCACAGGAATTGAAAGATTTGTGCTGTGATCAAGACCAACCTGTAGATAAGCTCTCGCAATTAAATCAGGGTGCATCTTCTGAAAACCCACAACAAAGTGCAAAAGCATATCAAGGGCCGGGTCCAAAGTATACGAACATATGATATTAAGATCACGAAGAAGTTTCTGGAAATATTCCACGGCCTGGTAGAGGGACCACAAACATTATCTAATAAACTTTTTTAACAAGTAATAGAATCACAGATTATTGAGGAAGTTGAATATTAAACTGCATCGAAAGCCATAGAAACTCACCTTTCTCCAGCTTAGCAGTTTTAGAGCACGAGGTGGAGTTGGAGCAGACAATCTACTGTTCAAGGTTGAATCAAACCCAATTGGCTGACGACCAGATGCTGTGGTTTCATTTTCTGCAGTCTGGGATCTCAAAAATGTTTCTAGTTGAAGCATTGAATCTAGTTCTGACAAACATGCTGCAATATGTTTTCTGGCCAACTCCAAACCTCTACCTTGAGGTTTCCGCATGCATGTTAGAACGTGATAGAAGTGCTGGAAAGAAGGGAGTTACAAGAAAGAACTGGATGGTAAATATCCACGTCAAGATGAAGCCATCAAGGTTTTTAAAAGAAATGCTAAACAACTTAACAATCTTAATAACTACCCAGGTGGGAAATTAAAAACAAAAAGATCCAAGACAGTTCTATATTAAGTTGAAAAGGTCCCGAGAGGGTCAGTTATTCAGATAAGAATTATAAACAGTTGGGTGAAAGACACAAGACATGGAAAGGATTACTTCAAGTGTCTTAAAAAAAATTAATCCACTTAAAAAATTATTAAATAAACATACAACCACATAAAAAATAGACAACACAGGATAAGACCTTACGAAAACGTAAGCGGCACAAAACAGCTCGGCAAAATCCTTCTTCCAGATCTGGATTAGATTGTAATGGTTCTATATCTGCATATAAGAACGTACCAAGTGTTACTGGCCAATGAAATTACTAGTTAATTATCAGTGAACTACAGGGGACTTAATAGGGAGAATGTAATGCGAATAGACATGCTGACAGGAAAATATTCGTTCTAATCACATAACTAATAACGAAAACTAGAACAAATTAGAGTAAGTTTCATTTCTACATCAACCGACAACATTAACTCGGCAACCATTCAAAAAATTTGACCACTTTCGCGAGCAACTTTTGAAGAACTCCAAACTAAGAAGAGACCAAGTTCAAAGGTTTAAACTCCCTCTACCCATCCAAAGGTACAAGTATCCAAACATAAAGTATTACTACACCATCTCAAAAGATTCCAAGAAAGAAGGTCACCTGTTTGTCTATCAACTTATTCAATGCATTGTCAAAAACAACATTGAAACCTCATTTACTTCCTTGGCTAAAAAAAATTAAGGAAAAAAAACACAGCACTAAATAACAGTAAGCACCAAGTCCTTTGAAATATTTAGGTAAGGCTGAAATTCCAAACAGTTAAAAGCTCAACGGTAATCTCTAAATACCTTCTAAAGCTTTCCTCTTAGATAATGGAGCTTTGCAAGCCCGCAACTGACGAGAAAGTGTTTCATCTACAGCCTGTAGAAGGGAAAGGCATTTCTCATCTCCTTCCCCTTTCAAAGGAAGACCATATGTCATGGTAAAAAGGTCTTCTTCCTGCCAACACAACAAACCATAATCTTCATTAGGAATGCATTTTAGAAAAAATCTAAACGCTAAACATCAATATAAACTCAAAAGTCAGAACTAGAATCATACACAGATTGCACAAATTCTCAATCTAATAACACACAGATTGAGTATGTATTGACACAATTCACATCATAGAGTGGAAAAAAGTTGATGAAAAATCTTAAAATGAGGAAATTTAGGAGAGGTCTTGAAATCGCTGAACTTTTGCTGTTCAACTTTTCGGCTCCTATCTCAGATACACACCAGAAGATCAGATGTACTTGACATGTATCAAGATTACAGTGATCCCTATAGTTGTTATTCGGTTGATGGTGCAAAGAATAAAACACTAGGAGAATTCAAAGTAAACAGATATGGATCGTACAGCATAAGACCACTGGGAGCATTAGATAGAACAGAATAAAAAAGACAATAAAGATGGAATCTACACTAAGTGAAACAAATTACAGATATTAAATGGCAATTCTCAAGAAAACCAGTAAGATTTAAAAGCATTGTTAAAGTACTTTACTTCATTTGTGCGAGCATCAGAAACTGCTGAAACAACTGCATTGCAAGTCCCACGTACAACTAAGCAATATGAATGTAGTAAAGCATGGGAAGAAGTTCTATCAGGTCTCAAAATGTAGATGCACGAGAAAACAGTTTGAGCCAGAGAATGGCCTTTGTGCCAAGTTGCCTGCAGATAAGGACACATTTGGATCAGAAAACCTTGTCTTCCCAGACAGATGACAAGCCGTTAAAATAAAGACTTACCTCACAGGCAAGGAGATGATCCATGATGTCAATAACATACTGAATATCAATTGTTCTGTCAAAGCTCAAGGGAACAGGAGCAGCGCCTAGTTCGATGGCTTCATCAACAGAGTAGTAAGTAGAGACCATACCAGAATCCATCTTCGGGTCCATAATCTAAACAAGATTCCGAAGTATGTCAGTGAAAATCTAATATTTTCGAGGAACGGCAAAAAACTCTGCTATCCTTATAAATAATATGTGGGAGAATAGAAAGGTAATATTTGGACCATCAAAAACCAAAATAAGCATTCTCTAGTCAATATTTCATCAAATCAGGAAGCAAACTTTTGTCAAGTTACCAATTGAAAGAGAAGAAGCAAACATAAATAACATCATGGTAATGTGTAATCTGTATAATAGAGCTGTTGCTATGGATAGACTAAAAGGCAGAAGGATGTAAACAAGTAGGTCAGGTCACTAATCTACCCATTCATGCAAAGAGAAGCCAGTTTGTCAAGGCAATCCTATCAACTGTTCAACAGGATAGCATAATAGAAGATCAAGAATCATGAACTGAGAAAATACACAAAAATCTCTTAACAAATGGGTTAAAAAAATGCAAGTGCATGAAACTTAGAAGCATGGAAGTTCTATTCCTTCTCCTCACACTTCAAAATCATTAGCTCACTGTTGCAGCTAGTTTAATTAAAAGCTACCAAGTGACATAGATGAGTGTTCACAGTTCCGAGCTTCTTTCAGCTTCCACAGACTTAGTTCCACAAGCTTCATACTATTATGGATGGTATCTTAAGTTGAGCTATTCTCAAATACGAAAAGATTTCTGTTCGTCTGATTGAATGTATTTAAAATATATCTAACTGTTTCATCCATCTTTTTCATAAAAGACCAGCAGAGAAAGCCAGACAGTAAGATAGAAATAATATATTTGCAATTATAGATGCATTCGACATGAATGTGCTTCAAATTCACAATTTTAGCAGCTATTAGGGGGTACGCCTCCCCCTAGAAAATGAAACATTACCTCCAAGGCTGACATGGCAGCAAAAAGATTAAAGTTCTCTCCGTGTATAAGCTCACCATCATGAAGATCTATAAGAGAAAGCAAAAAAAGAAAAAATCAAGTCGCAAGTTACCCTGATCCAAAGCTGCAGCTTTGGGAGCACAAACCAGCTTTTACGCATAAACATACACAATTGAATGAAAATGAACAATTAAAAAGAAAATAAGGATGCCAGCGAAAGAACAACTTAAATGCATCGTATGGAATAACCAGTGAAAGATCAACAATAAATGCATTGTAGTGAATATTGAATAACTAGACAATCAAGGTGAACAACCTAATTAGAAGACCTATTGTCGTCATCACAGACAAACTATTAGAACTACAACGAAAAAATAAATGCTGAACTTAAATTACACCAAGGCCAAGCTATACAGTAAGTGGTTGCATCAAATTTCACCAAAACACCAATCTCAATGTCATATGTTCAAGGAAGATGCAGTAAATTTTGTCCTTAGATACTGAATTGACTAGTGTTTCAATACTTTCTCAAAAATCACTAACAAAAAGGAAACAAAAACAGATGGAGCGAAAGAGAAATTCAACTAAACTCAACAACAAAGTAAATGCAAACGGAACAAGTGAAGTTAGAGCATTAATGGCTGAAAACTTCGCAATGTCAGCTACACTGATCAAAGCTATACTCTCGAACAGGAATGAATACGCAAAGAGTGAGAGAGCGGGAAATAATACCTCTACAGGCGAGCTCGAGTAGAGGAGAAACGTCGGCCCAAACTGACTGATCAGCTGAGGAAGTTGTAGGGTTTACTGGTAAGATGGATTCTCCACCACTGATTCTTTCAGTGTCATTGGTGCCGCCGGCGGCCATTTTCCAGAGCGGCAGCCGGAGTTGTGAGTTTTAACTCGTCGGAAGTGGTCACACAATACTGCGGGTTACGGCTTCCGGTTAATCGCCGTACTATTCACGGTTCATCACTCTGCTGAAAACTGCGTAGTAATTGTTGACTTGAACGTGGAGATCAAATACGGGTTTGGGCTCTGGCCCGCTCGAGATCACTACATTTGGGCTTTAACCATTTCTGATTGTCCAATTTTATTTTTATTTTTTTTTTGTCTAGATATAGAATGGGGCAAGAGAGAGAGAGAGTGCATAATTAACAAAGAGGACATTCCTTTTACATAATTTGTACTCCCTCCGGTACTTAATGTAAGACATTTTAATTTTATTCTAAATTTTACCTAGTATATTTTTTTTTTGTTGAAGAAAAAATCTTAAAAATATATTTTCACATTCGTTGCATTCTCTTGATTGTTATGAAATATTTTTAAGATTTTTTTGTCAATTAAAAATACGTACTAGGTTAAACCTAGGACAAATCAAAATCCCTTATATTAAGGATCGAAGAGAGTATAAAATATAACAATTTCACCTTCCAAACATGACTTTAACTCTTTTTATATCTATCTGTCTATCTACCTATAGTTATATCTTACTATATTAGAAACAAAAACCACACTTAAAAGAAAGCACCACCATTTGCCATGTAGCATTTCCACATCATATTTTTAAAATAAATTTTTATTTACACATCAATTTTCTAGACTTAAAAGGCAAATGCAGTCCAAATCCACCACCACCTCCTATTTTTGCTAAAAAAAAACTACGCTTTCATAAAAAACCAAAATCCTCATCCCCATCTCCACAACAATCGACTCTTTAATCAATCCATTCTCCACAATAAAAAAAAAAAACAAATTTCTCATCAATCATCAACTGAGAATATGTGGTGAAATATACTCATTTCCTATTAGCATGTTCAATCTTTTCGTGAGTGATGATCAACTACATTCTAATCGGATAAAATTTCGACTTCAAAAAATCTTCTCTTTACCTCTTTATATAAACATAAAGGAAAAAAAATAATTTCTCATTGATCTTACTTCGTCCGTTGTGGTGGTGCCATTACAGATATTAAAATTTAAATAATTTTATATCCACGGATCATTTGTACGGCATTTTTTTTTTCCCGTTCAAGAATAGTGTTATTATTATTATTTTTATGCGTCCACCCATTGTCAGGTAATATGATGTGATTTCTTATATGGTTAGTTAGCCTATAATTTTTGTATGATTTTAGTTCTGTTTGGATTGAATTGATCAATTGAGTTTTTGTTACAAAGTGTGGTTTTTTTTATTTTTTTTTTTTTTATGTTTCATTCAAATAGAGTGGTTTTCTTTTTTAATTATGGAGTCTCAGTTTTTTTTTCGTATATGGTCAGTTATGAATTGTATTTTTTCTTTGTTTAATTGCTTTTGATTTTGTTTCATACTTCCAGTTGACCAATTATTATTATTATTATTTTACAAATGAAGCGCATTTTTTTTTTGTGTGTGGTCGGGGTTTCAAGAATATACTTTTTTAGATTTAGTTTTTGGACTTTTTTGAGTTCCTCATCATATAAATAGTTCAGGTTGCTTCTTCTAACTAATTTATGGGGAAGCCTTTTATGAATTTGAGGTGGAGAGGGAAGGAATGATGTTTCTATGTTTATTTGTGTTTTTATACATCATTTTTACCTACAGGAAAAAAAATAATTTCTCAATTGTTAATGGGCTCTTTTACTTACTTTTTTTTTATTTGCAATGGTGAGGTGAGTTTTTTGTTTGCTATAACTTGAAACCTATGCAAATTTACATTAATTTTCATTCTCATATTTGTGATCAACCAGTTTCAACAATTAACCAGTTTCAAAATCATATTTTTGATATTTTACTACCTATAAACCTTTGGAAGAAACAGTTCCAACAATTAAACATATACCATTCGGAAGAAGCTTACTATATAACTGTTATAAATCTCTAAAACTAAGTATTGATTTGGCACGATAAACGGAGAACATCAATAAATCATCTTACTACTATTTAAACTTATTAGGATACTTTTATATTTTGTCCAACATTTACTTCAAGACATATATTTGATCAAGTTTATTTATATTTAATAAGTAAAATTTATAAAACATTTCTAAAATCTTCAAACATTTATAAAACGTATCGGACTAAATACAATTTCTTTTTTTACCAAATACAAACATTTCTATGATCACACTTATAAAACATTTCTAAATTCTTCAAACATTTCTAAAATATATCGGGCCAAATACAAAATAATTTTTTTTTCAAATACAAACATTTCTAAGATCTACAGATATACTAGGCCAGGGTCGCGCATTGCGCGACTAGATATCACTAGTATAATAGAGAAACCAAAAACTGAAACTAATCAATCTTTCCTATAGTGCCACTTAGGATAAAATCTTCTGTGACATTATTCCATTAATCCAAAAATAAATAAATTTGTGTTAATCCAAAAATAAATAAGTTTGTGTAATACCAAACAAAGTTAATTAGCTCAGTAAACTTAGTTTTGCATAAATATTATTGGTAATTTTTTTTAAATAAATACATTACAAAAAAATATACATTTATTTATTGAAACAATTGTCCAACAATTCGATCTTTGTACCCATATTTAATATTTTGATTTCCGGAATAAATAATATAAATAATTTATTTATGTATCACATTTTTCTTTATTCGAAATCTCAATAATTAATATTTCATAAGATTTATCCATATGTGGCACACATTTTTATATTGTATAAAAAAAACTCAAACAAAAATATAACATACTCCGTACATTATACGGGTTTAACATCTAGTAAAAATAAAAATAAAAAAAAAAATTTTCTCAATTTTTTTGTCAACTCATAAATGCGAGTCTACTCGCGAATTTCCTGAATACCTTAAAATTTTAATGTTGTTACAGAAAAACTTGAAAACTTATATGACAAAAAGATTTACATCTAAAATTATAGTAGTCCATTTTTCCTATTTTGTTTTTTTTTGGTGAAAAAATATATGCATGATCACCAAAAAGTTTCTGTTTCCCTATTCCATGTTACAAAACTATAAAACTACTCATTTTCCTAAACATATGTCCAGAGAAAAACAAAACATTTTAATACTCTACACTAATGTAACTCATGTATTCAAAAAAGCCATGGCATTACATCACTTTCCACTCATATATATATATATATATATATATATGTATGGATGTGTATGAGTAATAAAAAATATGAGTAATTTAGTGATAACTTTTTACTACATGTGAAATTTGTAGGCGAATTTGTTTCTTATTAGGAAACAATAGATGAATAATTTTTATTTTAACAATGATAGTAATAAAAATAAAAATTACAAGCGTACTGTCAAACAACAAATGAATGAATTTCAATTATAACAGTTAAGAATGAACGTGTATATAAATGAATTAAGAAAATAAAATTCTCATGTCCCGTGAACTTCGGAGAGCCCTTTTATGTGTGGCCATAGTGTTTGCAAGCGCCTCCAATAATACAAGCAAGAAGCAAATTGAAAGAATTATGTAAATGTATATATCAAAATTAGTTCGGCAAAAAAAATAAAGAAAAGAAATAAAGAAAAAAGTACTAATCCAGGTTTTAAGCGGTCATACAGACATGGAAACCAAGTCGCGATCTCTAGTGGATCCCCCGTGGCCAGCATCTATTATACATCAAATAGTTTAGTAAGTTTTTCATTTCCTTTTTTCATTTTTATTTGTTAGGAGGGAGAGATTAACAAAATAAAATATTGATATAACACTAGGCTACCAGATGGAGGAAGGCGATAAGGATCTTTATGTCGCCAATCCCACTTGGCTCTTAAACTTTAAATATGGGTTTGTGCCTCTGGCCTGCTCAAAGATCTTCACGCAGCAAAGCTTTTTATAGGCTTTAACTTCATCTGACAAAAACGATTGTCCAATTTTATTTTGTATTTAATATGTTTTTCTTTTGACAAATATTAGTCCTTAACTTCTTGATAAATAATCAAAGAATGAAAATTATTGCAAGGTTGTAAATACATATATGTTTTTTTAATCAAGATAGAGAGCTCGATGCCAAATCGACTAATTTAAATTTTATGATATTCTTTTATCATTTACGATATTAAAATTAGAAAAGACAACAAGAAAGTCAATAAAGTATAGCTTGATTTGTTTTTTTCTGTCGATTAGGCATCAAGGGAAAAATGAAATCCGATGACTAGGCTACCAAAACTCAACTTGACATCTAAGATTTTTTTCGAATTATATGCACAGAGTTAATGAACTTGACACACAAGTCGGCAAATCTCTTTTTTTTTTTTTTTGCCCCCTTTTTTCCTTTTGTTGCTTTTGCTCGTCGAGTTTGGGTCGAGATAGGGAGCTTGATGCCAAAGCCGATCAATCTCAATTTTATGTTTAAACCTATGGTTGCTATGGAAAGTGAGCAAAGAAAGTATTCTTTTTCCTAATTTTTAAAATTTTATATTTAGTTCAATTTTAAGAAATTTAGGAAAGTAAAAAGAATACTAAAATCAATAAAATATGACAATTTTCCAGGATTCTTAATACCCATTGATTCTTTGTTCATGGATTTGAATCATTAAATAAGTTTATTGTATTTAATTCCTTCTATAACCATATCTTTTCTCCCTATCTTCTTAAGATTTTTTTCCTTTTTTCTTTTTCCCTATTGCATTTTAAATTTTTTTTTCATACAGGAAATATACTCATTCAAATAAGTGAATTTTCTATAATGATCTCTTATATTTTACTATAATTCTCAATTTAAGAGATTAAAATTACAATGGGATTAATGAAAAACAAAACTATATGAAAATAGTTTATTTTAGATTGAATTGAATGGTTTCATCTCTAACATATTCATTAATGGTGTCTTTAAAAATACGTTAAGATATGTTTGTGCGTTTGGTAATAAAGTAATAAGAATTCATCTCTTAATTTATTAGTTAAAAAAATAAAAAATCTGAATTCCCACACCAACATTCTTGATTGTATCCAAACAAAACAAGATAATCTATTTTACTTTACTTTCCTTACATTTAAAATCCAAGGAATGTAAACTTTAATTTCCCTCACTTTCCTAACAACAAATAGGAGTTTTTTTTTTGTGGTATTGAAATAAAAAAAAAAAAAACCTAACGAGAAAGTCAATGAAACACAACTTAATGTCTTTTTTTTTTTTTTGTCGATTTAACCATCAAAATAAAATGAAAAAATCATTTCACTAGTTTCCAAAACTCAATTTGATGTTTAAAATTTCCATCGACTTCTATGCATTGAGTTAAAGAAGACAATGAATAAAAACCTTGAAATTAATATTATGAAAATATAACTAGTATGGTTTTCTTATTTTGGGTTGCAATATTTTTGAGTTATATCAAAATAATGTGGTTGCTCTAACTACTTTTTATTGAGTGCTATCTTGTACATGTAATTTGGGGTATGGTTCTTTATATTTCTCGCACCACGGAGCTATAAAAAAGTTTACAAGTCCATTACGTTTCTACTCTCTAGTTTGGCGAGAAAGTCAAAGGTAAATGGCTAGAACTTCTTTCCAAGCTACATATAGTATTGAGAATCTCACATCGACACTAGAAGATAAGTAATATCACTATATAAGCCTCAAGGACTATTTCTTTTATTACTAATTGATTTTGAGGTAGAACCCCATGAACTCTTATATATAGATTGAGAGAATGGTTTTTCAAGTTTTTTTTTTCTCAACAAAAAAGTCTATGATTGAAAGAAGATTGGAAAAAAGTTCCCAAGATTGACTAAAAGTCAATAATTGAGTTAGATTTTGTTAATATTTTTCATTTTTTGTAGTTAAATATGTTGTTTGCAGCTCTTTTTCCTGACCACGAGGTCTATGAGGGGATACAAGTTTGAAAAACCTTTGTTGTTAACTGTGTCCAAGTTTTCTACCCGGTGGCTAAGTTGAGGACTCGAGGGTGAGATAAGGGGTAAAGTATATAAACTTTGGTATCAAACTCTTGTTTACTTACAACAAAGATACAGTCACATTCGTCAGCGTTTCCAGAAAAGATAAAGTTGACGAGTAAGATAAATTTATATAATTTGAAAAAATATATATCGTCGGCTTGGTAATTGAGTTTCTTTTCTCGACGACAACGTCAACAAGTGAAATGACGTTTAAAAAATACGTCGTCTACTTTGTGATTGAATTTATTTTCTCGACGAAAGAGTCGACGAGTGAGATAAGATTTTAAAACACGAGATGTCAATTATTTTATCAAGTATGTTTTCCCAACAACAGAGTCGACGAGTGATAAAAGGTTTTAATATACACGTCGTCGACATTATCGTCGAGGTTTTTTTACCCAGCGATGAAGTCGACGAGTGAGATAAAGTTTAATATTCAATAGAAAATAATAAATGCTGAAATTTTTCAATATAAAATTTATAAATCGCACCAACTTTGCAGTCGGATTAAGCAAGTTTAGGACAAAGTTGAATAATGGAGTTTATTGTTCTAATTTCATGGCAAGTGAACTTTTAACATGACGCAGTACATGGAAACACATTGTTGTAATGTATAACAAGGGGGAAAAATAACAGGGAAAAGGACGTAGTTAATAAATATAGCCAATAAATTCTCAAACAAAAATCGCCTAGTAACAACAACATAACATAATAATAATCAAGAAGTAAGTAATCGCACATTAAAAAAGACAATTAGACAAAAATGTTTACAACTTAGAGTGACAAATTAAAGAAAGTAGAGTGCATTTCTCAAGTTTGGAGCCTCAAATTCAATCTCCTGAGCCAAACCGAATGAAGCACCATATGAATAACATCAAATGGTTTCGCCGGCCTATTAAGCCTAAAATGCCTTTGAAGCCTCCTCACTCTCTTCTGCATTCTGGAATACTTAGCCTGAGAAATCCCTTCCAAAATGGCCTTCATCTTAGGAATCTGCTCAATCCTTAAACTGACCGAAAACTCACTCCAATCCAAAACATCACTAAACGGCAAGAAATAATGGTCCGAAATTATAACCGGAACACATCCGGCATAAATGGCCTCCACCAATCTCGCACTAGCCACTTCAAATCCACTCGGACAAAGACAGAACTTGCTTTCCAACATCAGTTTGGAATAATTCTGTCCTTCCGGGAGGTATTCGTATACTTTAATGCCGTCTTTGTTATTGTTTTTCCAGTACTTCAACAATGTTTCCCTGATGTCCCCGTGGGCGCCTCCGGCGAAGAATGCCAGGATCGGGCGCTTGTTTGGAATCAGGCCTTTTTCTGGTGTTGCGAGATTTTCAGGCGGCCCGTATATTTCCGGCAATGATACGTCTCTTGCTGGTTGAAATCCTTCTGAAATGTTGGCATTGCATAGAACCCTGATGAAGTTCTTGAACAATTCAGGATTTGCTTTTGAAATATCTGGTGCCTGTTGAAGTACATTACACTTAACATAAGAAATTGTGAAGGAAAAAATAAAATTGTTTCTTTTTTTTTTTTTTGGTGTAATAAAACAAATAATATGGTTTTGAGTTCATGAATCAAGAATGCACAACCAAGGAATCATTTTATTCATTGAAAATCCTTTAGACTACTGTCCAATTAACTAGAGTTTTTATGACTGGTTAGACATTTTTTTTTTCCCGAAAATTATTTATGACTGTCTTAAAATACTCAAATTGTATCGTTTACAAACCGAAAACTGATATAGGTTACATACATAACAATTGAAATATCAAAAGAGATTCAATAGGTGACACATACATACAATGTAGTTATTATAATACGTACCCAGTCATGACATGAGACCATGAAATGGTCAGCTCCATTGCTTCGATTCCAATAAGGATATTTGTGAGATATTACACCAATGTAGTCTTCAACCAACCTTTGAAGCTTGTCACGTGAGTAGTTCGTGATGGGCATGTAAACATACTTCACAATGTTTGCCACACTGATTGGAATAAAGAATGCATGGGCTTCATCGGGATGAGAAGCCCTGAAATTGTTGTTTCCCATCTCCATTTCATCTATGAATTGTCCTTCTATTGCGTAGATGTCCTTTAATGGCCCTTTGTGCACTATTGGATTATCTCCTTCTCTGTAAATCCATACCTTGAATCTTTTCAACATTTCTATGTGACTCCTGTAATTTTTTTTATTAGTACAAGAATAATAGAAATTATGATATGTTAATATTGATTGAACTTTATTAATTTATAACAAATTAAATGGACTATTTTTGAGGGTCAGATCAGATATACTCAACTGATGGAACGCAAATGGATCTCTATAAATGGAACCTCTTGGAATGAAGGTCTCATTCTTGTGAGAAATGTATCTTTTCCATTGAACTGCTTTGTGGATTGCTGCCCGAGACCTTGCTAAATCTTCTTCCATCTCTTCTAAGCTGGTTATCTGTAACAAAAAAATAAAAAATAAAAAAATTCAGGGAATTATACTATTTGAACCCCCAAAAAAAAGATCAAATTAATATGTACTAGCAGAGTAATTGCATGTCCTATATATACAATTATGTACTACGTTTTACAAGGTATAACTTACTTGGAGTTTTGTTCTTGCATTTCCAACTCCTTGATTAGCTTTGAATTGAGAGGTGATCCAGAGAGAACGTTGTGGATTAACACTGCTGAGTTTGATTGTAGAAGAAGTTAAAGAAGCAATGTTGAGATTTTGGAGGGGAGCCAAGGGGAAAAAGAAGTAGAGGAGGATGAGTAGGAAAACAAGAATTGGGACTAAGAAGAAAGTTGGGCAGTTATAAACTGCAGGCATTCTTGTTTCTCAGTGCAAACGTAAATTGTAACCTAAGATTCAAAACCGCAACCAGTTCAGGACTTCCCCAAAGGCTTGTTTATATGAGGAGAAAGGTGAACAAAACAAAATTGGAAGTCGATCTGTTTCTTTATAGGCATGCTGGTTAATTAGTGAGGAAAATCATGGGTTGTTCTGGTCGACACATTCAATTTATATCGCATTTGATATTTCCCAAGTCAAATTAATTAAAAGGCATTCGAGCAATTAAGCACACCTGGAAACTGTAGATACTTAAACAAATGTCCAAAAATGGACTTTTTTCTTCGTAAGGTTAAAAAACCACTCGCGGTATTGGATAATCATTATTGCCGATGATAAACATCTTATTGTTTGTATCTTTTGTGTCTCCCCTACAGGAAGAGATTTTTGAAATAAAGTTTTGATGAAAAGCAAGCCATATACGGTATAAGTAACATGACATGTGATTGAGCAAAAAAGGGTAAAAGAAAAAAGACTAGTATTGGAAGTCCAGCATGTGGACTGTTCTTCTATCCCATGCCGCGTAAACTGCAGGAATTTGTGGTGAATTCATGAATGATTTTGAAAACCCATGCAAGCCTAATGGAACCCATATTCTTGATAAACGAAAAATATGTTATAACCAAATTGACTTTTAATCCTAATTTCAGCTATATACTATATGTAATAGTAGCATTCAGCCTAAGCTATAAAGCTATTTCAATAATAATTTGTGACTACCATAACAGATCCCAATCACTGATCGCCAAAAAGCATCTTCTTTTTTTTTCCCTTGATTGTAATTTTTTTTTTTGGGGGGAATTGAAATGTGCAAACTTGTTGCTTATTACTCCCCAAAATTGTGACATCAATTAGGGATCGAATTTGATATCATTTTATTATCTATTGTTAAATTTCGCCCCTTTATTAGTATTCAAACAAAATTATTAACCATTTCTATCGCGTTTCATGGCACTTCTTTCCCGCAATTGATTTGCTCTATATTGTATGTTTCAGCCTACAGATGAATTAATGATCAGTATCGGAATCAGTATCATCATCAAGGATAGTTTTGACTTTGATTTACGTTTCCATCTTTTGAAGTCATGAACTGAACACTTTATTCTGAGCTTGCTTCCCGGTCCCGGTCACAAAAAGAATTATTGGATATTCTTCTTTTATATATTAGATAGAAGATTAAAAACTATGATATTCTTTTAATCTGAATCAATCATTAACTATGATCCTAAGGTTTCATTGAGTTCTTCCCAACTGATGACAAATAAGCAGATTAAGAGAAGCCCAGATTTTCTCAGGGAAGTGTTGTGTTGTCACCGCATATTGCCAACCTTATTTGGTTGCGGAAAAGGCGAAGATCATGAAGAAGAAAGAGATAATATTATCATCTTTCAGTCAACCCATCCATTTTAAAACGGCTTCCAAATGTCCTCTTCCCAATCAATTGAAAGATGTCTTTTGTTGGTTTAGTTAGCAAAATAAGAAGAATCAAACAGCAACGTGTTTTACATCAGAAAGACATTAAGTTGCAGATGAACTAACCACGAGTAAAGCACTGCACTGAATAATCTGTAACTTATCATTAAAAATTTAAAATAGTGAAGTTGATTGAAGGACCAACGATTCAATATCTAGACAACATTGTTCATTTTCTTTTTGATTCAGCAGTCAAATGGAACATTACATCGTACCAACAGCTTCAAATCGTCGTAATCATGGTACAAAAGATGCACCTACTCAAAAATCCACAACTTTCTCATAGGATGTCACAATTCCATTCCTTGCCCAAATTCTTCTACTGTTTTCGTGGCAAGTGTAAGAACGTCAACAAAAGCGCTGAATGATGCCCGCAAAAATCTTGCTTCAGTCGCCTCGAAGTGCCTGAACATAAAAGATTACAAAAATGCAATAAGAAGTAAGCATTCCGAACCGATTTTGACTTCCTCAGATACATTCCTTCCACATTCTCAGCCAACTCTTTTCATTATAACAACCTAGAACTCAAAATCTTAGAAACTAATTAAAACAGAGGTTAATAACGGAACCAGCTACCCCAGCCTCAGAAGGTCAAAAAACGGAAGTTAAAAAATATATCAAAGATTTTTAGCATTGGACAGGGTTTCGTGCATACACTGAAAGCTTTCCATCAGAAACAGACATTTCTCGTTTCACCTTGTCTGGCTGCAACTGCAAGAGCAGAAAACAGGGCCAGTGAGATTTAGATAAAAATATGAACAAATGTAACAGAAATGTGAGAAATCAAAATACCTCCTTATCGACAGCCAACGACGAGCAGACAATATTTGCTTTTCTGTCAGATTGAAAATCCACTTCCAAGTCACTGCAAGCAACATTATTTGCCAAAAGTTTACTCACTATTAACATTTGAATTTAATCCTAAGATAAATTTCCATGGATCCCTGACCCCTCCACAGGCTTAAAAAAGAGAAACCAAAGAAAATTATACAGCATAAACTGAATGAAAGGAAACCATCCATGGCCTTAAAAAAGAGAAATCAAAGAGAACTATACAGCATACACTTCACAAAAGGAACAAACTCCACTGTCAAATAGGGTTCCTAAGGATTCTTTCCGAAGATTTCCAGCAATCGCAATTATATTCTGCAAGATCATCCACCTATTTGCTCCAAAAAGTAAGATTCTTACACTGCTATTATGGAAATTTAACCTTAGTGTGCATTACAACTATAGTCAACACCATCTCCTCATACTAATACTCCATTAGTAACCACATATGACAAAGAACTAAACAAGTAAACAGAAACAGAACAAAGCATCATGTAAGGTAGTGCACAGAATGAAACATTACTTTCATCATTCCCTTAATAACTTATAACCAGAGCGGAAAAACACCAAGATATGACTTTGTTCCACTAGTTCCTGACTGACCATACGAAACACTTATAATGCTCAACAAGAATATCATGATACGTTACATGAGCAAAATCTCGATAAGATGAGGCCAAAATCAAGGTTCAATAACTGTATAATCCACAACAATATGATTCAGTATTCCACTTTTAAAGTGACGGAATATGTTCCACTGGTTGTCAATCTTTCACTGGACTGATTAGCATAAGTAACCTTCGAAACCCTATTGTCGAATGCCTAAACTATGTAAAGCTCTCGAAGAACCCAACAATCCTTGTTAAGTCAATATTAGAGACCCTTCACCCTTCACACAATTTGCAAACGAAAATAAGAGATTCACTCAAACTCGAACCAAATAAAAAATTTCCAGAGGAAACACAATTCGGTTATTTTGTCGAACATATACGGTGCAATAAATGTAGATGTAAGATGGTCCAAAACAAGTAACCTATGAAGCCCAAAAAGAGTATCCAGATCAAACGACTAAATTGCACATTAACAACTATGCACAGAACAAATTCCCAGCTGTTTTCTAGTTCTTACACGATTTAAAGTTCCAAGTTACGACTATGCCCGCCAAAATACCGATTTTACACAGAAGGCAGTTCATTAAAATCTGAACATTTACACCAATTTTACTGATGCAAGAGTCATGATAAAACACATTTGATGCAATCTCTGTCAGTTTCTTACTTGGGAAACTAGTGTGGAACTAAAGGATAAAAAAGAAACACTTAAACAGGGCATATGCCTTGCAAATGGAAAACGTTAATATACGAATTGGTGGTGAAAGATGGAGACTCACCAACTGAATTCCCATTTGGCCGGAGCCAAGGTAAGACTGTTGGAAGCAATAATGTCCGTCATCGTCCCGCGGAAAAGGTTAACGGCTACTGCACCAAATTAGGGTTCCTTTTATTGGGTATTAGTAAATTGTAATATTGCCCCAATTTCTAAATATCTTTAGAATTGACCCTTATGTTTATTTATTATCAAGTTCAAGTTCCTTATTAAGTTCTTAATTTCTTTAAAAAAAAAAATTTCCTCACTCTAATAATAGTCCAAGTCTCCAAGATTTTTTTTTTTTTTTCTGTAACTGAAAGTATGAGGTAGCAATAATGTAAGAATAATCTCAGTTCACATTTTGTCAATCTTTTGATGAGTAACTCCATAATAAATATTTTAATCACATAGTTAACATATTTCCATTCGAAAAAATACAAGCACTCATATATCTTCTTTTATTTAAAAACAAATAACTTGTTGTAAATCAAACGAACTTATTAGATACTATTCCGATGATCAAACTTTCATAATTCACTTATTCCATTTCAATTTAATAAATTGAACCATTTTTTTAAGAACCTAAAGAATACCTTTTACTTTTGACACTAATTTGACACTATTTTTAAAAATTAAGGTATGGATTTTCAATTTTTTTTTTTAATAAGTGGCACTGTATATTGCTTCTCGAATTAAGAATTTACATCTTTTTTACACACAAAGGTGCTCCATTTCTAATAAACACATACAAAATCACCATCTATGGATGCACAACTAAAATCGATTTAAGGTCTGTGAGGCATTATGGACTATGGAGTATTTTCTAATTTTCAATTACTCAACTAAATTAGTATCCTCAATGATGGTCATGACGGATTAATTAAGCAAAGGGTTGAACTAGAGCGGAAAATTTTGGCGGGAAGGACGAAAGGGAGAAGAATAATGGCGGAATTAGGGGTTTCTTCGGATTCGAAATCCTCCGACCGAGAGATGATGCAGGAGCAGCTTGTGAATATGGGGTTTTCCGAGGCTTTGGCCGCCGAAGCTCTCGAAACCACCGGCGGCGATATCATCAAAGCTACAGATTGGCTTCTCAGCCGCGGCAACTGTAATCGCAGTCATCAAAATGACGATGCTGCTGTCAGTATTCATAACAATACGCCGCCGCCGCCGTCAACCTCTAAAGTTGGTAACTTTCAACCGAAAATCGATTGCTTTTTTAATTTTAATAGTAATGGTAGTATTAATAGTAAGGGCATTTGTAGTGTTGTAAATAGTGATGCCGGTGTTGGTGGTGGCGGCGGCGGCGGCGGCGGCGATGCGGCTGAGCTATTACCCGCCGGTGAACCTAGCCTACAACAAGAATCACCATCTAAGCCCTTATCAGAGAGAATGCGTCCACAAACCCTTCAGCAGGTAGTCGGCCAAGACCACATATTAGGCCCAACTTCTGCCCTCCGGTCAGCAATTCGGTCTTGCCGTCTCCCCTCTCTGATCCTTTGGGGCCCTCCCGGAACCGGCAAGACCTCTATCGCCAGAGCCATCGTGGCTGATGCCAATGCCAACTGTAACTCTTCTCCTGATCCTTTGGGTGGCGCCATTCCTCCATACCGTTTTGTTCAGATTTCAGCTGTGAATGCTGGTGTTAAGGATGTTAGAGATGCTGTGGATGAAGCTAAGAACTGGACCAGGTTGATGAAGAAGAGGAAGAGTAGTGGGTCTCACAGGATCATAACCAGGACAGTTCTTTTCATAGATGAAGTACACAGGTTCAATAAGGCTCAACAAGATTCCCTCTTGCCTGTGATTGAGGATGGTAGCGTTATTTTTGTTGGGGCCACCACGGAGAATCCGTCCTTCCACTTGATCACTCCATTGCTGTCCCGTTGCACCCTGCTTGTCCTTAATCCCCTCCAACCTGAACACATTTCTACCCTTTTGAATAGGTCAGTGTCGGATATCAGCAGAGGAATCCAATTAGGGCTCAAATGGAAGAAAGTGCAAGTGGAGGATGCGGCCATAGAGTTTCTTTCACAGCATTGCGATGGTGATGCCAGAGTGGCGCTGAATGCCTTGGAGATTTCAGTTACCACTGCTGCTGCTGCTGCTTTACCTGAACGGGCAGACAATCGAGACATTGTTGATGATTCAGTACTTTTGGTTCGGACTAGTCATGTTGAGGAAGCTTTGAGTAGTAAGCATGTTGCTTATGATAGAGATGGCGAGGAGCATTACAACCTCATTAGTGCTCTTCACAAGTCCATGAGAGGAAGTGATCCAGATGCTTCCATATATTGGCTTGCTAGAATGTTGGAAGGAGGAGAACAGCCGCTATACATTGCACGCAGACTTATTCGGTTTGCTAGTGAAGATGTTGGCTTGGCTGATTCCTCTGCCCTTACTCAAGCTGTGGCTTGTTATCAAGCTTGTCTCTTTATCGGCATGCCAGAGTGCAATGTTAACCTGGCTCAGTGCGTTTGCTATTTGGCTCTGGCTCCAAAATCGGTAGCAGTGTACACAGCCATCAAAGATGCACAGAAGTTAGTTAGAGACTCTGTTGGACAGAATGAAGGGGTTCCCCTTCACCTAAGAAATGCACCTACTAAGCTGATGAAGAATATTGGATATGGAAAAGGGTATGTCTATCCTCCCGGGTGTGATGAGTCTGATCCGGATTTGCTGTCCCAGACTTACATGCCGCCATCTCTACAAGGATATAAGTTTCTTCATTGGCCAAAATCTGCAGCCAAGAAGAACGGAAATTGAGCAGAGGTTTGGCTTGGCTTTGGTCCAATTGTTTGGCGTGGTTAGAACCCTTACCTCTTGGCTCTATCATCTGTTCATAAATTTGGTTGACATTAGCGTGCCATATTGGCAGTTTGCTATGCTTTTGGACTAATTTTGTGTTTGATGCCTGTTATAAAAATGCTACTGATGTATATAATTTGCAAAAGAAACATTAGCTTATGTAATAAGGTTGAAGTTTGAGATTGGAGTAGGAGAGAGTGAAATATATAGTATTAAAGATTTTTATTTCGTTCCTGCAGTACGAATCATAGTTTGACTTTATAGTACTCTTGGATGGTAATCCAGTTAAATCTGGCAGATGTTACCTTTTCTACTTCCTGTGTGACCACATATTGCTGTTATGTTATATAATGACATTTTGATTCACACTGACTGATTGGAAGGAAAAAGAAGAAGAAGATAAGAGAGCCATCATAATACAGGTTATTTGTTCTGGGGGGAAAATTAGAACAAACAAACTTGGTGGTGGAATTCAGTTTAAAGAATATCATCACTTTTGCACATATACTTCATCTATATAGTATTTCCAATGCAAATTTTTTTTTTCCTCACAGTTAACAACTTCATGTCCTTGAAGCAATAATGAACAAATGAATGAAGAATGAATCTCTGCTCTAAGGCTGCTTGGACTTTGCCCTTACTAGTAACATAGAGACCTAACATACACACCATATACATAAGTACCAGTATACATTTTATCAGTTATCATTCACAGCCCAATTTTCCACGGTATTCCAGAAAGACTTTTGCAGCACCATAATGAGCAACAGCACCCATGATGACAAAGCAATGAAATATTTGATGACTGTGACCAGTGAGATCAAAGAAACCAGGCTTCCACCTCTCTGGAATCCGGGTAATGTAGAACACAGTTCCTGTTATGTAAGATAATGCCATGACTGATTCATAACAAAGTATTACATTTCGCTGAGGATCATTCCAGTTAAGTACCACACCATGGATTGCAGGAATGAGGCCAAAGAATCCCATGGACATGAAGAGCGCAGCTCGAAAAGCCCGGTATTTCCCAGTCGAAAATGCTGGAGTTAGCAGTGTTATGATTGTAAAGATGCCCATTAGTGTGATCCCAGTGAGGTAAACAAGCTGCCAATGTGGAGTACACTGGAAAATGTAGTAAATTGGAGGGAAAAAGGACGTGATTATCATCACTGTTATGCCCACATAGTCCATTTGCAGCAATAGGAAGTTTACACGCTTTGAATGGCAGGAGAAGAGGTGGCAAACACTACTGCAGAGGAGGCAAAACATTGCACCTGCTAAGAATATAAAGAATGGCCAACTTGTTGTAGCCATCTCAGGGGAAGTAATGTCCATATGTAACTGCGGCTCTTGCTTGAGGTCTATAAGTTTGGTTGGCCCCTGAGAATCAAACAGCAGTGTTAGTTATTCCATCCTTCATCAACATACTTTATTAGTATGCCGATATAAACATATCAGGTATGACTTTTCGTGTAAAATTTCTTATAGCGCTCGTTTTAGTATGACATGAATGTAAGTACTTGTCGTTTTAGGTCACATTTTCAGATTTTTGTTGCATAAAAAAAACTGTCTTAGGACTCAGGATGCGGGTGATACAAGGAGTATGAAAAAGAAAGTGTCATGGACTCACCATAGAGAAATCTTTGGAGTTGTGGGAGACATTTGTATCTGCACTGGAAGGAAAATGCCTGCAGTATATGGTAAATGACTCAGAACTCTGAATAGTCAAGTTATTCAAGATCAAGAGTATTTTCAACTATTCACCCAGCTAAAACACAGTAAATATCATTTCAAGTTGCAAAATCACAGTTTAGTTACCAATGAAAAATTGGTTACCTACTCCCTCCAGTGACTGGAAATGCACTGTTAAAATGGGATGGAGGGAGTACCCCTAATTAGTAGTCAGTGGTCCAAGAAAATGAACCCACATATATTTATTAATGGGCTAACATACAGCTTGACAGATGGGCAGGCCTACATAGTCCTAGAAGAAAGACAGCAAACAAACGGTCCGAGAAAAAAAAAGTGAACTGTTTATAGAACAGGAGTCCAAATGTCCTCCAATAAAACAAACCCCTTGATGGCTTTGACGTCTTCCAGGAAGGTGCCTATGAAAAGTCAACGACTTGGAACAGTCTTAAATTTTGCTCGTGGAAACACACACACACACACACACATGTGCTCTGTAATCCCTTAGGATTTTATTTAGCTGTCACATAATTAAATTTATATGAAGACCTGTCTTCTTTTTCCAACCATCCAGATGGTATCTGATGTTTCCTTTTTTCTTTTTTTTGCTTTCTTTTAAGAAAAGGTTAACGTATATGATGTTTTTTATAATGGTGGTGGTATCAACTAATCAAGGTTGCACATTTATTGGCATCATAAACTCAAAAGTTGACAGCTTCCTAATTGATGGTAGTAGTTGGATGACACTACACATTCTATTGTATTCCTTCCTTTCGTCCCAAAATGATTGTTTGAAAATTTGAGTGGTACCCAATTCAGAGAATTCACTTGACAATGCCACAATGAACAACAAGAACTAATAAGTTCCATATGGTAAAAAGGATGATTTTGTCGGCTTAAATTGTCTTTCAGAAGAATGAACTCAATCAGACACACATTAAAATTCTGGAAATTGGAAACAAGCTTAATAATTACCTTGTGAAGATTGTGATGAAATCAGCTACTTGAGAAGCATGCATCACATTTGCAATTGTCAATCCCAGAAACAGGACAAATCCCAATAAGTGCCTGAAAGACATGAACCGACAGAAAATCAGAAAAAAAAAAAAAAAAAACCCAATCTTGAATTCCCAATTAGCCTAACAAACACCAGGAATTGTGTTTGAATACTCAAAGAAACAACAGATTAAACTTACGTCCAAACATTAAGGGTCTCATTATGCCAGCGGAACAAGCTAAAGAAAGCATCTTTGAGAGACCATTCAGCTCTGTAATAATTGAGTATGAACTCATTATCCTTCATGTATTCAGGCAGTTCATGAAACGACAGAAGCGCAGGTTTCCTTCTTCCTTCTCCCCTGTTTCTGCTACCCTTTTTCTTCTTCTTCTTGCCGATGTTGTTATTGCTCAAGTTATTGCTGTCATCAGCATCAGCATCAGCATCATCAATGGGACTGTAAAAGTTGTTGTTTTCCTTAACCTCCTTTTCATCCAACCCAAATTCCATTGCTGACTTTGGTTTCCTCCTCAATCCTCTGCTCTGCATTATTGACTTTGATTCTTCTCTGTTGGGAAAAAAAGTAGGAAAAAGAATTGTTGGTTTCGTGAATCACTGTGTGAGTGCGTGTTTGTCGAATTGGGCAGGCTAGTAGTAGTAGATTTATAGAGAGGGAGGGAATGAAGTTTTTTTTTTTTTTGTTTGGGCAACTGCAAATTTCCCAACGACTAGCATTTAAAGACTTGAAATGGGAAAACACGACAAATTGACAATCCAACAGTTAGCTTGGCCAATACATGTGGGTAGGTTATCAATAATTTTCTTCTTGTCACGCTGGCGTTATGACTCCATTTTTCTTCCTTTTTCTTCTTTTTTTTAGCAATAACATTTGGCAACCATGATCTTCTTTTGTTTCTAATTATCCAGTTTAAAAAATTTACAATCAAATATGGCTATGGAGATTTTTTTCTTTTTCCTTCTTCTCTCTATCCAATTTTAGCAATCAATATCCTCTGTTATCATATTCGATGACTGAACTGTCGTTGATTTAATGAATCATTTTACTTGATGAATTCGTTGATTTTTTATCATTACGTACCATCCAGTAAAAGGTTATCATGATATATACAATTACTTCTTCTTCCTAATTAGACCCAAATAGTAGAGTAAAAGTTTAACAGATGATGGTGAATCAATTATGAAATTGACAAAAGTTACGTGGAGTGAAATGTAGAAATGTAAACATATCAGAAGCTATAAACTTGCACTTAAACCAAGTTACTACATTTGATATTTAAAATGTCACAAGGAGTGTATTGCTTGAAGACTCCCAGATTCTTAAAATGGTTAAATTATGATGTCGTGTGGACAAGTTAAAAATGTTTATTACATGAGTACTTCAACCTACAAAAACAAACCTTTGGTTTTTGATAACAAAACCCCAGGTTTAACGTTACTAACAAACAATTCTAGAAAGAATTCATTAAATTCCTTATTCAGTAATATAATCCGCCATGTCATATTATTATTTTTTTATAGGAAAATGATATATATAGTGAATGAAAATAGTGACAAAATATAGTGATTGATATGGATGAATCATGGTCCCTAGTTTTTTGTCACTTTCCTGTTGAAATTTTTTTCCTAAAAATTATATTTTTACCCTTGATTAATAACTAGATATGTTTAGTAAGTGTGTGGTGTATTTATCTTTTCATTTGTTACTATCCAAATTCGCTATAATTTTTCACTATCTGTATCATTGCTCTTTTATATATATATATATATATATATATATATATATATATATATATATATATATATATATATATATAGTAGCAACCTTGAATCCGTCGTGTCATGCTATTTTGCATTGGATTAATAATCCAAATGTTAAGTGATGAGAGCTGGGAATTGTTCACCTATATTATATGCTTATTGCCACTTGTGGATTTATTAGTTAGGTCGTAAAAACAGTCTTAACAATTTTTTTTGGTTGACCAATATTTAGTTGTACTAAGTATGAGCAACAAGTATGAACATATATGGTTGGGTGACAATTAACGTAAGGGAAATTAATTATAGTCATTCAAATGACTTGTGGAAACGTTTCCGTTGGTGTACTAACGCTTTTGACGCCAATTGGTTGCCTTCCCATAACACTTCAAACCGGTGGCAATAATAATAATATTAATTAATTGGAGTAATTATAATCCGGTTCAGGTGATAAAGATAACTTGTCAAAGTGGTACTTGACCCACAGAAAACACTATGAGAAATGGAATATGCGTGAAAATATTCACAAATCTCTTAATTGCATCTCTCTTTTTTTTTGGTTTCATCACAAGCGTACATTGTACCGGAACAAATCAGTAGCCAAGTGGTTAAAACTTAAAACATAAAAAGGGCTTTCCTTCTTACCACAAGTGGTTAACTAGGTCGCGGTTCCATGGTAACTGTAAGCAAACTAGTCACTTGTCACGCAGGTATTATTAGACGTAAAAGTGGCTAACATGTTGGTCAATTGGCACGAGCCCTTTTAGAGTATTAATGAAACTCCGAGTGATGAGTCTCGATTTTAAAAAATGTTTCTTCTGGTCCTAATTATACTTTGTGCTCCATTTGATCATCAATTTGGGTGCTCAAGCTAAACATGGGCATTCAATTTGTGCTAACCGATGAGTCAACTTCCATGAAAGCATGGTGACGGCCAGTCGTAAATCCACAGAAGCTCACGGATACTCGTCAGACCTGTCGCTGTAGTAAATACTACTAGTAGTACTAATGACTAATAAATGGCTGCTGAATTCCACGGCCATCGGAATTGACAGCGCGTTGAAACCGTATACCTCCCCTCCCGGTCCCTTCCCCGGGTGTTTTTAGGTTTGACGTGACACATTTTAGTTACAAGTTGCTGTACCCGTTATTACTAATTGCTTTTCTAGTACATCATCGTACACAAAAACTAGGCATAAGATTCTGTGATGTGGATTGCGGAACAAATTCTTCGTATAGACTTCAGTCCATTTCGAGAAGTTTTATTAGTCGTAGGTTCGTTTTCAATGCTTCATGTATAGCAAGAAAGGATGCGGAATCCTCACAATATCAAACGTTTGGTGAATCTGTTTGCCTTTCCTTCCATGGAATTTGACGAAGACAAATCGAACTGAGAGAATCTCCAGATTATCTGATATGCTCCTCCTAATTCATCCGCAGAGTTTCTTCTACGTTTAGAATTCAAGGTAAAACCCGACAATGATTTATACCCAGAAGAACCAGCAACCGTGTTGTATTTTACTATGGTTCACAAGTAACCCAAATTGTTGCGGCCGAATCGTTGGGATTGCACATGGAAAAAGCACATAGCATCTTTTACAACCCAGCACGAGTTGTGACAAAACCATGGTACAGGACAAAGATTCTTCTTTTGTATTCCTGCATTAACTTATTCATATGAGAAGTTTCACTCTAAACACAAGCAAACTATATACATATAATACATCTAATCTCATGTATCATGATTGGAGTGTCAATTCTATAGCTGAGCATTACAGCCTTTCGGCTACACCGGCAAAAGGGTACAATAGAAGAAAACAACTCTGATCAGTGTTTCATCAAGGGTCCAACAAAAGGATTAAAAAAAATTCAAGTTATATATGATTATTATACTTTTCTTTCGAGTATGTGGGGAATATATATATGCTGTTGAAGGAACAAAAGATGCCCCTTCCCATTAGGCATGAAATATTTCTTCATGTCAATTGTCAAAAGCTTACAACAAAACAAAAAATATTGAAGGACGTTCACATATTTATTAGCTTTTGAAAACACCAAAATTGTCTAGTGAGGAACGGAGTTCATCACTGCTGCATTCTTCAGTTGTCTGAATAACATTAGGGCTGTCCAAGGCAACCACATCAGTAAGTGGGTAGCTTCTGTTGGAATGAAGTTGGCTGCTGGCCCCATTGCAGACTCCTTTTAATATCACAGACTTGTGTACACCACCAAGCATTCCTTCGTAATCAGTGTCCCCACTTTCTCCCACAAAGACAACCACCTTCGACAAATCCATACCCCATCGAAGATACAAATACCTGCACAATTTTTTTCCATGGGAAACTTTCAGACTAAGAGGAAAACTGAGCAAATAGGAGTGAAACATCTAGTTCGGAAATACAAGACTCGTCCTGCTTGCAGTCTTTGTGACTAGCAGACACAGATATGTTGATCAATGCTAAATGCAACTCTTCATGATAACGGTGGGCTAGACTAATCTAGAAGAGAGAGATGGTATGAAGAATTAAAGAGAGAATTTACTCAACGATATAGAAGGAAGAAGAAAGAGCAACGTAAATATCATCCTACCTGAGTGCTTGGCACCGAGATGCTAACACTGGAATGACATTAATTTTAGTCCCACTTTGACAATAAATAACATGACAGCGGAGCGCCTGAATCCTCATCAGCTTCCTGATTTCCCTTACTGGAGGAACCTACACAGTGACAACATAATACAAAGTGGAGATACATCACTTTCCAAACCAAAATTATCAGATTTTGATTCTGTAGTGTGAATACAAAGAATTACTACAGTTATTGCATCTCATGCAGTCATGAGTCATCCTCAAAAAAGAATGTCCAAGAAAAATTTCAAATTAGAGAAGAAAAGGAGTGATGAAGAAGACGGGGGTTGGAACACGGAGAACACATCCAAAAGCTTGAAGGATGGGCACATCCAGTAGAGCGATTTCAACATGAACTATTGACAACCTGAGGGAGCAACTTTTCAAGATATAGGAAAAGGTTAAAAGAATGCTCAAGAAGAAGCAGAGAAGTTTTTAAAAAATAGTAAGACATAAGAAAAAACAATGCTCGATATAAAATTGGTCAGTCAAGTCAAATTTCAATAACATAAGGAATATCTTTTAAACATGCCAAAAAGAGGAGCCAGAAAAGGTTAATCTTGACTTGCAGTAAAGAATTACTGAGGAGGAGAGAAAGTTATCGCCGGATTCAGATATCATAATGGTCAGGCAATAACTTCATTAAAGAGCTATAAGCAACAAAACCCTTCGACAGAATAAAAAGGGAAAAAGCCTAGAGTGAAGGAAAGAAAATGTAATATTACCATGCCAGGCTTGCGAACTTTAAATGAATAACAGTAATCGGCTGAGTTCTTTTCATCCTCAACTACGATCTGTTCTTCTTTGTCACCAACTTTTTCTGTAAATGAAGATGCCCACCGAACCAACGTCTTCCTCAATCCTTCACCTCCCCATCGATATTCAATATGTGAATGGTAATACAAGTCAACTATAAAAGGGTTATCATCAGAGTTAGGGGATGAATAATAAAGATCACCACCACTATTGCAAATGAAGGCATCAAAATCAGTTGCACTCAAGCCTTCTGAAACCAGAAACGAACGCAATTCCAAAAAGGTAAAAGATGTGGCCAATATGAATCCTACAGAGCCTTCTGCCTTTTCCTTCTCCACAGCATCAAATATCTTTTTCACACTTTCAGAAAGGCCTGAAGAAGCATCACAATCCACCGCAATCACAAAAATATGTTTCCTCCGCCTCAGTGCTGGGAATTTACCAGCGGCATTCGGGTCACTTTTATCTACAGATCCAGATCTCTGTGAGCTCTTTAGAACACCCTTGGACCAGCTCAAAACAGCATTTTCTAACTTGTTCTTGCGATCATCAGCGTCTGAGAAATTATCTGAATTTTCTCTACTCACATTTTTTTCTCCATCAAGTGAAAACTTTAAATTCAAAGATATATCCTGTATATCTCTTAAGGAATCACTAGGTGAATCTGATTCTGAGTTTTCGTCATCATCATCATTATTACTCAACCACCGCGGTTGCCTGGGCTTGCAACTTGCCAATTTCGTCAAATATGTTTTGCAGTGTTCAGGCCAAGAGAAGAGATGAATGTTTTTCAATCCATTCGCACGGCATTTTGCCCAAAGTTGCTTATCAGCAACCAGTTTCAACAGAGCATCAGCAATTGACTGTTGATCATGAGGATCAACAAGAAGACCATTGTCAAGAACCTGGAAAGGACTGCAGTCAGTTTCGAGCTCGTGCCATACTAACAAACAACTCATAATATCAATGGCCCACAAAACTTCAATTTGGAACTAGAGTAATTTCACAAATCTTGTACCCAAGAAAGTAAAATATATATATATATATATATATATATAAAAAAAATAGAACATTCCATACCCTATGTATGTCAACAGGTCCACCATTTTTTGTGGCAACCATAGGCAAACCATGAGCAGCTGCCTGTGGAGCAGAGAAGACCATCAGGGGTAATATTCACAAAGCTTGCCAGCCAAGCTATGCAAAGTTGGAAACAATGTAGCTATAGAAGGTTACCTCAATCAGAGTAAGCCCAAAAGGTTCAATAAAAGCTGGATTGATAAAAACACCCTGACAAACATAAAAAGGTCTATTTAGCAACTGGAAATACCTAATCAAGGTGCTGCAAATCGAATTTTAACGAGGAAGGCATGCCATTAAGCTTCTACACAAAAGCACCACAGATTTCTACTAAATAAATTCAATGCAGCCTTGCTGTCATGTAAGGCACACTCATGCGAAACTCAGTCAAATGGGCCACATCACGATAAATCAGACCAGATACACTCCCATCTACCCTTGAGTACCTTTGTCTTTGCAGCAAGACGATATATGTCAGGAACATCAGACTGCTTATGGTGTTTTGGGTATGCCACTTGACCATAAAGATCATACTTATCTATCAACTTCAGTATTGAAAGAAGAACAGAAGCACTAGTGCTCGACATGTCATCAACATTATCCCTGTTGCCCATTATTAACGTCTGCAAGAAACAAAGTGACATAGATCAAAGAACAGAATTCCATTTCCACGTAATCCAGGAATACGGAAGGGAAGAAAGGAGACTGTGTACACTAGCACAGTAGCACTTACAAGGTTGGCAAGCTCTCGCAGTGGACGACATTCCCCAAATGCTTTAACAAGTGTAGTTAGGTTTTTCTTAGGGTCCGGCCTGGCAAGGGCCAGTATCATTGGCTTTCGCGGATTAGAGAAGAAGCGCATAATCTGCAATAACTCCACGCAAAAAGAATCAATAACAGCCAAAAGAGAAATGAACAGATTCCATTCAAACTTGAAAGTCCAAGAAAGGTTTAATCACAAAAAGTTAGGACCTCTCCCCATATAGGTGGATCTGGAGACTTTCCATCTTCGTTCCCTTCAGTTTCACCATCAATATCCCCATCATGTGGAACAATGTGATGGAATTCCATCCCCGGGGGGATTACCTGCAGGAAATTATTAACATAATATATCAATATAATCACACGGTATGGACATCGTATTCACAATTTATGATTAAACTAAGACAGCTAAAAAACCAGTTTACATCTATTATACCCGGACTGGGATATGAGAAATTTGATGGCAGATCATTTCATTAACAAGTTCTAGGGCAATTACATATATATATAAATATACAAACTTATCTGTTTTGAGTTTTAGTTAATTAGATTTGCAACAGCCATCATCATGTTCTACCTAACTGAATGGCATATTCCCAATTAAGGTAGCTTAGAATTTGAAAGCAACTAATAAAACCTTCACGTGTCATAAGAAGTAACCAAATAAATGAAGCTTCTTGCAACTGTAAATGTCCAAGTAATCAAGAACTTACAGCCATACGAGGCATGAATCTTCCATAGCAGCTAACATTACGCCTAATCCTGGCACGCAACTTCCGCTCTAGTATTGGATCAAATCCATCATATAGACGCCATTGCTCCTCAATTTCCTGTCTTGTGCTAGTTATGACAATTTCAGAAGCATCCAGGGATATCTCTTCAGCCTCAATCCTTCGCATTATTTTGTACGTCGAATTTATTTCATCCCTTGAGAGTCTACCCTGCCTCAGAAGTTGTTCCAATTTATCTCGGCCAAGTGAGTGACCAGTGAAGAGCATGGGCACATTAAGAGCACCAGACAGAAGAGCTGCAGAGTCACCAGCATCTGCATAATGCCCATGAATAGCAGCAGGCCACACAAGATGTCCACCACCAATTTGCTCACCAAGAACTTTTGACATTTGTATTATATGGCTAAGAGCACCATCAACAAATTCAGAAATATGAGGCCAAAGAAGCTCCTTAGGTATATATTTGTCTTTAGGACCAAAAGGAATTCGAATGATATAAGCACCACTACTCTCCCCCATCTCACTTAAACCTTCTGAATTTCTAGGAGGCAACATCTCTGTAGGTTCCCCATAGCTCCAATCTACTTCTGGCGATGATACTTGCCTAGTAAGTAAATCAACCCGATAGACACCTGGCATTGAACCTAAAGCCCTTGCAAGTTCAACAACATACTTCACCTGGCAACAAAATTATTAGCTGTTATCCCCCTCAAGCAGCTCCAGCAACAGAATCTCTCACAAAGAGACAATAATGGCAGCATGTTCTATAATAAAAATTGGTAATTGGTGTATGGTGTTCAAACATTATGAGGTGAAGTTGAGCACATGGTAAAGAGAACCCATATGACCATATATACCTGACCACCAGTATCAGAATCCCGGCCAAGCTCCATGTTTTCACCCCGTATTAATCCATGAAGACTGCAAGAATACGACATTTTCAGAGGAACAGTAAGCATCACCGTGCAAATAAGACATCCAACATTCCTTAAATAAGAAAAAAAAAAACAAATCGGCAAACAAATCAATAAATGCCTGAATTGAATACCTAATCAATACGATATATAGCTTCTTTTCTTTCTGATGACTAGCCCAGGCCTCCATTGTTTCTACCGAACTTATTCTAGGTAAACGACCCGGTTTGCTCTCCCCATGTGCTGATATGTCACCCATGGTTTCTCCTTTTTCACCCTCAGACAAGTCCTCTGACATATCAGCAACTGCTTCTCGTCGTCCCCTCTCTCTTTCCATGCGGCGTTTAGCAAGCCTCTGAGCTTGCTTTTCTTCGAGCTAAATGACCACACAAAAAAATTACACGAAACAAAGTAAGTAAACCAGCGACAGAAACTGAATGCTGGCAATTTTAACCTTAAAAAAAGAAAAAAAAAATAAGGGGGAAATGAAGGAGCTCTGATCAATAAGATTAAACACATAAGGACTGAAACAAATTAAAATAAGAAACAGCACATACAAGGAAATCAACCATCCACAGCTATCATACTGTTCCCTATTTCCACAGCAACAATCCCTTCAATTAAAATTCAACCATTGTATCTTAAAAAAACAAATTGATCACTTCGGAGTTATACAAACCCATATCTCAATTCCAATAAAATGAACTCAAATTGATCAGCAAATACAAGTTTGATTAAAAAAATTTCGCAGAGCAAAGCTAACCTGCTTCTTCTGGCGAGCCAAATTCCATATACGCCAACATAGATTCTCAAGTCTTGTGTTCCTCTCTTGAGGACTCCTAGTAGCTTGTGCCTATCCATTATCCATCATCACTCAAATCAGATTCCAAAACAAAAACCCAAAAGAAAGGAGACTAACTTGAGGAGAGTTTTAAACAGCAAAAAATGACTTACTCGAGCCCATGAGCGGTGGAGATCGGTTTCATCAAAGCCGGTGATGACTTCCTCCACAAAGTAGCGAGTTGGGCTGAATCTCCCTCTTTCCCTAAGCAGCAGAGAGGACTTAGCATCACCAACTAGCCCAGGACCCACATCCAGAATTGCCTCCAAGTAACTGTTTATCCAATCATTTCCCGCCATAGCCAATCAGCACCACCGCCCTCCTCCTCCACCACCACCACTGAAACTTATAACACGATTTTTGAAAAATCTGAAGTAACAGAAGAAAATGGGATGAGAGATGATGTTTCTGGAATTTGAGGGAAAAAAAAAATAAAAAAAAGGAATAAGAATACTGATTAAATTTCTGTGAGGGGGAGAAAATCAGGGGGAAAAATTAGTGTAGATTTTCTCTTGTGCTAAACGCAGTGAGAAATGGTGGCAAATATATAGGAACTGTGTTTTTTCGACTTCAGTAAAAATAATTAATGTTGTTTATTTTTTTCTATTTCTAGTAGCGGTAGAATAGTTTAGTAATAATATTTATATATTCATTTGCATCTCCTAGAAGTACGTACCGTGACAATAGAATATGATAAAACGTCCCTCATTTATTTCCTTTATTGCTGTAGTGCATACCATATTTTGTTTTCTTTTTATTTTGACTACAAAAGTTTAGCGTCAAAATATCGAGTTGGTAATAAACCACAGTATTTCCTCTTATTAATATTTTTCCATTGTAATGTTTTATCGTGATTGAAATTTAATTGATAATATGCTTCGTTACGTTATAATTTGTACATTTGTTATAATTTTAAGATTATAAATTTTAGGTATTTATTTTGTTACTTGTTAGTATTAGTGAGAAATCATTAACAACATCTGGAAATAATCATTCTTCATTGCAAATGATCATTATTTAAAGAGATTTAATATCACTCTATAAATTTTAAAAAAAACTATGATAACTTAATAAAACTCTCAGTAATTTAATGTAGCAATTAATACAAAGCATATTTTGTTATAGATTTTGGGAATGACTAACCAAAAAATTACATTAGAAAAATAAAGGAATGATCCATAGAGCGTAAACAACTTTTAAAAGTTGAATTAAAAAATGTAAGTTTCAGGTAATAAGCAAACAATGTGAGGGCCTCCTTAACATTCAGGGAAAATAGTGGGGACTCTTGAGCAAAAAGGATTGAGAGTTTTGTGTTATCTAAGGTTGACTAATTTTCGTGGGTACACGTACCGAAATGTTAAATATACTTTATTAGAGAGACGTTAAATTTAAGTCAAGGCAGTGGAGTCAGTTCAGCATATTTAATGTAAATATTATTACTAGTAAATTTGTTTGTAATTTTCCTCTTAATTTATTTTTTTAGTATAAATATATAAAGGAATAATCACTTTTAAATGAGAAATATTTTCTCCCTTTTTCAAAAGAAACGCTTTAATGATTACGCAGAGAATATGTATGGGATTGTTCTCGTGATATGCTCCGTGTGAGTTGGTCGAAATTGCCCTTGTTCCGTCAACCTTCATTTCAAACTTTATACTATTTGTAAAAAAAAAAATTATTTTCTTTGTCGCAAAAAATAGAGATTCATCGAAAATGTATTTAGTTATCTCTTTTTAAAGCTACATATTTGAAAAATACATACATACATATATTATAAACGCTTATATAAATTGAAATTTTTATGTTTTCTCCATATACTATACTCATAATGTACACTATACACAAACCACCAAAAATAAAGTGGGAAAAAAAAAAGTAGTACGAGATTCTCAATTATATTATCTCTAGAACAATCTTATCTTCACATAAAAAGTGTCTGATATTAATTTCCCAAAATATTGTCGTCTTTCGATGACGTATGGAATAGTTCCATATAGTTCCTTGAGGAAGAAGAGGGAAGAGAGACAAGGCCATGTTATAAACTGCCACCTGTTACCATATTATTATTCTGTTTGAGAAATGATTTATGCCTAACAGCCAGACGTAGGTCCATTTAGGCTCTAATTTGTTGTTGTACCATCTAATAATTCCTTTTTGTAATCAATTGTCCATTCAATGATTTGTTTCTGTTAGCTTTTTATTATTCTTTTAATGTAGATCTTCAAGTCATGTCACCTCTCTGCTCTTGACAAGTGTTTTTTCTTTTTTGCAAAAAAAAAAATAGTAATAACCCTTTTTTTAACTACAACACAGAATCGAACTGATTTGACAGGTGTTTGGAATATTCTCTTCACCCCCTTTGCTTTCTAGGAATCTAAAGAAATAGTCCTTCTACAGTTATGGGAAAACGGAAACATAAATGATGATGATTTCACTTGGAAGCTTAAAATCTGAACTCTATATCTCCATCTTTCATCGCTTGAGGTTAGAAAACATTAGACGAAAAGTTGTATTTTGCGAGTTCATATAAGTCATGTCAGAAATTAAGATCGGATTTTAATAATATAAGAAGATCCGATATCCTTCTCATTTTACAAGGATGGTGCTTGTTTCTTATTTTTATTTTTTTGAAGGTAGATTTGTACTCACCAAAACCAAACAAAATAAAATAAAAGCAGTGATAATAAAATGATGTCGCACCTTAATGGTGAATTTCATGGATTCGATTGTTTGTATAAGCAAAATAGTAGGTTAACCAATCATTTGATGATTTAAGAATGTGAGAACCCAGAATGTAATTGGCTAGATTTAACCGTTTTAAGACATCCACGAAATATACTTTATTAAATAAAAATTATCCGGTGACAACAACATTTAGATAAGCCTGCTGAAAACTGTGGCCATTGGCACTAATAGTAAGTAGTACTATGCAACAAGAAGGGAAGTGGTCCAATTTCAGTTTACCCGATTGGCCTAATCAAGTCGATCAATTTCATTCTGATTTTATCTCATCTTTGTCGGAATACCCAAAATTTCAATTTGAGATGTTAGGTCCTTCTTTACTGTCATGAATAAAAATATAGAGTACTCTTTTAAGACGATCATTTTTAAACGAAAAGAGTATTAAAAGAGGTCGACATCAAATCTCAATGTTTCTTTACTGTTGTGAATAATAAAAATATACTCTTTTATAATAATCATTTTTGAACGGAAAGAGTATTAAAAGAGGTCGACATCAGTTCCGAGTTATAGACATCGAATCTCCTACCACACAATTTGTCAAACACCATTTGGGCATATACCATTTATTATCCGACTACTTTCCCAACTTGAGAGTTTGGAGGACTTATTGTCAGAAAAAAAGGATCAAAGCATCTAACCCAGAATCTATCAAAACTTTGCATCTTACAATTATTGAAAAAAGCGTTTATACGTTCACATGCAAAACATGACATATTACAGCGTTTTTTATTTTCTTCTTGTTCTTCTTTTTGTGTGGAAAATAACAAAGTTTTAACCAAAAAAAGAGAAACAGAAGCAGCTATAATGCTCAAACTTGCATAAACTAGTTATTCCAGACCAATATATATATATATATATATATATATTCAAGAAACGTTCCAAAAACTGATTATTTCGATTATTTCGACCAACAAACTCCCAGTTCAGATGGTTACGATATTGAATTTGCTTAAATACGACTAAAATATACTACTAATATGAGAATTTTACCTTCTAAAAGAAAGAAGGTTGTGGGCTAAAGAAAGAAACTCATCACAATTATAAACGCTGACGGCTTTGAATGCTTCCACAAGTGTGGACATGTACCCTGCCAACTGCATTTTGAAGGACTCTGAGCAGCTAATTGTGTTACCCTGACGATGTTTAACATCTGGAATTCCTCCCTTCACAAGACAACCCACCTGGGCTCCATCCATGTAGGACTTACATGCCACCAAAATGTCCCGAGCCCGCCTGAAAAAATGCCCTGCCACCAAGTCCTGGAAATTCTTGGGTGGATTTCTGATGATGCACACCATTGTTTTGAGAGATAAGATGAATGTGTTCTCATTGTATAGCTTCCATGGATCTTCAAACCTGAAACCAGACGCCGGCCTGGCAGGCTCGTTGAAATATGGTTTCGAATTTAAGATGAGCCCTTGAATGGACACCAAAACTTGTAAGATGGTTGATTGGTTGGGAATCCACCGTTCCTTGTTGCTACCCCACCAAGTATTGAGAAGGCTGAGGCAAACTTTTCCAGTTTCGTACAGATTCGGGTTGATCCGATAGCCACGGGAGTGGTAGTGAACTAGTGGCGGCACGAAAGGATAATTGCTCGGGAAGAAGATGTCAAAGAAGAACAGGCCATCGTGGTACGGAGTTCCTTCAGCTCCAATTACCACTGCCCTCAGAAGGTCCATACTGGATTCGTATACTCTGACAAAAATTGTATCAGGCAAATCATTCTCCAGAATTCTCCATTCATTCTGTATTTTCTTCGCCCATCCCCTCGGAGGTTGCTTCATCGATGGTGGAGCATTCTTTGAGTAAAAATGATCCGAAAAATCTTCAACTACATCAAATCTCTTAGAAGCCTCAAACTTGTTCAGGAATTTATCAGGAGTCCCGTACTTATACTTACCATTAGAAAATGACCAAATCGAATCAGTAGTAGTGGTGGTCGGCAAGGGAGGAAGGGATGGACCGACAAGTCCTGAAAATGCATTCTGGCCGAATGTGGCCGCCGAGAAATTGGGATTGAACATATCCTGTGGTGAAATTGGAAGCCCTGGATTCTTGTATCCAACATTCTGGCCGAGTTTGTTGTTAAAAGATCCATCAGGAAACCCATGCTTTTGATTACCACCAGGGAATGTGGCTGTGGAAGAGGGATGAAAGGTATCCATAAAATTATGAGATGAACTAGAAGACCCTGGAACTGGATTCTGAAATCCAACATTAAAGGAAACATCAGAAAACCCATACTTTTCCTCACCAGGGAATGTGGCCGCGGGGAAGGGATCATGAAACGAATCCGCGAAATTGTGAGGTGAACCGAAAAATCCTAGATTCTTATATCCAACATTATGGCCAAAATTGTTAAAAGAATCATCATCAGGAACCCCATTGAACGACCCAGTTGAATACTCAGAAGCAGTGGGATAAAACATATCCATGAGATCATTTTCTCCATTATTTAGGTTGCAATTCGGAACCCCATGATTTTCCATACCATTGAATGATCCAGTCGAATTATCAGGAGCGGTGAGATCAAACGAACTAAAAAATCCAGGATTCTCAAATCCAGAACCCTGCTGGAAATTAGAAGGTATATTCTTAGGCATGACCGTATTATTATTATTGTTCTTGTTATTATTGGTGGATCCTCCAGTTGGATTTCCATAAACGGCACTGCCAAAGGGTTTCCCAGTAAAGTTGCCGGTTCCTAAATTAGAAATTCCGGTACCCGGCGAAAACTGGGTGGTGGTGACGAATTCATCCATGTCAACATCTATGATTTCAGGCGGAAGTGATTCCTTCTGCTTGTTCTGAGGCAACCGGGCGGAGCGCCAAGAAGCCGTTGGCGGGATTTCTACCACTTCATCATCCATATTGCGCCGGACGTAACTGGATAACTGCGGCGGCGATCGGCGGAAGAGAACAGAGTGAACAAAAAAATCGAAGGGAAAATCGAAATCAGGGTATATAGAAAATGGTTTGCAATTTGCTCTAATGGGCTGAACTTAAATAAGTTTTTATCCAGTCCAATAGAATTTCTTAATCCAGCCCATACGATATCAAACTGTAATAAATAAACATGTTCACTAACAATTTTTATTATTACTATTATTGAATCTTTCCTTCAACGATAGATATATGTATATATATTGGATTCCACGTCTAAAAATGAGGTAGCACATATAATTGCTAATTTGCTACTCATATCAAACTGTAAAGTATGTTATAACTTGGTCTTCTCCGCCGAGTTTCTTGTATCATTCAGAACTGACTGACTTCCAACAATTTTAATATAGTCTTCTTTGAAAAAAAAAGTAAATTCTTTCCAATCATATTTATAAAAAGGTAGAAATTTGAACTAAATTGAGTATAGACGATAGAAATGCTGCTTGTTTGCTCCTGATAATTGGTATGGTAGTCAAATGGACATATTATTTGGGAACCCAAGACTAAAATTATTAAAATTAATTTGATGGCGTGCCCACAAGTCACGCCGACGCCTTGACCTGAGCATTTCTACATCGGTTTAGGATTTAAAGTCAAAATCAAAATCGTCCATGAAAATGATACTTCTTTTTTAGTAGTTATTTATATTTATTTCCAGTTGTTTTTAGGGAGTTTTGGTTGGTTCACAAAATTGGATGGAGTTATAACTCTCACGAGCTTTGACAATTTTTCCCCAAACGCAAATGGGATGTTCACACTTGAAAATCCAACTCTCCCCACATAGGAATAATAACCAAACCTACGTTAAGATTGTTTGTTTGGTTCATCTTTGGAACTCCTCTACATTTTGTTTTTATCGAGACACAAATTGTGCAGAACCGGTACGCATGAGCTTTGATTGATACAAACCGCCCAATAACGACTGACAGGAGAATACAATCACTATACTAGTCATAAAATTATTACAATTAGAAATATAAAATAATACCTTCAAAACCCCTTTATATATTGATTAATCTCAAACCGAATGTAATGTCGTAATTAGAGTATGATGTTATAAGAACAGTTTATTTCCGAAATTATCTTAAATTATTAGCCATATAGGCCTCCTCTATAAAACCTAAAAATGCCACCAAATAGATAGAGGACTCAATCCATGCATATTCTAAGATATAAACCTAACTTGCAATGTGATCCCGATCAATTTCACATGGCTCTATCAAATAATACAGCATCCCAAATAATTTTGTTGCCAAACCTTTGCATGATCATGTTCCCTTCCACGATTAAAAATGGTTAGTACAATAAGCAACCAAGAAATTTTGAGTATTCATCGTTTTTATATTGCATGATGCCTATTGCGGAGAGATCGATACCGAAACTCATTGTCGTGTTTTTAAGAAAGATGTTGATTTGTCTAATTTCCGAAATAAAGAAAATAATTATATTTGAGCCAAAAAAATCGATCAAACTAAAACTCATCCAACTTTGAACCCGGCTTTGATTGCTAATACTATTGCGTGACCCCAAGTAGAAAGGAAATGAAATAGACCTCTGTCCCAATCAGTATAGGTTTCGGGTCAAGCCATACAAAATACTAAAAAGATCACAAGAACAGAGAAACAACTAGAAGGTGGGAGAGATACAGAGGTCATGTATTATAGAATAGAATTATATATACAAATAAAAATACTTCATTTCTCGACATTATTATCAGTTTAGATGTTCACTTTTAGTTTCATTTGTATTAAAAATAAAAATTTAAACTGGGTAATAATTTGGATGAAAAGAGCATTATTGACATATATAAGGTGTGTGAGTGGAATTAGTACAAACATGGCATTGTGTGTGAGTGGAATAGTTAAGAGGAAAGTTGTTATTATCACAAGTTTTTTTTAATTTAAATACAGTTGGAATATCTTTTTTTTTTCATTTATAGTTTTCTTTGGCTTGTATTTTAGATGAAAGAAATATAATATTCACTGTGTTGAAAAAACATTATTAAGTATAGCTGCTAATATGTAACAATTTAATCCGTAAAACTATTCCATCCTTTCGATATTTTGAAATAAAATTATTCTCTCCATTTGTTGAAAAAAAGTTACTCCCTCCATTCTAAAATAAATGTCATTTTACAACTTGCACATAGTTTAAGAAACACTTAAATAAGGTAGTTAAATTATTAGAATATGCTCAACCAACCTCATTTAAATAAATACTCCCTCCATTCCAAAATAAGTGTCGTTTTGGCAAAATGGAGAAATTCCAAAATAAGTGTCGTTTTCGGATTCTAATGTATTTTTTGTCAAAAATTTCCAAACATACCCTCAAAAGAAATAATGTTTTTGGTGAACATTTATTTTAATGGAGTTGGTCGAAGATATTCTAGTAATTTAGTTACCTTATTTAATGTTTTCTTAAATTATGTGCAAACTCTAGAATGATACTTATTTTGGAACGGAGGGAGTACTTATCAATAAAATTATTTCTTTTGAGGGTATGTTTCGAAATTTTGGTCAAATAATACATTGGAATAAAAAAGCTGACACTTATTTTAAAATTTTTTTATTTTGTTAAAACGACACTTATTTTGGAACGAAAAGAGTAACTTTTTGAGATATAGGTGCCTTTTGGTGGAGCACTATTCTTATTATCGGCTTAATAAAGCTCGTCCAATAAAGGGAAAAAGCAAATTAAAAAAGAAAAACATTTTTCTATTTTTTTCTTAAATAATTAATAATTATGTTGGAAAAGAAAAGACATGAAAATAAAATATAGTTATCACCTACTTGTATGGGCCATACCTTAAATCCCTCCAAACTCTAAAAATCATCTTCATGGAACACAGGAAAAAAAAAAAAGAAAAGTCAAAGAAAGCCAAATTAAGGGAATAATTAATAAGAAATTTAGAATTCATATTTGCTAAATCATTACCCAGAAAAAAAGAATCCATTAGGATAAGAGACCATCTTGAAAAATGTAATTAGGAGTAGTTTATTCGCTAACAATGATTAATATAAGAAATGTTATGTGAATGGAAGAACAAAAACTGGAGAAAAGTCCATATATTTAGGCTTTCTGCTGCAGCTGGAAGAACAGAACAGAACAGAAGAAAAGGTACTGCAGAAACGCAATAAATTATTGGGGGGGGGGGATTAGGTTAATTGATTATACTATTAACTATTAAGCTGTGAGAATGCAAGACGGCCACCGTGTTACATCATAATCAACATTCGCAATTTACAGCGAAGCAACCCGCAAGCTTCTAAAAACTTCCCACCTAGCTGAAGAAGCCGGTCTTCCTCATTTTATTTATTAATTTATTTCTTTTTTTGTCCTTTGAATTTTCTTTCTGGAATTTTGATACACAATAGTCCAACCAGTACCACCACTAATATTATTCCTTAAATTTAATAAAAATATCCCATTTTCCTCCCACTCTATCTCTCTCTTGGTCTCAGCCGCCTTTATTTCAGGTTTTGCTTCATCCCTGACTAACCTTAATACCCTTGACTAATTGATTTTTTTTGGGTTTTTAAGCTTTAGTCTATTGACTAATATTATTTGTTTGCAGTGGGATGGGAGCAGAACACTGAAAGATTTGTTCTTTTAGCTTGTTTTTAGTTGTGGGATTCCTGAGTTGGGTGGTTTTGACAAGTGGGAATTGGCTGTTCTTTTGGTGTTTGTAGGAATTAGTTGAGAGAAAAGAGACAAAAGAACTGTGTATGCAACTGGTGTTTGTGCTCTGATTAGTGAGTTGGGTTTTTAGATTCTTGATCTAGAGTTAATTTAATTCGATTATGTTAACTGTCAGATTAGGATATTGGTAGTTGTTATTATCCACTGCTCTATCAGAGCTGAAGGACTGGTTAATTTGGGGTCTTTGCATAAGGGTATTTACTGGGTTCTGGCTTTTCTCTCATAAAGATTCATCTTGGCTTTGGATTTGATATAGCTGGATCTTTCTCAATTATTCGGTATTCATTGTGATCCAATTGAACTTTGTGTGCTCGTGTGAAATTCTGAAGTTGGCCCCTGGAAGACTCTATGATATATGGTCATTTTTTCTATCCGGACGAAGCAAATTGTAGTCTTGGACTGTGAAATCACCATAAGTCTGCAGAAGCTGGTATCTGTTGGTCATGAAGTTTTGTTAAGTTGAGGGGCAAACCTTGTTGATTGAGTGGAAATTGAGTGATCAGTTGGGCTAGACTTGAGTAACAGAATGCCAACTCTATATTTTGCTCAGGAAAGATGTCACTTTTGGGTTGTGGTACTTCATTGAGTATTGTGGTGGTTTTGAGTCTACTATTGTTTGAGCATTTGCCAAGACTTTCAGCTTCTAATGCTTTGGAAGATTTAAATAGATGTGGCCGCCACCATGTTGGGTATCCGCATGATGGTAATGAGATATTGTTTTACATAAATGAAGAATTGGTAGATAGGCGATTCTTCTGCAAAGCTCTCAATATCTACCACGAGAATCATTGCTTCGTTAGGGAAGGTCTTAGAAATAGGTTTTGCAGTTTGTCTTTAGGTATGATTCTCATACTTTCTCGTGTTCACGTTTTTTGAAGACTAATTTATTGGTCGAAAATCTTCTGTTGAAAAATGTGGATATTCTGATTACTCATTTCTCTTAGTTTTAAGTTTAGTGTGTGAGTTTATGCATTATTTGGTTCATTTGCAGATGAGTTGCATTTCAGTGCAGGAAGAAAGTTTCTGGAAAAAACATTGACAGGAGGATTGATGGAAAATAAATCTCAGGAGAATGAGGAGAAAGATGCCGAATCTTCTCTATTAACCTCGAAATACTTGTACATGGCAGCTCCAGGGGCTCTACTTCTGTGCTGCGGGATAATCTGTCCTTGCATTCGTGCAAGAAGAAAAGAAGCTTCCCTTCCTGCAGTTGAGAAGGAGCTTAGTTCGAGTGAGTATAAATTGCTCCTCTGAAGATTCCAATCATTCTCTATTCTTTATAGATTTGCCTGTTACGATCTTTATGATGGTTTACAGTTTCTAGTGTTGCTTCTGCAGTGGACTCTATTTCATCTTTGGAGACGGGTGTGATTCCAGATAAAATCCCACCAAGCCCTCTTCGTGTTCCCCCTAGTCCTTCAAGATTTTCCATGTCACCAAAACTTGACAGAGTTGGATCGGTTCATTTGAGTATGAATCAAGTTGTTAGAGCTACCCACAATTTTGCTCAATCACAAATAATAGGTGAAGGGGGGTTCGGAACAGTTTATAAAGCACGACTACCTGATGGCCAGGTAGTTGCCATCAAACGTGCAAAGCAGGTAACTTAACCTACATCACTCTTTGCCTAGAGTTACCATGTGCCATCATGCCTCTGTGATATTCCATGTGCTCAACAGCAAGATATACACAAAAAGACATTCCTGCTTTCATTCTCTTCAGATAATGTCTTTTAAGGAATTTCCTAATTGAATTAATTGCAAAAGAGGCTTTTTTTTGTGTTTCGCTAGATATACCATGTGCGCATTCTTCTTCAATTTGAACATATATATCTTAGGAATTGATTTCCGCTCTGGTATTTTAAATGTTGTCTGCTAGGAAATGCAAAAGAGTGAAGGTTTTTTCTGCAACCTTAGTGTGAATCGCTGAATCCAGTTTTTTCCTTTCCTTTTTTTGAGGATTTACTGCCATTACTGGACTATGTCACTCCTTTTCTCTTAAAACCATTATTGGGAATCGGTTTTGATTCATTAGTTTAAAAATAGTGAAGAACTGTTGTGAACTGGGTGGTTACTGGTGACAATGCCGAGGACGCCCCATCAGTGACACATCTTTTGGAGTTTATAAGTACTCCAGAGATTCTGTTGTATGCCTTCTATTAAATGGGAATTGGATTCAAGCCACCAAAACTTCTTTCAGTGCGTGCAAATTAAAAAAAAAATGTGGATTGCTGCTGTTATGAAGAAAATCACGGAAGTAACTAGCCCCCTTTCCTTGGCCAAGAAATAGTGTTTTTATAAATCACATACCCTCAAAGTAATGCTTCAGATTTCAATTCAAGCTTCATGTTTGTAAATCCAATTTGAACTTGAAATCTCCTGCCTGAACTTGATCATTTAACCTGTCCCGGATTATGCAATGGGTGGTTGTAGTTCATGTTTCTCATCTGATTATGTTCTTTAAAAACTATGTGCGTATCAAAATTATTAACTGTTATCATACACCCGATATTTTATGTTTACTGCTGGTACTTAGATTTTAGTTGCTGATAGAATGATGTTTTCACAGGAATTCTTCGAAACGCTAAGAACCGAGTTCAAAAGTGAAGTTGAATTACTGGCCAAAATTGATCATCGGAATTTGGTCAAATTACTCGGATATGTTGATAAAGGCAATGAACGCCTAATTATTACAGAGTATGTACCAAATGGTACACTGAGAGAACATCTGGACGGTAACATTCTTGAACCTTGGAGAATTTTGGACTATATACAAAAAATCTAGCCTACTTATACATGTATCTTTTGTTCCTTGCAGGAACCCGAGAGAAAATATTGGATTTTAATCAAAGACTTGAAATTGCCATAGATGTGGCTCACGCCTTGACGTACCTACATCTATATTCAGGTCTGTTTAGCCGATTCATTTTCAAATCATGCATTAATTTCTGCACTGACTTAGAAGAAAAAGGAAATTTTGGGAATAAGCAGTTGTGCTTCATAAGTGACAATCCAACTCTGTGTATTGTGTACTAATTCCAATAACACCTTTCCAACTGCATGGTTAGCCAAAATCTTTATGTAAATAGTGAAATTCACCTTAACAAGCAGAAGACACTTCATTATTTAATACTCTAATACACCTCCATTCCTTTCCTTTATCATAAGGGAAGAAAAAAGGTGTTCTTGTTCCGTTGTAGTGGCTGGATTATAAGATCTGTTTTTGAGTTCATATTTTGAAATGCAAAGTTGATGATATTGGGATTTTGCCTTCAGAAGCAGTTTTGGATGATCGTTTTGGTTAGTATACAGTGTCGAAATGTGGAATTTGTTTTTGTAATTTCGAATTTATTCACTAGGACTAAGTTTGTCTCTTCCCTGTGCACTGTATGTTCAAGTTTTAGTAATGTTCTATCTGCTGACTGTGCTGCAGAGAAGCAAATCATCCATAGAGATGTGAAGTCATCAAATATTCTTCTCACAGAAAGTATGAGGGCCAAAGTTGCCGATTTTGGATTTGCGAGGCAGGGAGACATGGATGCCGATAAAACACATGTTTCCACCAAAGTTAAAGGCACAGTTGGCTACCTTGATCCGGAGTATATGAAGACTTACCAACTCACGCCCAAGAGTGATGTATACTCATTTGGGATTCTATTGATAGAAATTTTGTCTGGTCGCCGTCCTGTAGAGATGAAAAGACCTGCCGCCGAAAGGGTTACGATTAGATGGGTAAGTTTCCAGATATTACTTTACGAGTTAGTTGATTTCTCCTAAAATCACAAATCTTATGCCCTGCCATATACTTCATGGCACCGTTTTTCTGTGGTCATGACATTACTGGATTAAAGCTTCCATCAAATCGCGAGATAGTTGCTACTACTCGTTACCTCTTTACGCTTTTCAAAAATTTGCCTGAAAGATTTGTCAATTGGTGGATGCAGGCTTTCAAAAAGTACAATGAAGGGAATTTATTTGATTTGCTGGACCCCAAGATGAAGGAACCGGTAGAGAAGCGTGTACTGATGAAAATGTTTGGTTTGGCAATCCAGTGTGTTGCGCCGTCGCGAGCTGAACGTCCGGACATGAGGGTGGTGGGAGAGGAGCTATGGGCAATCAGAATGGACTACATGAAGAGTGGAAAAACTGGAAGAAATTAAGAACTAGTGGAATTCCATTACAAAATGTTAAAATGCTGTATAGAGATATAACGTTATCTTCCCACGAAACCTTACAAGCAGGCCCCCCGCCCCCCGGCTTCTTTTCGGGGAATGGGTTTTCTGCTCTTTATTCTGCTAATTTGTCTGTTATTATCCCCCATGTTTGTAATGTGTAATGTTTACAAGTTTTTGTGTAATTTGCTTTTGGTTTGGTTGATGATGTCTATGAAGGGATTGGATGAAGTGCATATAAAAAGCATGAAATTTAAGAGTTTCTAAAGCTTAAATTATCATATTATTAAGGTATTTGGTGGGTGAAAGACATTAATGACATTGATGGACTAAGAAGGAGAAATTCATAAGCTTTACATTTGCAAAACCATTTCAAGAACACTGGAAATCACGCAAACCACAATATCAACAACAAACTGTTGGAAGCCAGTAGCCAGTAGCAAGTTTTTGTGTAATTTTTTGATAGGACCAATATTTAGATGGGGTTTTTCTAAAAAAATTATTATTTTATTGATTATTATCAATTTCTTTTTTTTTTTTTTTTGTACCTGTCCCAAGTCAAGATTGGAAAAAATTATTAAGTTAGGAATATTATTAATTAATAGATGTTTTATTGTACCTTATGGGAGTCTGACAAGAATGTGACTATTTGTGCCTTCTTCATCCTTTGTGATATATATATATCCTATTATATTAGAAACAAAAATCTCTCTTTCAAACACTTCATATGATTGCCACGTGGCATATAGAAAGTACTAAATTGCCCTTTTGTCTAACCATAACAAAATTACTAAATCTCCCTTTGCACTTTATGTGACATGTTTTTTTTTTTTCTTTATGTTTCATTCAACTAGAGTGGTTTTTTAAATTGAATTGATCAATTAGGTTTTTTGTTACAAAGTGTCAATTTTGTTTTAAGCGTATACCCTTCGGATGAAGCTTATTACAAAGCTATTAAAAATCTCCAAAACTAAGTATTGATTTGGCACGACCAATGGTAAACATCAATAAATCATCTTACTAATATTTAAATTTATTAGGATGCTTTTATATTTTATCTAACATTTAGTTCAACACATATATTCGATTAAGGCTATTTATATTTAATAAGTAACACTTATAAAACATTTCTAAAACATACATGGCGAAATACAATTTATTTTTTTTTTGCGAAATACAAATATTTTTATGATCACACTTATAAAACATTTCTAAATCCTTCAAATATTTTTAAAATATATCACTCCAAATACAAAATTTTATTTTTTTTCAAATATAAACATTTCTAAAATCTACAGATAGACTGGGCCAGGGTCGCGCATTGCGCGACCAGACATCACTAGTATATATATATATATATATATATATATATATATATATATATAGAACTTGCAACGTCGAAGTTGCTTACTTGCAACTAAGCCGAGGCAATATGTTTTCAAGGGACTATAGTCATAAGCGCCTGAAAGTGGGTGACGTTGACGGATTTCAGTGGTCGAAGTGATGAAGTTGAGTTTGCAGTGGCATTTGGTTTGGCGATAAGGTTCACTACAGAGACTCGTACAATAACACAGCGTGGTGTGGGATTGGTGGTGTTAGGAACTTAGGATGACCTATTGTTTGTTCATAACATGAAGCTACCAGAAAATTCCATCAAACAAAAAATTTTGAACACCAAATTTCACTCAATTCAACCAACAATTAAATCTTTGAACAACTAAAAGATTCCCAACTTTAGCATATAATAAAATGCAATGTAATAGTTAATGTATCGTTTTGTCTATATAACGACATGTACCTTTTCCAAAAGAAAGAAGCCGGCTGTCTTTTACTCAAACCACACGAATCAACAGAACTTCTTACAATATACTAAAATCTTGAGAAGAGCATTGTTGGTGAAAGGAACTGAGATTTTCTTACAACTCATTGTGATGAGTAACAAATAGTGGCGGAATGCTTTGTTGATGGTTGAAAAAATTGGTTGGATCGACTTCAGCTTTGATGATGGCCAGCTTCCTGAAATTATTCTTGAAGTATCTCAACCCCCAGTCATTCTCAGCTTTAGAATATGTTGTGGTTCCAAAAACATCATTTGTCCCAAGATCAAGATCCCTGGAATTCACATATGCACTTCTTGGGTTGTCTGCAACATAAGGTGTCATCAACTCATACAACTCTCCTAGCTGATGAATGTACTTTTCTGATGATGATTTTTCGCCATCTTTTTTGTCACCTTCCATCCATCCCATTAGATACAGGATTTCATACTGAACTTTTCGATGTGGGAATGGGAGTTCTGATTCTGATATCCTCTTCATGATTCCACCGTAAGACTGGAAAAATATGCTTCCGGAATCCACACCTGTATTCCATTTCCGCATCCCTTCAAATGCTTCATAAGGTAAAGGTTGATGAATTAGGTCTGTTTTGAGCTTGAGATGAACCCGAAACGGGTTATAAGCCCTGTTCTTCAAGATTTCTATGGAGTTTCCACCTGGATATCCAGACAGAAACAGGACAGATTCAATCCAACTCATCTCACTGCAATCTTCTTTCCTCAGCTGGAGTTCTGGAAATTCATCTTCCGTCATTTCCAGGAGTTCCTCAACTCTGCCTAAGAACAGAAAATTAAATTCTACTCCCAATCTGTTTGACACTGGCAAACTGGTTATCTTTTCACTAAGTTTTGGTTGTACATATTGCCATTTGTGCAGAAGATCAATTGCACCATGCTCAAATGTCCTGATTGGTTTGCATGCTGTGACAACTGCAGGAACTTGGACTAACTTGATTCTCCAAGCTAGAACAACTCCAAAGCTTCCTCCTCCACCTCCCCTGATAGCCCAGAATAGATCACTCCCCATTGATTCCTTGTCCAGGATTCGCCCGTTAACATCGACTACGAGTGCATCAATGACATTATCAGCAGCTAGCCCATATTTCCTAACAAGGTACCCTACTCCACCCCCACTGAAATGTCCACCGATGCCAACACCTGGATATGAACCAGCTGGAAAGCCGTGAACCGGGCTTTTCTCAGCAATGGCGTAGTACAACTCGCCGAGTGTCGCGCCTGATTCCACCCAAGCACTCCCATCTTCAATGTCAATGCTAACTGATTTCAGGTTTCTTAGGTCAAGTATAACAAATGGAACCTGTGACCTGTAGGATAGGCCTTCAAAGTCATGGCCACCGCTTCGGATTCGGATCTGTAGTCCATTTGATTTGGAACATGTGACTGCAGTTTGGACATGGGAGTATTCTAGGGCAGTGATTATGGCCAGAGGCTTTGGGGTGTCAGAGGACAAGAATCTGAGATTCTGAACGCAAGAGTGTAACAAAGATTGATAGGATGCATTTGTTGTAACATAAGTTACACTTAGAATAGAAGTGTTTGATGGGAATTGGTGATCAGAAGATAGGCAGTGGATGAAGCTTTCAGGAATCAAATTTGAGTTTACTGGCAAAATTAATAGGAAAAACAAAGAGTGAACAGAAGATAGAATGATGAAAACCTTCTTCATCGTCATCATCATCATACTCCCCATCTATTTTTGTGTGGTTTTCTTCCAACCTTCAATTATATATAATTATCATCCATGTATTTTTTGTATTTATAGTCTTATCATCATACAGTCATACAGCCACCTAACAAGATTGCAATGATTGATTCATACATTGAAACATGAATATTGAAGGAAAGCTGAATCATGCCACAATAATTTTCTCTCTTTTCTTTTTTTTTTTTTCCAATATATTTTATTGTTGAAGTGATTTGAGTGTCAAATCATGTGATCATGTTGAAAAGTGTCATATTATTGAGTGAAAGAATGAAACTTTATCATTTTGCTCCTAAATAAAGCCATAGATCAAATTATTTCACTGAACGGTTTTCACCGAAAAGGTCTAATGATCCAAGCTGAACCAATTTCCCAAATGATGTTGGAATGGTGCCTCTGAGTTGAATTGTGGGACAGATTGAGAAGGTACAGAGCTGTTAATTTTGATTCTCTAATAAGAATAATAGAATGTAAAATAATTGTTGTAATATTCACTGGAGATTAGCATTTTGCAATTTAAGAGAAAAATTTCGAGAGAGGATCATGTTACAATAGCATAAAAATTTGCATTTCTTTTAATCTTCTTAAGAAAATCATGCATGTACTGCTAATGGATTGCTGTTGTGGTTTACCATTGATTAGTTCATTTTTTAAAATTAATTACATGTAAAAATAACAACTTTTGGCTAGATTTGTTAAGATTTTGACCTTTTTAATTATTTTAGTTTTTTTAAAAAGACAATTAAATTTGGTATAATATTAATAGTTATAATTAAGTTGCACCCCCTTCTTAGAGTTGGGCCCTAAGCGATCGCCCTTTCATCCCTTGAGGGACGGGCTTATAGCGAAAGTTCATAGCAGAGAAATAGTTAAATAATAAATAAACTTAAGAAATAAAGTAGTGTCTTTATATTAACCATACTTTTCAGGTTTGAAAATGTTTCAAAATTTCTGTTTTGTTGTGGTCATTATAATGAGACTTTTTGTGGCGATTAGGTGATATGACGATGAATGTACTATGTAGTAAGCCACCTCAACTTGTTAGCAAAACAATTGAAGATGCTAACTGGTAACCTCTTAGCCAATTATTTTGAACTAAAAAACACCTTTTGAAGAAACTAGAGTTTTCTTTTGCGAGAAGAGAAGCTAATTCAAATACTTGACCACTTTATGTTTTGATGAATTATGAATTATAGTAACATTACCGTTAGGTCATACTCCCTCCGGCCCTTAATATAAGATATTTTGATTTATCCTAGGTTTCACCTAAGACGTAAGTCATACTCCTTCCGATCCTTAATATAAGGTATTTTGATTTGTCTTAGGTTTCACTTAGTACGTATTTTTAATCAACAAAAAAACCTTAAAAATATTTCATAAAAATCAAGAAAACATAACGAATGTGAAAATATATTTTTAAGATTTTTTTGTCAATTAAAAATATATATTAGGTGAAACATATGACGAATCAAAATGACTTATATTAAGGACCGGAGGGAGTATATTTTCCGTAAAAGAGACTATCGGGAATCGGGATGAAACTTTTCAAAGTTCGGAGCTACATCTATGAGGGTATAACTACAAAATTTTGATAAAGTTGAGGACTAAAACCCGAATTTTCTCGTTTCTGTGTGGGTATGCGCGCGCGCGCGTGTGTTTTTCCTTAAAAACAACTGATGATGATATTTCTCGTACCATCATCAATTATGGCTTGATGCCCCAACTAGTTGACTTAATCCCTGTGGTTAATCTTTGTTTATCGCAATCTTGACGAGGAATCTGTGGTTTCCATGGTCGGAAGGATTTGAGCTGAAAAGTAAGGCTGCTTAAATTTTGCTGGGAAATTCAGTTGGAAGAAGATCCAAAAACTTCAGCAACAATTGAGGGTATGCATTCTTTCCATCATAAATAGTCTGTCGATTTTCATGAATGATTCCAGTTTCAACCCAATTGATTATGCTGATTGTACTTGGTCCCAATAATAATTTGACTAAAAAAGGTTTCATTTTGGGTAAAGTTGCTCTCTTTCTGGAAATGGTTGATGTATCTGAGTGGGATGAAGAATCATCTGCATTGTTTTAGTTATCTGTTGTGTTTTTTTTGTAATAGGGGGTTTTGAATTCTGGAGTTTAAACCACAAAGCCATAAATTTTTCGACTTTTTTGTGGATTACAGAGGATGGCCTTGCACAACTGCGTTCAAACTGCCTTGGATGTTCTTGAATCAATGCATCCCCTTTCTACTCCACTGGAGTCATCACAACTTGGGGATTTGAAGGTGCATCTGAGATTTCTGAGAACATTTTTTATGTGTGGAACTAAGTGGGGCAAAAACTCTAATTTTGAACCTCTCTTGACTAGCATTGAGCAGACTGTTAACAAACATGCCCAGAAATTTCAGTCTACTGGTTTTGCATTGAGGGATCATATCCATGAAGTGGTCTCTGAATTTCTCTGTTCTATCCAGCTGTCATTTCTTCAAGAAATAAGGGAATTGTACCTTGTTATCTCAGATGACTCCGTGCGCACTAGCTCTTATGGGGAAATTGGGACTAGCTCTTCTTCGAGGAGTTGAAATCCTTGTGGGAATCATGGATTCCGTACTTCAAAATTTGAGAGATCTTCTGCAGTATACAGTTCCAGTTGAGGACCTTGAAATAAATGCAACATTCTTGAAGAACTTCATTCTTTTTGCCATGTCTCGAGGACTTGACCACGGGCAGATGAAAGATCTGTTGATACACATTGAAGCCTTGGTTCTTGATGGTGCTCGCTTCACATTCATGTCATGGTATGATCTCTATCATAAACAGCAGTATGGTCTCCACCGTAAGATGATGAATAACATTTACCAACTTATTGATAGAATTAAGCCTTATGAGTCGCATGTTGGCAGAATTTATGTTGCTGTCCTTCAGGAAGCTTCCAAGTCAGAGTTATACCATCATCCCTTCACAAGAAGTCATAGGGTTGTGTTGGGGAACTTTGTCGATTCCCTCCTCATTCTGCTTGCGGATCTATTTGTTTTGGGTACAAGTCATGTGAACAAGTTTTACCACCAAATGCAGAATCTCTTAGAGGAAATGACCTTTTTGAGAACTATTTTAAGAGAGCACCACATTGAGACAATGCAGCACCTTATTGAAGTTGTGATTTGTGATGCAGGTATCTTAATTTTCAATCTTTTTGTAGAAAGTGAAGATGACGGAGCCTTGATTGAAAAATTGGAGCTTCTTTTTTCAGATTTAGAGGAAAAGTTTAAACTTATCTTGCCTCAGACCAGTGTGGTGGGATTCGTTGATTCTGTTTTGGGAAAAATGAAATTAGTTAGTGGTATTGATGGTGATTCAGGTGCTTGGATAAGGGATAACCTCCAAAGTCTCCACGATGATCTTACATATTTAAGATCTTTGCTGGCAACTCTTATGGCGCAGTGCAACCTAAATGAGAAGCTCCAAACACTCAAGAACCGCATTGTTTTAATAACCAAGGAAACTGACTTTGTCCTCGATTCTTCAAACTCTCAAACTCTAGTTTGGCGACTGAATACCATCATGGAAAATGTCAAACTTACTAAGGCTGATGCTTTGGAAACTTACAGTAAGATGTCTTTGGAAAGGGAGATCCCAATGTCAAATGAGCATGTGGTGGGCTTGGATGATGCAGCACGAAGGATAACTGATGTACTCGAAAGAGGAACAAGACATGTAGACATTATTTCCATTGTGGGTATGCCTGGATTGGGGAAAACTACATTGGCTAAGAAAGTTTACAGTGATCCTGCTATCACCCTCCACTTTCATATTCGTTCATGGTGTCATGTTTCTCAAGTATATACAAAGAAGAACATGTTGCTTGAGATTTTGCGTGGCGCTTGTAACAGTAAGCTTCTTGACAAACACTTCCTTATGAACGATGATGATTTGGCAGAGGAGCTCTGCAAACATTTAAAGGGAAAAAGATATCTATTCGTCTTGGACGATGTTTGGGATATTGCATCTTGGGAAAGCTTGAAGAACTCATTACCGGATGATAATACTGGAAGTAGAATTCTCCTGACAAGTCGAGATCACAGGGTAGCTTTACAAATAAATTCAGATGGAAAACTACACCATCTTCGTTGGCTCAACGATGATGAGAGCTGGAAACTACTGCAGAAGAGGCTGTGTATTGGAGAAGACTGTCCTCCACAATTGGTCTCCCTTGGGAAGGAAATATCACAGAATTGCAAGGGATCACCACTGATGGTTCTAGTGGTTGCTGGGCTTCTTTTAAACATGCAGCAAGCCACTTGGGAAGAAGTTGCAAAAAGCTTGAGAGGGGGTACTTTATCTATCACAGAACAATGTAGGGAGACTTTAGAATTGAGCTTTTCTCATTTGCCACATTATTTGAAACCTTGCTTTCTTTATTTTGGTGCATTTCATGAATGCCTAAAAATACCCGTCCGGAACTTGTTGTGGCTTTGGATTGCTGAAGGACTCGTGGAGAAAACTGAAAGAGCTCGCCTAGAGGATGTTGCTGAGGAGTACATGATGGAGTTGACTCAAAGAAGTTTAGTTATGGTTGCTGAGAAAGGGTCTAGGGGCAGGGCCAAATCTTGCATCCTTCATGACCTTTTGCGTGACTTCTGCAAGGCAAAATGCAACGAGGAGAACTTTCTGCACAGCTTCAATGGAAATCTAGTTAATACTATTGAGCCAAGAATTTTGTACGGGTTGCATATTTACCCAAGGAGAGACGATTCACCCGATTCAAGGCTTTGTTGTCCTCGTTTACGCACTCTTCTGGTTGTTTCTGATGATGAAACATGGTATCAAAGACATCGGTATAATATCTTGTACAAGGGTTGTGAGTCTGAACTCTTACAATTCCTGGACTTAAAGAGACTCAGCATTGCGCCTTTTTTCCCAAGAGTAGTTGAATTACATTTTCAATTGAGGTACTTGGCCTTGGCGTTGTATATTGAAGGTGAGATACTGACCATCCCATCATCAATTGCTAATCTATCAAATCTGCAAACTTTTATTGTTGAAGGGAGTGGACTTCGTGTTTCATTGCCAGATACTGTGTGGAATATGGAGAATTTAAGGCAACTGTGTATTTCTGAGTCTGCTTGTTGGGAGTTGTCTCAAGAAAGAACTAAAAACCACTCCAATCTAGAAACTCTTTCCACTGTAAGTTTTCCTTGCGGCCATAAAATGGAAGAGGTAATGAGAAAGTTTCCCAATATCCGAAGACTTAGATGCAATCTTGTTATGGCAGGAGCATGCACTGGTGACTGCAAGGTTCTGGCACTAGACTTTCTGAGTCAACTAGAATCACTCACTCTCTCTCAAATTCACAAGGAATTTCATGACTTGAGCTTTCATTTTCCCAGAAATCTAAAGAAGCTAGTTCTGTCAAACTTTTTGCTTCCTTGGAGTAAAATTTCTTTAGTTGATGGGCTACCAAATCTCGAGGTTCTTAAGTTACTGGAGAATGCATTTGCAGGGAAATTATGGGACATGGGAGAAGGGAAATTTCCCAAACTCAGATTCCTGAAGTTGGCAGACCTGGACATAGTCCAGTGGACAAACTCGAATGAAAGTTTTCCCTGTCTTGAGAAACTAGTGTTGGAAAGATGCCAGTTATTGGAGGAGATCCCTTCCCATTTAGCATATATTCCGACACTTCAACTGATTGAGGTGTCCGACTGTGGATCTGCCATGGGTGCAATAAAGCAAATTCAGGAAGAATACATGAAAAGTTCAGGAGATGAGCTTCTGAAGATCCTTTTTCACCCTCCACAATGGGAACATTTAAGCTCAGGGTTGGATTGAAAAGGTAAGCTCCAAAGTAATCCCATAATGTCATTTTCTTAAGCATCATTAAGCTCATGCTCCAGAACACTCTCGTGTATCGAACCTGTTTTTCAGCGCCATATGTCATGAACTATTCAAGCGTGTTGCAATTCTGCATAAAGCGTGAGAAAGAAACTGTTTTAGCTGTTTAAATTCTGTATTACAGCATATTTTTGCAACTATTTGTCTCATAACCTGAAATAGTGAAGGATGTGCACATCTTGCCTTGTGGATCAGAAAATATGAGTTCTTCAGAGTCTGATATGATCACTTGATGTATATCAGGTACCGTATCATCATGAAGCAGCCTCGTAGGCTTCCGTTCCCCTCTCCCTACGTGGACGTAGGTATTCATTCAAAGAAATGATCAGATACAAAATCAATCACATTTAGAAGATGCCAAGCACAAACATGCAGAATGTAAACTTTTAGGAAGGTACTTACCATGCAACTCCCTTTTTTTTAAGAAAATCCTGAAACTGCCTTTAGAGGATTCTGAACTAAATATTGACCACTTTTGGCACAAAGAGGAAAAATTAAAGCAGTTATTGCTGTCATCATAATCATCCGATGCCTTGCTTACGATAAAAGATATTTCAGGGTAATTTTAGCTACATAGAAGAACCAGAGCTACAAGATATGCTAATGCTGTTGGTCACATGATGATCAGAGCATTGATGATCTAATCAAGGACTCATATCTGGAAGTTGTAGCACTGCAGATTTCTTGCAATCGGCCAGCTTTTGCAGCAGCTTAATAGCTACTCATCTCTTGCTTGCACAGGTTCATTCAGCTTGTTTCTTCTCCAGCTTCCTGCAAAAGAGAACCACCCAAGTTCCTCGGTTTTCATGTCAGATGGGGGTTAAAGTTTTGTATTCTGAAGATAAATTCACTGTTTCTGTGCAACTCAACCTGCTGCAAGATAGTGTCTCAATTAATAGAAGGAACAAGAAAACTTCTGGCTGAACCTCAAAGGGTCTATCTGAGTAACACTGTCGCCACAGCAGATCATCAGCGCATGACGTTACCGAAGCTGAAGAATCTTGAGCAACTAACATAAAAGAAGATCACTAGTATGATTCATGGCCGTTGAAAAGCTTGAGGCAGATCATGCCGTACAGGTTTACAATGGTTAGTAATCCAGAATTGAACAGTTTGCTCGTTTGTGAAACATAAAGCTGAAAGTTCATCATTTCCTATGAATAAGCTTTGGCAAAGTAATGTTTCAACTATCCAATGATTGCTCCTTTTTGGTTGTTTTGTCTTTGTTTTTTTCAGATACCACTAAAACAATGGTGGTGCTGGTGGTCATACTCATAGACTCTGAAATTCCACTAGTTGTGGCCGCACTTCAGATCAGAGTTCAATGTCACTGCTGTCTCAAATGACTCGTTTCCAAGGTTTAAGAATCAACTGAAATAACCAGCTGCACACTTTAGTATATTGGAGGCCGACAATTTGAAAATAGTCATGCATAGTTGTGACTAATATGTTCGAGAAATCTGCATCAGACTGCTTATAAATTATAATGTACCACAGAGATTTTCAAGACTTATCTTCCATTGTTTTCTTTAATACTCCCTCCATCCCCCGGAAAATTAATATTCATACGGGTTCCATTTTAGTTCAGCAATTACGACTCTTTTTTTATGCATGGAGGGAGTATTAATCGAAAGAAAATGGGGGGATCTACAGCTAAGGCAAAGAGTGTTCAGAGTTTCATGATGTAGGAGCAAGTATTTCTTTCTTTATTCTTTTCATAAGTTAATGTATGGTTCTTTGAATCTTAAACTTTTACTAGCATTTTAAGAAAAGTTAGAGAATTGAGGTCAACAAAATGGGTGTTGATGTTCCAACTTGAAAACATTGAGGTCAAAAAGTTCCATAAATTATTCCTTGGGAGATTTTTGCAAAGTCAGAAAAAGTGTGTGGTGATATTTACAATTATCTCTTGGAAACTCTCTTCTTTTTTGTTTTTTGTTGTTGTTGTACCCATCATCTTCTCAGAGTAGTTGACTTCCAAAGAGCTTTGGTTTTTTATTAACTTGGGAGCTGAATTGTTCCTAAAAATTATGGAAGTTTGGGTACTACTGTTGTTGCATCTGACAAGAAGTTGTGATATTATTATTTGTGGGTTTGCCTGCACCAAATCAGAGAGAGGATGGTTGCAGAGTTATGGCCATTGACAACTGTGTTCAAACTACTTTAGAAGTTGTTGAATCAATACACGGCCAACCAGGGTGGCAATCATCTCTGCTTAAAGATGTAGAGGTGCCATTGAGATTTCTGAGAACATTTTTTATGTGTGGGAAGAAGTGGGGCAGAGGAGAGCGCTGTGAATCTTTCTTGCTTCGGATTGAGCAAACTCTCCACAAACATGTTCAGGAATTTCAATCTACAGGTGCTCTCAGGTTTGATGATCATCTCCAGAAGAGGGTTTCTGAATTCCATGTTTGCATCCAGCAGTCATTTCTTCGAGAAATGGAGGATCTTTACCGAACTTTCTTACCTGGCTTATCCTACCAAGCTGGCCCTTCTTCTCCTTCTCAAGAAATCAAATTTCTGGGAGAGGAAGATGTCAAATTCAAGGAAATCCAATTCCTTATGGATATCATGGATTCCCTCCTTCACAATTTGCAAGATCTTCGGCACCATAATGATTCTGGCTCAGATTCCACAGCTCCAGTGGAGGACCTTGAAGGATACATAAGGTTCTTGAAGAATTTGGTTCTTTTTGCCATGTCTCTTGGACTTGATGGGCATATGCAGATGGAAGTTCTATTGACTCACGTTCAAGACTTGGTTCTCAATGCTGCTCGCCTCACTTTCATGTGTTGGTATAGCCACTATCGCAGGATGTGGTATATTGTTCACCAACTCACCGAAAGAATTAAGCCTATTAAATCTAAGGTTCATTCGATTTATGTTGGAGTCCTGCAAGAAGCTTCAAAGTTTTCATTGTCGTCGACCCACCATCAAAATCTAGGAAGCCATAAACTAAGGTTGGGGGACTTTGTTGGTTCTCTCCTCTTTCTTCTTTCACAGCTATTATTCCTTGGTAGTAGTCATGGGGACATCTTTAACCATCAAATGCAAAAACTCTTTCAGGAGCTGACATTCTTGAGAACCGTCTTGAGAGAGCACATTTCTGAGGAAATGCCTGACCTTATTGTAGCTGTGATTTGTGAGGCAGGAATTTTAATTTTCCATCTTTTCACTAGAGAAAACGAAGGAGCCTTGGTTGAAAACTTTGTAGATCTAGAGGAAAAGTTTAAGCTCATCAAGGCAGAAGAAGATGCACAGAAACATTCGCCAACGTCAGCATCCCGGTATCCTCGAACCAACAAGCTCAATCTTCTTCGTTCAGTCATGGGGAAGGTGAAATCATTTTTTGCTCTTGCAGAGGACTTTACTTCATCTTCAGAAACAAATCCAATTCCAGCTTCCCTTCCTGTACTTGAGAAGGAGCTAAGTTCAAGTGAGTATAATTGCCCTTCTATGAATCATTCTCTGCGCTAGAAATCTTGCTGGAGATTTACTGGAAATGGGATTTTCTATTAATTATTTGTTGGTATTAATCGTTAATATACATGCCTGTTGTTTCCTCTGATATCTTAAACCAGAAAAAGGCCGATATCATATAGGGTGACACCGTTTGCATTTCTTCCTGATATTTACTATAGTTCTCTTACAATTTCGCTCCAAGCTTGGTTCTTTTGAAGGCTTTTAGCTGCGTTTAAGACTAATGGAAATTGGATACACGTGATTCATCATAAGGAGTTTTTTTTCTAAATCATGTTTTAGTTCTTAACTGTACACGATATCTTTTTTTAGGATCAGGGGTGAGTTCAGAAAATCTGAGCATGGATGACCATAATCTGAGGATTTCCAGTGTCAAAGGTTCATTAAACTCATTGCCAGCAGCTCCAAAGAGTGGGGATCAGATCTTGCAGTCCCGCAATTTGAAGTGCTTCAGTTTCTCTGATCTTAAAAAGGCCACCAGGAACTTTCGGCGCGATACCAAGCTTGGAGAAGGTCGTTTTGGAGGAGTCTTCAAAGGCTGGATTGATGAGAACTCACTCACAGCTACCAAGTCTCGAACAGGCATACATGTTGCAGTAAAAAAGATTGATCTTGAAGATTCTGAAGGCTCTCGAGAGTGGCTGGTAAGTTGAATTGCTGCTCCTATTTTAAGTAAACCTCTTAAAGATGGCTCCCAGAAATTTTGCTTGATTATTAGTTTAAATGGGACTGTGAGGTTGATTTAATCTTTTTTGCAGGCTGAAGTGAACTATTTGGGACAGTTATGCCATCCTCATCTTATCAAACTGATTGGCTATTGCTTGGAGGGTGAGCATAGGCTCTTGGTGTATGATTACATGCCCAGGGGAAGTTTAGAAAACCATCTTTTTAGAAGTGAGTTATCCGGTTATCTTTCATCTTTTGTGGAAATTAATTTTGTAATCTCACATTACGTGCACTATTTGTTTATTTTGTTCTTGTTTGGGAGACGCCTCTAATGATCATTGGCTAACAGGATCAAACCTCCAACCTCTCCCTTGGAACCTTCGTTTGAAGGTTGCTCTTGGAGCTGCAAAAGGTCTTGCTTTTCTTCACAGTGCTGAAACAAACGTGATTCATAGGGACTTCAAAACATCTAACATTCTGCTTGATTCGGTACTTCCTCACCTGACTCAAATTAATTTCACACTCTCATTTCGGTTGATTGCCAAATTAATTTGGTTATCTGCAGGGCTTTAATGCCAAGATTTCTGGTTTTGGAGTCGCCAAGGATGGTCCCACTGATGATGAAAGCCATGTCTCCACAAGAGTGATAGGAACTTATGGATATATTGCACCAGAGTACGTGGCAACTGGTATTTTCTTGATGCCTTTGTTCCATGTGTACACACCTCTATTATATTCCTGCTTCCGTTTGCATTGACAAATTTTATTGCAGTTTTGTGGGGCAAATGTTGAGATATCTCATTTCATGCATTATTTGCCGATTGCAATTTCATGCGGTCGACGAAATTGAGTTTGTTCAGTTTTTTTTTTTCCTAACATTTTCTTGTAACCTTTTTCGAATAAGGCCATTTATCGTCCAGAAGTGACGTGTATGGTTTCGGAGTTGTTCTTCTGGAAATGCTATCCGGTAGGAGAACAATTGACAGGAGTAGATCATCTGAAGAAACCAGCCTTGTTGAATGGGCCAAGCAGTACGTGACCAACAAGCACAAAATCTTCCGCATTTTAGACAACCGTCTTGAAGGCCAGTACTCCCCTCGCGCGGCTTACCAGGTCGCCAATCTTGCTTCACGATGTACATCAATGGACCCTCGTTCCAGGCCGACCATGGACGAGATTGTCAAGGAACTCGACGATATTCAGAGCTACGACAACAATGCAGGCAAGGATGTCATAATGATACCCGATGATGCCCCCCGGATTGAATTTTCAGATGCGTACTAAAAAAAAAAGGTGTTTTCGACAGTTGACAGTTGATACCATGACCCTTTTGCACATTGTACCCCCTCGCCAATAAGAAGATGATAGGGCGTATGAGCTTAAACTAGTAGACTAGGACAGTTCAAAAATGTGCAAGGAATTTTCACAATAGCGAGTAACGCAATGAAAAAGGATTTTATGCGTCTCTAGAGGGAGCTGAAAATTTTTGTGCACAGAAACATTTGGTCTTCAGTTAGCCTTCAATCTTGTTCTCTAATTGAAGATGTACATTCAGTATTATGTACAAAAATACTGAATAATAATAAAAAAAAAAATCAAAACTTGCTGAAGTATTTGACCCAAACGTGAAAAATTTGGTCTGATTTGGACATAATTCAAGATATAAAATCGAGTCAACCCACGTTAGACTGAATTTTTGGTTCACACCATCAAACGTTGACTGGTGTTGGCTGAAAAATATTTGTAAAACAACCAGAGGAAAATTTGTTTCTCATCATCAAGGCAGCAGCAGCCTAGAGAAAACATTCGCCAATGTCTTCCGCTCCTTTGCTTGAAAAGGACATTTCAAGTGAGTATAATTTCCCCTCTATGAATTCATCCTCTGTGAAGCCCTCATCTCATCATACTGGAAATGGGATTTCTTTTGTGGAGTTATTTGTTTGTATTGACATTGTAATTATCCATGCCTATTGCAGTAATCGAGGTTTTTTTTTTTTTTTTCTTTGGAAGTGTCTGAATTGATTTTGGACGTTAAAATTGTTGTTTCATCTGTGAAATTTGGAACCTGCGGAGCTTTTTCAGTGACTTTAGCTTGATAATTCAAAATGGGGAAAGTTGCCATTTTTCTTGTTTCCTCTAAAATCTTACTAGATCAGAAGATGGCCGATATCAGCTAGGGTTACAATGTTTTCTTGTCCTCATGAGGTTGACTATAATTCTCTATTAGGCTCATCAAGATTGGTTCTTTTCCAGGCATTTTAGCATGAGTTTAATACTAATGGAAATTGGGTACCCATGATTCATTACATGGAGTTTTTTTTTAATTTTTTTTAAGGTATGCTTTGGTTTCTAACTCTGTCATCTGTTATTTGGATCAGGGGTGAGTTCAGAAAGTGTGAGCATGGACAGCCATGATGCGAGCTGTTCCAGTGATAAAGCCATAAAGGCACATCAATCTCACTGCCAGCCGCTTCCAGGACTGAGGATGAGATGCTGCAATCACCCAATTTGAAGAGATTCAGTTTCCCTGAACTCAAAATGGCCATCCCAAACTTTCCCCATGATAATGTGCTTGGAGAAGGTCATTTCAGAAGCTGGACTGATGAGAACTCATTCGCAGCTGCCAATTCTGGAACAGGCAAAGCTATTGCTTTAAAATCCCTTATCACCAAAGTTTTCAGGGCCATAGGGAATGGCTGGTAAGTTAATTGTTGCCACTTTTTAAGTAAACCTGTTGAAGATGGATCTTGTTAGATTTTCCTTGATTATTAAGGGGGATATTCATCTTTTGATTCAATCGTTTTGCAGGCTGAGGTGAACTATTTGGGAAAGTTTTGCCATCCTCATCTTGTCAAAGTGATTGGCTATTACTTGGAGGGTGAGCATAGACTTCTGGTGTGTGAATTCTTCCCTGGGGACAGCTTAGAAAACCATCTTTTTAGAAGTGAGTTATTCTGATTTCTTTCTTCTTTGTGGAAAATTTATTTTGTAATCTGATGATATATGCTCAAGGTGTTTACTTTATTATCTTTTGGGAGAAGTAATTATAATTTATTATTGGTTAACAGGGTTCAAAGTTCTAACTTCCAACCTCTCACTTGGAGCCTTCGTTTGAAGATTGCTCTTGGAGCTGCAAAAGGTCTTGCTTTTCTTCACAGTGCTGAAACAAAAGTGATATAAAGGGATTTCAAAACATCAAACATTCTGCTTGATTTGGTACTTTCTCATCTTACTCAAATTTAATTTCACTCTCATTTCGGTTGATTGCCAGATAAATTCAGTCATTGATTGGACTATTTATATTAATCACCCCAAGTTTGCTCTTTTTAATGATCTGCAGAGCTATGATGCCAAGCTTTCTGATTTTGGATTCACCAAGGGTGATCCCGCTGGTGATGAAAGCGCTAACTTTGCAAAAGCGATGTTTCCTTCTACTGCACCGGAGTCTATAGCAACTGGTATTTTCCTTGATGTTTTTGTTCATTGTGTACACACCACTGTTATGTTCCTACTTTCATTCTCCAAACTTCTGCAGTACATCATTATGGAGATCTGTCGTCAATAAAATAACGGGAGGTGTTTTATGATGTCAACTACTTTTGAGGTGTATTTTTCTCCAAAATTATTTTGTGCATTCAAGATCATGAAATGAACGGTCAGCTGTCCATTTCAATGGTTTGAATTCCTCGGTGGTCAGCCACCAAGGCCCTCATTTTCTGGGATTAGTCGGGTTTCTTAATCTGCTACCTATATCACAGCCAAATCGTAGCTGTTGAATATTTCTAAGATTTTCTTTCATTGTTTTCCGAATCAGGCCATATAACTTCCAGAACAGATGTGAATAGTTTCGGAGTTGTTCTTCTGGAAATGCTATCTGGTAGGAGAGCATTTGACAGGAATAGACCATCTGGAGAACGCTGCCTCGTCTAATGGGCGAGGCCTTATTTGACCAACAAGCGCCGAATCTTCCACATATTGGACAACTGTCTTGAAGGACAGTACTCCCTAGACGTGGTTTACAACGCTGCTAACCTTGCTTTTCGATGTGTATCTACGGACCCTAGTTCCAGGCCGACCCTCGACGAGGTCGTCAAGGAACTCGAACAAGTTCAGAACTACAACAACAATGTCCTACACCGGTTAAGGTCATCAGCATATTCACTTTTCACCAAGTAATATAGAAGGATGAAATGGTATGAAGTCAAGTGTTTTAGACAGATACCTCGACCCTTTTGGACATTGACCCTTGAAAACACCCTTGACCGCTTTGTACGGTTGCTTCTTAATGCCTTAAAAGGTTCATCCTCGAAACTTGAATCTCTTTGTATATATATCATATTGGGGATAGAATTTTTGTATGGAACATTATTCGGCGTAGCTCTGTTTTAGCTGTAAGCAAACAGGGAAGAACATTTTGTGCTCAGCCAGAGTTGTTGAATGTCGATATCTATCTTGTATGGGTGTGACCGTGTGAGTAATGAATGCTCTAGTTCTCTTCTCCATGTGTAATTATTCGCGATCCAATGAAGGCAAAAGCTCAATTAACCAGTTTACCTGAACTCCAAAATCTGTGTTTTTTATCTGGCCTGTAACCGGTTAAACTCAAGTTCAAATGCAGCAGTGCACGCCCCGTAGTAGAGGGCTAATGTCAGTTAATCTTTTAATTTCTGTGTCCATCTCAAATCGTTTCGTGTTGTGAAACTTGCAATATGAAAAGATGATAGGGCATGTACATATTTTATTGTTATATTTTCTACCAAGTACAAAATGTATGTTTTTGTCTTCCAAAGTAATACTAGCAAATAAGTACATTCCATCACAAAGGGAAAATGATGGTTCAACTGAATACTTACTCTTGAAGTGAAGCTGAACTATGTTAGATTAATAATTATTGAATGAATACATTCATATGGAACTACTCTTTCGACAAAAGATCTTGCATTCTAGCTAGGTAAAGTACTATACAATAAAATTTCAATCAACCAGGAGTTATCTCAAGAGGCTTTCCTAGGCCAGAGATCTCAAATTCCAGCCCCTAACAACATTTTTTCGATCTTTCCAACCTATACATTTCAAAAGGATAGATTGTCATGTACCAAAGATTGCAGCATTTTTCACATGATTCACTGTGAGAACCCCATTCATGTATTATAATCATACAAGCAATGGCTAACGATTGAAATGCCAATTGTGGCAGTACCAATCCTCATTCCAGAGACCACTCACTACCTTGCTTCTGGTCATTAGGGTGCACATGAAAAATAGAGTGTTCCTCTTCAGAGTCTGCTGCCAGTCCAAAAAGATGATGGAAGTGTTGTGTCTGCTTATTTGGATGAATCCCGGATGATTTATGAATGCGCAGTCAAAGGAGCTGTTTCAGACCCAACTTTCAAGTTATCCAAAAACCGGGTCACAATCCCCTAAAGTTTACTCCAACTAGGCAACTGGATTCTTAATCTTTTCCACCTGCGACTAAACAAGGTTGGATGCAGATCCAGTACGTGCTCCGGCATGAAATCATGCCTCGTCAGTATTCCCACAACTGGTAGTCCCTGGAAATGTGAAACATTGTAAAACTAATAAGTTGATTAACAAGAACATATGTTTGCCGCCCAACTAAATGTAAACATTTCATTTAGGATCCAGGAAATAAATGAACATCATCAGACAAGGAGCCACTAGAACAATATAAATCATTGTTTTCACCAGAAGCAGAGGCTATACTGTAGATGATTGGAACTTAGAGAAAATAAATATTTGATAGGTCAATAATAACTTGACCAGATCAAATCATACACAGCACACAATGAAGCATGTTTAAGTCTCAGTGAAAAGATAAAACTAGGTCTTAAAAGATAAAACTAGGTTTGGGTGTATAAATATTGAAGCCCTTAATGCTTGTGACCATATAGACATATCAAGTTTACTAAAAAGAGCAAGAGGATAGAGTGTGTTTTTACCCCTGGAACTTGAGGAATCACCAGCAAATGTCTCAAACCAACTTCCCGGAAAAGTACTAGAGCCTTTGCCAGGGACATCGACTCTATAACACAATAAGGTGAAGTATTAGTAAACGGATGCAAATCCACAAACATATCCATCTCTTCATCCGACAAATCAATGTCTTCAACTCGGTCTCCCCTTCCCAAGCCTTTCTTTGCAAAATCATTCGCTAAGAACTCAACAGAATCAGAAAAATTAGACAGTGGAGTGCGCAAGAAAGCTTTCTTCTTCAGCAACGTGACTAGATGGGAACGGAGGATAAGGCCACATAAAACAGGAGTCACAGAAAATGGAGGCTCATCCACCACAGGAAAACCGTTGTGCCCTGTTGTTTTGAGTACGTGCACTATATTACCGACCTTCTCAATGCCATTGAAAACCTGAAGCGGGCCAGTAACCACATCTGCAACTGTCAGCTGTCTCATGTATGGTTCAGCATGTGCTTCTAAGTAAGGTAAACCCTTCGACTTCATTATCAAATCATATATATTACCATTGAATACATCAGCTACAGTCTTGGAAATCAAAAGAACCAGCATTATTAAAGGTAATAGCAATAGGTTATTTGTGAGTTCCAGAATAATAACACATACGGAAACAGTCACCCTCATAGATCCACCAAGAAGAGAAGCAGCACCCAGGACAGCGAAGAGTCCATGGTTCAGGTTCGAGTGTGAATTAACAAGCATTCCCACAAATCGTCCATAAGATGCGCCTGTAACAATGACAGGCACAAAAAGGCCAGCAGGTGCTACAATGCCATAACTGAAGATGCTAAGAAAAAAGCAGGTGATGAAAAATATAAACACTGAAGATTCTTGGAACTCGGCATCAGTGTTCTTGCTGAATAAGTTTTTTATTGCATCATCATTTGTGTTAAAGAAAAGGCTTGCTAAATCATTGTAGTGACCAGGAGGACATTGAAATTTCTTGTAGTTCCCAGAACGGCCAATTGTTGGGCAAGGCTCAGTTGGATCAAGTGGACAAGGTTGGCATGATGCAATCCATGGTAATCCAAATAGAAGACATGATGTGCAAATGGAAAGGACACAAGCAACGAGTAGCTTGTAAACTGTGCCTTTTCTGGAAAAAAGGAAACAAAAACAAAAAACAAAAAACAAAAAAACCACATTAAGTACACCCATAAGCCTCAGAAAAGGGAGGAAGAATTTAAGTAAATGTTATCATGAGAGACCATACTCGTAAATGAGATTGTAAACCCGGAGAACCTTTTGGAGCAAACAATTGTATAAGCTTCCCAATATGCCCCCTCCAATTCCAAGAAGAATTACAGGAGGGATATCCCAGAAGTGATAAGAAATATTAGCAGAGGTAACATCAAACATGATAAGTCCACCTTTACCAAACAATCCACATTTCCCTTTCATACAAACATCAATTAAAGCACGAAGAACGATTGCAACAACAGCTGTTGTGAAAAAAGATCTCCATAGAAGTGCACTTCTCCACCTGCAGAATTGACAAGCGCTTGCATCAGATGTTAGATAAAGAAATCATCAAATGTAAGAGACATTATATATTTACAAATAAAAAGTTCAACCCCTGAATGGACAGCCACTGGCCTTATTATTCGGTAAAGATTTACTCCACGTGTCATGTTCAGCAGGAAAACCAGTTTAAAACTTATGAGACTACTCCCAATAGAGTTCATATAATCAAATTGCTATATTGTCGCAATGTTTAGAGGTTTCCAAGTGCATGTCAGCCAATTAAATTCCGCCCAGCTCTAAAACAGCACCAATAAGTAGAGCAAAATTGCACAACGGAAAGAGTCTAAAGTAATTGAACATAAGCAGCCAAATCATAACTTAAAAGCATAAAGTATTTTAAAATTTTTTTTAAAAACATTAATGAACTGAAATCACCCTTATCAAAGAATTGTGACTTAGAAAAATAAAATAGATACAAACAAAACCAGAAATAAAATATAAGAAAACAATAGTATGAGGATATTTCCAGGCAAAGGCATGCTCAAGTGTCAAAGAATCCAGAAGCATAAAAACAAGGGAATAAGTAGATGAAAGAAAGTAAGAAAATCAACTTAGTCCCGCAAGAATTGGATAATTTCTTCATACCAAGATGCCATTTCTTCAAGAGCAAAGAGAAGGCCACCAACAGGAGCACGAAATGCAGCAGCAATGCCAGCTGCTGAGCCACAAATTACAAAATCTCGGCGGTCCCGATCATTTTTGAAAAAACGTAGCCACTTCCAAGTTAACCTGAATTTTGTTGAACCACCTTGCCCGAAGATTGCTGCAATGCATGCACCGCTATGGACCATAGGTCCCGCCTTGCCAATGTTAAGCGAGGATGACACAGCTGATATGCTACCAACAATCTGGAAATACAAGTTGAGAGTTTAAATAGTTGTCTTAAACATTATCTAAGAATTATAGAACCATGGTAGGGTACAAACTCTAAAAACTCAAACTTATTGGAATATGACGAATTAAGTAGTTGCAGTAAAAGTTAAAAACTAGCTTCTGGAAATTTCCAATGAAGTACTAAAGAATATCAATGCAGCGTCAATGTTTGCAACTCAAAAATAATTAGGCATGTGAGAGGGGTAATGTTTGTGCAAACTTGTGAACAATTAGAACATGCTTCTAGGATCCTAGTTTTGAATCAAATGTGGTCCTACCATGTGTTGAATATATGGCCAACACACAACCCTTCCATAAAATTTCCTTTTACCAGCTCTTGGTCATTCTTGCTTTACCTGTGAATAACTGAGCAGCACTCACTAAATGTAAATTTATATATCTTTTCCCCTAACAATTTGCCAATTTCTTTTACCATTCCTCGCATGATATTTTTTTTCCCCCGGAAATGGTACCTGTATATTAACTGAAGGTACCTAGACTATTACATCGCATCCTATTATATGCTAAATTATGCATTTCACATGATATTAATGAAGAAAATTATATTCCAAGTTTGAAGAAAGCAATTTTCCAAATGAAATTTAATGAAAATCAACAAAATTACCTTGACAAGCAAAGTTCTGAATGAAAATATTGCCGGTGCATCAATGCCATTCAGGTAAGCCTTAACTTCTGGTATACCTGAGCCAGCAGATTCTGGAGCTATGAGAGCCGTAATCAAACTTGCAAACAATGTCAATGTGAAATTTGATGATGCAAAGATAATAAAAGCTGCTGCAAACCTGCCAAAAACATTGAGCCGTTAAACAGGAAATACAAATTAACAGATAAAGAGTTAAACTTTTAACTTAAAATTCACAAAACAACTCACACTGGAGGACTACTCGAACTGAAAATTTACCTTCTAGCCAACATCATGTCGGAGGTGACAACAAACTTCATACCGGCAATGTTCTCAACAGCAAGGTTGTTGACGAAACCGACAAGACTAACACACAATCCAATGAGGAAACACAATGTCCATTTCATAAATATGTACTGAAAAATCTGGGATTTCCCTCTAGACCTCCAATCTTGCTTGAAAACAGCATTCTCCGCAATCCTAAATCCCAGAAACCATTGAAAACGAGCAGAATCAATAACCTCTTAAGTCTCAACAGCTTTCCAAAATTCAACTCCAGAAGCAATGATGGGATGAGAAAAAGAAGACTCTTTTGAGATCAGTCAAATTCAATCGTAACTACACCTCTCAATTTTCAGAATGCTGGCAATTCGGGATTGACTAAATCAAAGAGAAAATCTTGACTAGGAGTTGAAACCGTAAAAAAAAACACATTTAACGTAAAGGGAAAAACGATTACTCGTAGTCGAGGCTTTCAATTGGGCAGACATTAGAGCCCACAATTGCAACTTGAGAAGTAGCATTCGAGGCTGATCTCCGAAGGGTTCTCCCCTGCTGCTCCGACCGACACCGGAGCAGAGGCTCCGTCAGTAAAGGTTCGCCGTCCACCGCCGGTGCCGGCGCCGGCGTCCCTTCCTCAACTGTTGCTGGGGCGGACATATTTGCATTTAACAGAGCACTGAATCACAAACACTGCTCATAGTGATATATATATATATATATAGTAAAAAAAACATAAGTGAATGATTAGAATTGGAGTAAGAGCCGATACGGGATGGCTCTGATTGTTTCAGATTTTGCAGAGTGAATGAATGATGGGTTGGGTAGATTATTTGATTGGAAGGTGTTTGTGAAAGTGTGTCACTGTGTGAAATTGTTTAATGGAAGTTGAATGCAAAATATAGAAGCACAGTTGAGGAAATCAGTTTGGACTTTTAGGAGTGGGCGTCAATACCGGACAACTAGGAATCTTGTTCCTAGTATTACAACGCACACGAGTTTGTTTTTTAATTGGCCATCCTTTTTAAAACCATTTTTTATATATAAAAAATAAATTCAATCAACCACTCACACATATAAAACCATTTATTTTTTCAATGTTGAATTGTTATTAATATTTTCATTAGATTGAGGGTTTGATCCTGACCGGGATTTTAGAAAAAAAATGTATATTCTTTCGTTTTTAATTTCATATACTGGTTTTACATCTAGTCGCTTTTTTCTAATTTTTAATCTGTATTGACTCAAGTTAGATGATTGTGAAAAAATCTCAGCATACGCCAGAAAGTTACGTGAATCGCGCCCAAATCATGTTCTATTTGTTAATGTTCAACTAAAATATTATAAGAAGTGATAAAAAAAAAAAACGACACTAATAAATATCAAATGATAAATTTTTCTTTGAGGAGCATAGAGAATGCGCAGAGGGTTGAAATGATTATACCAAAATCTAATAGTATTCCCATTCTTTTCTTCCCAACTAGAATAAGATTGATAGTGAGAATTTGGTTGATGTATTTCTCCCATGAACAGCAAAGACTTCCCCAGTGTTATTGTTATATTTTACAAAATCATTTTCATTTCATTATGATGCACAATGAATGAGGTGAAATTTAAATTTGGTAGGTTGTAGCAGGAAGATTAGGTTTGTACGTAATGGATAAAATTAAAAGCTTCAATTGTATGGGGAGAAAGGGCATGACTCACCCCCAGCCAATGAGCCCAATGCACAAAATTGAAGGAAACATTGTGCATTTTTAATTGAAAAAGGGAAAAAAAAAAAAAAACCCCTCCAATAATTTTAGAATCCAACGTTGAGCAAAAATGAATATTTTAGTAGCCCAATATGAAATACAATTATCCATCGAGAAGGAACTTAGTAAAAGTATCATCATCGAAATATTGCAAATCGTCGAATCCAACAATATTTGTGTATTACATTAAACGAAAAAAATAATAATAATAAACCAGCTGCGTATTTTTATTTGTGTCCCTGCGTGACAAATGAATTTTGACAATGGCGTGATTGGAGGCTTAAAAATGAATGGTAGGTGCCTTTTTTGGTTCTTTTTCCAGCAGTTTTGACCTAATATAATAAGTACATACTGCCATTTTCCTAATGTACTATAATATAAATTGATTATATATATTCCCTCTGTCTCATAATTATTGTCCAGTTTGGGTTTTCATTTCTAATTTAAATTGTACAAAAAATAAAATCTCAAACTCGACAATAATTTTGGGAGAGAGGAAGTATTTAATTTTCCAATTGGGAGAGAGCAAGTGTGATGGATGGAGTTAGCAGTACGTATTGAAATCAATATTGCTATTTATAGTAAAAACTAAATCGGGGAAGCTTCTCCTTTGCTCCTTTAGAAACTTCACGGCTCTGACCATTCGGGGAATGATGCCAAATTCTATCAGTCATATTTAAGCCCCAGAATTTCATGTGGGAAACTTCTCGTTTTTTTCGTCTCAATCTCATTTACAATAGTATTTTTCATAATTCAAATGGCAACATCATAAGTCCTTGAAAACACATTACAGTAGATTTTTTATTTTTTATTTTTGGCTATCTTCTTCGTTTCAGAGAGTAAATTCTCCGCTAACAAATAGAGAGTTATCGGACTCAAATCTAGCATAATGACTCCGGTATAGATCTTACATGAAGAGCACGATGCAAGTAGTATATGCAGGATGTCATAAACACGATTTTAACATGATTATAAAAGTGTCAATTTCTGATTCGATAATACGATTAAAACAATTTCACCGGTCCTGCCCAAGTTATCGCTTTTTTTTTTTTCTTTTCTTGCATTTGTATTTGCGCGCTTTTATCATTTTCGGATACTCCCATGTTTAACAATCCATTGGCCATTTTCACAAGTAAGTGGCAGAAATGGATAGGCTTGATAAGCCCAATGGGTTGTCGTGGTCTGTCTGCCACTCTGTCATAGTAGTAGTAGTCAGTCCCATGTTTTTTAATGTTTTTTTTTTCTGAAAAAAGTATATGTATTAATGAGAAGCATTTAGCTATTACAACGCATTCTGTTATAAGCGATATTATGCATTTCCATAACGTCTATTTTATAAACTTTAATCAGCTGACAAAAAATAAAACTATTCATAAGCGAAACTAACGAATGAACTAGCGTTTGAGCTTCCACCAGAATACTCGTCGTCCGTAGGTCAGAGGTGAGGAATTCACAATCAGTATAGGGTAGAAATGGATAGGCTTGATAAGCCCAAGCGAAATTAACGTTAAACTAATGACATTTTCTGTTTATCATTCCATTTGTGTCTTTTAATTGTCGACTCTAGTCTATCCCATTATAGATTGTAGTAAAGATTATTAGGAAGAAAATAGTTTGATTGAGGGAAAAACAAGCAGTGAATACCGAAAAGTTTGACCGATCTACCCAAAACTTTACATGCGTTGTCAATTCTACCCTATTCTTTTTCGGTTAGCCGATATTACCCTGATCTATCCCATCGTTAGTCAATTTTGTCCAATTTGCCGATTTTCATTAAAATTAACGGAATTCTGTTAGTTTTAATTATAAAAATACCCTAATAGTTTTAAAATTATAAAAAATGACCCCAAAAATTTATAAAAATAATAAAACAGTCTCTTTCACTTTTTATATAATTTTTTCTGTTTTTTCTTTCTTTTCACTATTTTTCATAACTATAAAAATATACTATATGATCTTTTAAAAAATAATTTTATTTTAAAATACTATTGTATCAATTTAGATATACATATTTGTGACTCATGGTTGATTTTCATAAACATATTGATTTTTTTAATAATATGATTAGACAATAATGATATTATTTTTTAATCCATTTTTTTTCAATTTAAGGAATAAGATGTTTTTGACTTAAACTAATTCTTTACAAAAAAAATTAAAACATTTAGCATAGATTCAAAAATAATATCTTAGTATTTTTTAAGTTATTACAAATTAACTAAACAGACTACAGATTGTATTATCTAATTAAAAATAATAATTAAACTAAAATATATGGTACAGTTTAGTGTTTAGGGTGTTGAGTTTCATGAGAGTAGATATAAGATTAATTATCACCAAAGGATTTCTAACCGAGAGAGTAATTTTATCCACATTTAATCGGGGTCTACTAAAGGTGGGAGGGTTGAGTTGGACGGCCAGGTGATTTAAGATGTGAGATGATTATTACTGTGTTCGAGGTCTCGATTCTCACTGGGCAATCTAATTTTTTTTTTTTTTTAAAGGTTGAGTCCAGTATTTGAGCAGATTTTTTTTTAATACGATTCCTGCTAAAGTTAAATATATTAATATCTCAAAAAAATATCACAAAATGTTAAACTCTCGCAGTGATAAATATACATATTTTTTATAAAATATTTTGTACCATTTTTGTAAATGCCACGACACTATATTATTGTATTGGGCCAAATATAGAAACAAAATAGGATTTTTTTTTTTTCACTTTCTGTTTGTACTTGGCCTTTAGAAGAAAATTTATATTTTAGTTTTATTTTTTTTTAATTTTATAATGCAATCTAAAGTCTGTTGAATTTGTAATACATTAACCATTGAAGTAAACCAATAAATTCTTTTTTAATCTATGCTAAATATTTTATTTTTGTGCAAAATCAGTTTTAGTTAAATAATCTTATTCTTTAGATTGAAAAAAAAGGATTAAAAAAATAGTATCATTACTGTTAAACCATATTATTAAAAAATTAATATGTTTATGTAAATCAAACATGACTTACAAATATGTAATTATAAATTTTTACATTAGAGTTTTAAAATAAATTTTTTTAAAAGATCCTATAGTATATTTTTATAGTTATGAAGAAGAAATAAAAAGCAGAAAAAAATAAATAAAAAGTGAAAAGAGACTTTTCTGTTATTTTTACAAATTTTTAGGTCATTTTTATAATTTTTTAAACTATTAAGATATTTTTGTAATTAAAACTAACAGAATTCCGTTAATTTAAACGGAAATTGGTAAATTGGACAAAATCGGTTAACGGTTTGATAGTTTAGGATAATATCGGCTAATCGAAAAAAAATAGGATAGAATTAACAACGCATGTAAAGTTTTGGGTAGATCGACCAATTTTTCCAGTGGATACCATTAACGTCCATTTTTCACCTCAAATTGTTCTCGATTCCATCATGGCAAATTTTTTCCTCCCTCTTTAACCGAGAAGAGGGTGGAAAAATTTAGTACACATTTAACAATTTGGAAAAACATACTCAAAATAGGAAAATGAGGTAAATTACCAAAAAAGAATGTTTGAACTACACAATGTATTTAACTCCAGTGGTACTGAACCAATCGTTTTGTTTCTCTCCGAGATGATAGGAGAAAAACTATCACATTACAAGAAAACTTGTATTCTGTCATATTCAATGTGACTATTTCTTTAAGAACAACTAGAACATAATAAATCGAAAAAAGTTTAATAAACGTCATTTGTATCTATATTAGTTTTTATCACTAATACAACTCGTATTTTGAGAAATTTAAAATAACCTAGCTTGGCAATCAGGCAAGTGTATGTACAACTGTAGCTCCCAATGCGCTTACATGTTACAATTCCCCAACTGCCACTGAAAATTAGGGGTAGACCAAGTAAAAATAAAAGAGATCCAGATTAAGATAACATTTTCTAAGTTATCCTATACACTCATCCAAATACTGTAAACTCCTTTATTTATTCAAACCAATAAATACAAGTTCTTAGTCCCATGTCCTAATCAATAATCAGTTAGTTACTGCACTCATTACCCCGATGAACCCCTTCTTTGATTCATCATTATAGATGGTTTACAATTACGGACCGTTAAACTAACTCAAGTATAATCGATTTTTGGATATGATATCCACCTCTCATTACTTAACTAATATAGTCTTAACCATTTATAATCAATTAAAGTGTAGCAATATCATTAGAAACATTCTCTTTTCAACGGGTTTGATCTTTTATAAAAATTACTTTGTAATGTTCGTGCTCGTGCCAATTGTATCTTTTTCCATAACAGTATTCATATCAATCCTATCGTCTAAATTAGATAGTAAAATAAGAAATTCTCTTCTTCTCTTTTACCGTATTATTAACTTCTTTTTTAAGCGGAAGAAATATGGCAAACATAGAGTAGTAATTAAATTAGAAAAGTCACACGATAGGTGCATTAATGTTAATTGGGCCTTTTCTTTTAACATCACATCAGAAAGTTTCCCAAAATTAAACACAAGTAGATGATGACTGTTGAGATTTAAGCCAAATAATTCGACTATCCTACGTAAGCAAAAGTATGACATGTCAAGAAATTACTGGCTTACAATCCCGTAGTACAAGGTCCATGTCAACTGCTCAGTCGGCACGTCGAAAATTACGAAAAAAAAGAGAGAAAAAAGGAACACAAAAATGAAAGAAAGAATTGGGTATCAGAGCGATAAAGACGCAATCTTTTGGCAGCTTATGCTTCGGACACACAAAAAGCGCCTTTGGCCGGTGGTGGGTTTTTCTTCTGCCTCCTGCTGCTGCCGCCCTTTGCCCTCAGCCTTGATTACAACGATTAACATAAACCCAGAAAACATCAATACGTCCATTAATCCATCATCACTAATCTAATCTCCATTAACCTCTAAAAATTCCCACTTCTTTCAACCAAAAGACGAAGTCTTTTTCCCTTGTTTTCTTCGCTTCTTTGGAGTGTACTACTGCTGCTACTCAGTTGTTGCCGTCAGTGTTACTGTTAGTTTTCTGGGTAGTTGACTTATTGAACAACAGTTCAGGTTTTGATTAAGAATTGACGGAGAAAAAAAGATGGGTTTTGTTTTTGGGCTAGTTATGGGAGTGATAGTTGGACTGGCTATAATCGTTGTCTTTGTTCGTTCTGAAAATGCCAGATCCAAACGCCGTTCTGAACTTGTAAGTACTTGATTTTGCTTGCATTCTAATTTTTTCTTCGCGTTATGAATTATGATCCCGATTTTTATAGTGTTTGTTTTTGTTAAGGCGACGACTGTAGCGGCCTTTGCTAGAATGTCAGTGGAGGATTCAAGAAAGTTATTGGCACCGGAGTTTTATCCTTCCTGGGTCGTCTTCTCCCAGCAACAGAAGGTCTTGTTGTATTTTATGCTTATTTGATTTTTATTTTTCCCCCAAAAAAAAGAAGAAGAAACAGGACAAAGATTCAGGGCTTTACTTTCTCTGTTTATAAAGACTGGTCTATTTTGAAATGGGGATTGATGTTGGTGTTCTTTTTTTTTGTGTTGGTTTAGTTGACTTGGTTGAATTCTCATCTCGACAAGATCTGGCCCTATGTCAATGAGGTAATCCCGTTTCTACTTTCCTTTGTTATATACTTGTTTTTTTTTTGTTCAGATGATTTTCATTCCTTTGTTGATCGTGGAGTTTCTGTTGCTATGAATAAATTGGGACTTGTAGGCTGCTTCGGAGCTGATAAAGACTAATGTTGAACCTGTTTTGGAGCAATATAGGCCAGCATTGTTGGCTTCTTTGACGTTCTCAAAGTTCACACTTGGAACAGTCGCTCCACAATTCACTGGTTAGAGGTTTTTGGTTGTAAAATCAGTTATTTTGGCATTGATAAAGATAGCATCTGTAGGTTTCGACTAAACATTGATACTCATTTTTGTGTCTTGGTTTTGCAGGAGTATCCATACTTGAAGATGGAAGTGAAGGTATAACCATGGAGTTGGAAATGCAGTGGGATGGGAATCCAAGCATAATACTTGATATCAAGACTTATTTGGGAGTCGCATTACCTGTCCAGGTACTGTAAATTGGTAGACGGATTTGTAGCTCTTTAAAGTTTTCGATTGTACAATTATGGCTGTGGTGGCTGTTAATTTTCCTTCTGTTGAGGATATGCGTGCCTATTTTTGTTGACTTGTCAGCTATCATATGCCAACATTCTGCCAAATATCTCATATTTGTTGTCACAGGTGAAAAATATCGGGTTCACTGGCTTGTTTAGATTGATCTTTAGGCCATTAGTGGACGAGTTTCCATGCTTTGGAGCCGTTTGCTTTTCATTAAGAAAGAAGGTAAGGTCCATTCGCGTACATGTTTCAATTCTCTGGAGATTACGTACAATTCAGTAAAGTGCAATCTCAAAAGAGGTGGAGAAATTCGTGAACCTTGAAGTATTTGCTTTCATGCCTAAAATTAGGCTAGGTCAGAGAATTTCCGTCCAGTTGGTGTGGGTTCTGAGGATTATCATCTGTGTAAAATGATGACATGTTGCGGGGTGTTACAGTATTGAGTGAATATATGCAGAGTTTGAAAGTTCAGGGTGATAAGAATATATAGACAGCAGGATTTCACAATTGCTGTTCCAAACTTGCTTCAATCCTGGACTAGTTTACTGTCTGATGCTCATTCTGTAAAACTCACTACTGGTTGTTTGCAGAAAAAGCTGGATTTCACATTAAAAGTGATTGGTGGGGACATATCAACAATACCTGGCCTTTCTGATGCAATTGATGTATGTTCAAATTCTTCCACTGCTCTCTTTTGAGGTTTTTTCATTATGATTCACAGTCCTCAAGACCACTTAGTTTGCATTTACCGTTTGCATTCTTTCAGGGTATGATAAGGGATGCTGTTGAAGATTCAATTACTTGGCCAGTTCGAAAGATCATTCCAATTTTACCCGGGGATTACAGGTTAAACCTTCTCTTTTTGCACGACTGTGAATTTATTTTTCCATTTTTAAATAAGCTTGAAATAGCTACTGGAAGCTTGCTCTCTTTTCCCTCTATTTTAAGGAGTTTATTATAAAACTTTGATTGAAACTTTAAATATGGGGGTTGCTCTGGTAATTCACAATTGTCTTTATTTAAGTATTGATTTTCTCTTGCTAAGTTTTTGCTTTTATTTATCTAGTGATCTTGAATTGAAGGCTGTTGGAACTTTGGAGGTGAAGCTTGTGCAAGCAAAGGAATTGACAAACAAGGACCTTATTGGAAAATCTGATCCTTTTGCTGAGTTATATGTTCGCCCAATACGTAGTAGAATGAAAAAGAGCCGAACCATTGTGAGTTATCTTATACCTTCTCCTGTCAAAAGTTGATTATAACTCGTTCAGATATGTAAGGTATCTGTTTGTTGTTTTCGTCAGAACAATCAGTTAAACCCTGTCTGGAATGAACATTTTGAGTTCATAATTGAGGATGCGTCCACACAACACTTGGTGGTAAAAATCTATGATGAAGAAGGAGTTCAGTCAGCCGAATTAATTGGATGTGCTCAAATATATCTGAAGGATCTTGAGCCTGGAAAGGTGAAGGATGTATGGTTGAAACTAGTGAAAGATTTGGAGATCCAGAGAGACAACAAAAACAGGGGTCAAGTGAGAAATCTTGTTTTCATCTGTCAGATAATTTCTGTCATTTACTTTGCAGTTTTGCCAATTACTAAATTACTATTCTATTGAACGTTGTGTAAAGTGGATGTGACATGCTCAAATGGAGTAAATCAAATGTGTAAGACATGGGAGTTCAATAGTGGGTTTCAAAGTGATCTTAAAATTATATACTGATCTTATTATGTGTAAACCAGAAAAGAAGAAAAATGTGTGTTCAGATTTTCCAGCATTTTGTTCCATTTAAGTTGTCACTTTCTTGAGATTTTGGTTTCTATCAATTACAGGTGCATTTGGAGCTATTGTACTGTCCATATGGGATGAAGAATGGATTTACTAACCCCTTTGCCAAGACAGTCTCCATGACTTCACTAGAGAAGGTTCTTAAAAGTGGTGGCGAAGGAGAAATTACTGAAAATGGAGGTGAAGCCAAGAGAAAAAAAGATGTGATCATAAGAGGGGTGCTTTCTGTGACGGTTATCTCTGCTGATGATCTAGCACCGGCTGATCTGATGGGCAAGGCTGATCCTTATGTGGTGCTCACCATGAAGAAAACGGAAACAAAGAACAAAACCAGGGTATGTCGTCCATATTTCGACTGGATGTTATTGACATATCCATTAACACATCCTCCTATATCCTTCCTCATCCCTGCTTTAGGGGTTCTGTTTGTCTTAACTTGTTGCACGCTCTTCTCTGTTTTGGAACTTTTCCAGGCTCCTGTGATATATTCTTTGTATTACAGTAACTCCCACTTGTCTTTTCATTGTCAATGCAGGTTGTGAATGACTGTTTAAATCCAGTCTGGAACCAGACTTTTGATTTTGTGGTGGAGGATGGATTGCATGATATGCTGATTGCTGAAGTTTGGGATCACGATACATTTGGGAAGGTAAATTTATCCCGTCTTTTTATGAAATCTGGTTTAGTTAACTTGAGTTCTCCTGAACGTCAACCTAGATTGCATGTCTACTTTGAAGTTACAGATTTTCAGCTTCAGTCTACTTGGTTAAAACTTCATAATTGGTTCTTTCTTGTCTTTTTCCTACTTCGCACTTGATTAAAAAGGAGGAAGGCTATTTCTGGGAAACATGTTTTCAGAAACAATTCTGCTTACATAGGGATTGAAGTACTAAAAACGTTCGATCAGTGAGTGCGAATGTACATCCTTTCTGAATACAAGAGGAAGCTTAGGGTTAGGATGTACTGTGTCTTTGCTGAGATTAACTAATAGCTTACATGATAAATATGTGGATTCTGTAGTGAGCTGTCTAGGATCTATTCATTTAATAACAACTTTCTTCTTCATTTGCAGGATTACATGGGAAGATGCATCCTAACTCTAACAAGGGTTCTTCTTGAAAACGAATACAAAGACAGCTTGGAACTAGACGGAGCCAAGTCTGGGAAATTGAACTTGCATCTCAAGTGGAGACCTCAGCCGATCTACCGCGATTCTTCGTAGGGCTACGGTATTTGGGCTAGGTTTTCATTGTTAACCACATATCCCTCGTTGCACAATGCGATTATTTAGGGCATACAAGTACTCTTTTTTTTTTTTCCTTGCCCAGTTATACATACAGTAAGCAATGCTTCTACCATCTAGCCATCCCCTCCCCCTTACAGAGACCGTTTAACAGTTGGATTTTGGGTGTACATAATAAGTATTTTTAGGAGGATGACGTTTATGATGAGATTTTGTAAAGCTCCGGATCAGCCCGCTTTGGACATATGTAGTGTGTACATTGTACACCATTAAACAGTGTGGATCTAAAAATTCTAGTCCCATTTGCTCAGCGTTAATATGGGTCGAGCATGATGTTATAGGTAGTTTATCCTCGAAATATATCAATCTTCTGAAGACAAAGTTTGACACTCTATTCTTTTTTCTTTTTTTTTTTTAATTTTTATAAAAAAAGTTTATACTCTCCCTATTCTGATATAAATGTCGTTACAGATTCCATAAAATTTAAGAACACAATAATTATTATTATTTTATTACAATATTATAATACTCTTATTTATTATTAATTAATGTATAATTATGCTCAAAATAAAGTTTAAGTACTAATACAATTCTACATCAAACACAACTGCAACAATGTAATAGTAATATTAATACGCGCCTGCCTTAAAATAGAAAAAAGAACTTTGTTTCTTATTCAGTACACGGTGGATATTCCTTCCTACCAAACGAAGGGTTTCGGTAAGACTATTTAGAATTTGTTTGTTTCTACTTTTCAATTTGTTTGTTTCTACTCAAATATAGTTTTTGACATATAAAGATTTCGATTTTTATTTAGGTTGGGAAACAATATTAAGCATTCTTAAAATTCGTGGGATATTTGAGGATTTATCAATTATCAATCTATTTTAATTAGTTTTTTTTTTTCCTATGATGATGGGGCTTATGTACTAGCTTATGAAGTACAGTAATTGTTGACCTAGATACGATAAATATAGGAATAAAATTTGTTATTGTTGTTGGCAATGATCAGAGGAAACAAATATTATTGTTGTCGGGATTGGACTATGACGAGATCTCTTTGTAGTAGATTATAATATCTAAAATTGTTAGAAGTCTCTCTTTTCAGATCAGTGTTGTTATTTTTATTATTTTGCTCATACTCATCTGTGGTAAGTTAGTATGACTGTGGTAGGTTAGTAATTTATGCCTTTCAGCCTCTTTCATTGTACTAAATATATATATATATATATATATGAGAAAATCTAGAGTCCCGTTGGCTATTTTTACGGAACCATCCCGTTTTGTCTTCAACCAATCAAAATTGAGAGTATAAGATGTAATCATGTAGTGAATAACATTCATAATATCATACACTAATTGAGTAAATGATCACTTTTACCCGAAACATCAAGTTTCTGGCCAATTTGACCCAAAATATTTTTAGAAAACCAAATTCATCATCTAAATTTTAGTTTTTTGCCAATTTAATCCAAATTGATGAAAATTCTGTTAGATTTAATATTTCAACTGACATTCCGTTACTTTGTACAATTTTTTATTGGTAAAAAAACTTTGTTGACCCAAAATTTTAACATTTTATCCCTACGTCTTGTTATTCAGTAACATACGTTTATCTTACCATTTAATTATTATAACGTTCCTACCACATAATTTATCTCCTAATCTAATTCATTGCTCCTACCCTAAGCCTCTTCTTTTTCTTCCTCTTTTACTTGTTTTCCGCTGCCGTACCACCACCGCTCCTCTCCTCTCCTCTCCTAAAAATTACCATCACCACTTCCTAAATCTGTGAGGATTCAAACCATCACCACAAACATAAAAATTTGCCTCCACCAACAGTACACAATCCTCCCTCCATCACTACCTGCATTTCCGTCGCCGCCACTTTTCTTCAGTTCCACAAAAATTACAAAATATTTTACTTTTTTTTCTTTTTTTTTTCCTTTCTAAAAAATTGTACAAAGTAACAGAAAATGAAAAAATAGTGGTTACACCGTTTTGACCCCGTTGTCAATTTTACCCTATTGATTTTCGATTAGCCAATTTTGTCCTTTATGTTTGAAATTTTTATCAATTTCATCCAATTGGTCAAATTTTCGTTAAACTTAACGGATCTCCGTTAGTTTTTAACAAAAATACCCCAATAGTTTCAAAATATTATAAAGATAATTCAAAAAATAATTTTTTGAGTTATCCGAAACCTGAACGTCGTTTTCATCCTTTTTCTCGCTTAAAAAAAATGTAAAAATAACCAAATATCCCCTTTTCACTTGTATTCATTTTAATCTATTTCATTTTATTTCTATTTACTACTTTTCATAACCATCAAAATATACTATATGATCTTTAAAAAAAAATTATTTATTTTCAACAATATTTTTCATGTGCAATACACTGGAGTTGGGTTCAGAGGTAATTTTGTCTTTTTATATTTTTTAAAATTTTTTAATTTGTTTTTTTTATTTTTTTAACAATTTTCTTCTTGTACTCTCTGACTTGTACATGTTGGCACTAGTATAATTACAATATTTCAATAAAAAAATTTACTTTTTGTTTTTCAATTTCGAGGTTTAAAAAAATCATAAAAAATAGGGTGTTAAAAAATATACGTATTTATTTTTGTCATGAAATTTAATGATTGCTTATATAGTTTAGCCATCGGAAAAGTCAATAACAATTACTAAAAAAGAATAAAAATTGTGTTAATTAAATTTAAAACAATTCATCGTCGTGGACTAAATAAATTAGCACTTTTTCCTATTTCAAATAATTATCTAATTTTTATATTATTTTTACTATCACAAACAAAATAATCATTTAGGCTAGATCGAGTAAAATTTATATTTCGTAACTTATAAGTAAAATTACAAGAAGTCAAGGAGGAAAGATTTGTTTTAGCATTTTTTTTTGATTTTTTTTTTTTTTGTTTAGAATGATAACCTATTAATTTTTGTATTTATTTCAACTCAATTTTTTCTTCCTTATTTTCTTTATTTTTTAATTTTTTTTATAATCTATGAAATAAAATATAAATTAATTAATGAAATTTAGTAATTATACTAGTAACAACAGATACAAGTCAGGAAGTAGAAGAAAAAGAATAGTAAATAACAAAAAATAAAAAATTAATTAAAATTTAAAAAATATGACAAAATTACTTCTGAACCAAACTCACACGTTTGCACATGAAAAATAGAGTTTGAAAATAAATACTTATTATTTTAAAGATCTTATAATATATTTTTATGGTTATAAAAAGTAGTAAAGAGAAATAAATGAACTAAAAATAAATAAATAAATAATGAAAAGAGATTATTTTGTTGATTTTACATATTTTGGTGTTTTTTTAAATAATTTTTTGACATTATTGAGATATATTTTTGTTAAAAATTAACTGAAATCCCTTAAGTTTAACAGAAACTGGGCCAATTGGATGAAATTGGCTAAAATTTTAGACGTAAAAGACAAAATTGACTAACAAAAAATCAATGGGGTAAAATTAACGACGCGGTTAAAACTTTAGATACAACCGTCATTTTATCCGTAAGGAATGTCAGCGGAGGTGTTAAATCTAACGAAATTTTTGTCAATTTGGTGAAATTAGCCAGAAATTGAAACTTAGATGATGGATTTGGGTTCGCAAAAATCTTTTTGGGTCAAATTAGCTAGATACTTAAAGTTTTGAGCAAAATTAACCAATTTTTCTAATTTTTTCAGTTTAATCAGGTGTGTTTAGGTATATTTACCTATGATGCACCCTCATTGTAATCCTATGGTTGTTAATTAGCCTAATTAATTCCACGATTATTATCTTAAAATGGAATCGTCCCGTAACGGGACTCTAACCGCTCTCTCTATATATATATATGTATGTATTATATTGTGCCTCATATTCTTTTCTCCAAATTTATGTATCAGAACTGGAGTATAGCATATGCGTCTTCTTGCGCCTCTGCCGGAGGGTTGGAAGCAGCTCGGTGGCCGGTGGCCCCTCTCCTCATTTGGACCTTCCGAAGCTGTGGATCGCCTGCGGATAGGGGAACAACATGTGATGCAAGGCCACATTTTTTATTAATTTTTTCTTTACTCAAATCAGTAAGGAATTAAATCTTATTTTTTTTTATACAAATATCAAAATTTAATGTAAACTATTATTTTTTGGGACAGATATAGTAAATATTTTTTGGAGTACATTTTTTCTGGTTAAGTAGGTACCTCACTCTGTTCAAGTGAATTTGCTTTCCGTTTGATTGGATTGAATTGTAATTGAATTTGAATTACAATACTATTGAATTGAAAATGAGATATTAAGATTATAATTCAATCTTAATTCCTTTGTTTGGGAGATCTTGATAATTGGCTAGAATTAAGGTTCTAATATCAATTCTTGCGCTTGGATGCATAAAATTGTAGATATTTTAGAATTGTAATTAGTTTCTTATTATTTAAATAATCAATTTAATTCATTTCAAAAAATTAAAAAATAACTTTAGTTTCTTATTGATATGATAATTTATATTCTCACTCAATTCACAACAAATAATAAGTAAAACGTTCTTGTTTCTCTCCCGTTTATTAGATTTTAACATTTTTAATTTCTAATCCTTGGAATTTTTTAGTGTCTTTTAATGAAAAATTAATATTTAATATAAAAATCAGTTTATGTATGTTAGTATTCTTTTATATATAGATATACGTTAAATTATATTTTTATTATATTACATAAATCTATTAATGTGAAAGTAAAATTCCCACTCAACAAACAATTAAGCCTTGGGTCCAACCTATTTGTTTTTTCTCAATTTATTTTTAACTTTTAGGACTTAGAAAAATTATATTTTCAAATTCCTAAAATAATTGTCTGATTTAAATTTTCATTTATAATAAAAATCCAAACCAAACAATCATTTTGAGACCAAGAAAGTATTAGTGTGCACAAATGTATGTAATAAATATGAACAAACTTGTTTGAAAACAAACATAAAATTTTTTTTTATCATTTGCTATCATATAATCAAAAAAATTCTTTGATGAAAGCATATGCAATTACTTATCAATATTTTTCAATACATTTTTTGTATGAAAATATTTTGATAAACGTTTTGCAACAAAATATTATATTGAGTTAAAGAGAGAGATTTTGATGCTTTAATAACTATCAATATGTTATATATTCTTTCTACTTCATTATTTAAATTAAGAAAATAAAATTTGAAGAAAAAAAGAAAAAGAAAAAGAAAAAAGAGAAAAAGAAATACTTAATTTGTTATAACAAAGTAAATTATTACTTATTGCATATATTAGATACAAAAGATAAATTTATTATGCGCATATATATTAGAAATATTTTTATTGTCACTAATTTAATTTTTATTTCTTTTCTTTAAAATTAAATTTTTTTCATTTAAAAGTATAAAGAAATGTGAAGAAAAAACACGATGGAA